AATAAGCTATATAAATGCTAGCTGTTATTATTATTATTATTACTGTTATTAATCGGCAGCATTAATTTGAGAGTTTGAGAATTGGAAGGGACCTCAACATGAAGACTAACCCTTACCAAAAGGAATCCCAAATCTGCCATTCTATCTCTACTTTATCCAAAAAAAAAGAGTTAAGATCAGTCTGGCATGACCTGGGCTATTTATAAAATGTCTTGGGGGCAGCTAGGTGGCGCAGTGGATAGAGCATCAGCCCTGGATTCAGGAGGACCTGAGTTCAAATCTGTCCTCAGACACATAACAATCACCAGCTGTGTGACTCTGGGCAAGTCACTTAACCCCAGTTGCCTCACCAAAAAAAAAAAAAGTCATTGATGCCTTTTTTCTTTTTTAAACATTCATTTCTGGGAAGACTGCCCTCCAGCTCCTCTTCTCCCAGCCCCAGTTGGACCTGCCCTTAGGACACAGAAAAACAAAAATTCTCTCCTAAAGCAGATGATGGACCATGTCACCTCCCTCTTCAGTGGCTTCCTGTTCCCTATAGAATTCAGTATATACTCCTTTGTTCGGTGCTCCCCTCCACATGTGCTGGCCCAGTCAACCTGGCCTCCTCACTGCTGCTCAAAGAAGGCAGGTTTGATGATGATTGTGAGGTCGCTGACCCCACAGGTGACTTGAATTAACATGGTGCACTGTCACGCCCTCGAGGGCAGTGCCTTTGATTTCTGCCTTGTGTCCCCAGTGCCCAGCACAGTGCAAGTGTACAGTGAGTGTTTAACAAGTGCTTGTCAGCCGGTTGGTGATCCAGACAGAAGCGGAAGGCACGGCTGCCGTGGGCCTGGGCGTGAGAGCCATCCCAGGCTTTTGGGCTGGACCTCCTCGGAGCGAGTGCCGGAGAGGGAGGCTGAATAGGAGTGGGAGAGAGAGCAAGGCCCCTGTTCTGAAGGTACTCACCGTGAAATGCTGCGTGTATGCTTTGAGCCGTGGTTCATGCAGAGCTGCTCTCATGCCACTGAGATTCTGAAAACCAGTCGGATTTCCTTTTTTCACAGAATCACAGAACTTGAGGGTTAGGAAGAGCCTCTCTCTTCATGAGCTTTGCCTTCCTTTACCCCGCAGGGCTCTGGCTGTCACCCCTGTTCTGATGTCCCTTTCTTCCCTTCATACTCAACCCCCAGAGTTCAGCTTCATACAGTCTTCCTCCTCGCACCCCTTAATGCTTTGGTCTTTGTCTACATGCGTCTTGTCAGTAATCCATTCGTGGATTAATCCCACCCTCCTCCACTCCTCCTCCTGTGCCCTGTTGGCTGTGAGGTGACCCTCCCCCAGAACCTCTTCTCCTCTGGCCTCCCACGCCACCTTGCCCTGCTCAGCTGAGGATCTGAGTTTGTATTTGACCAAGAGGCCACTTGCTGGGAGCTCCTCCCTCTTCTGCTGCTCTGCATCTTAAAGCCCCTTGAATGAGGCCCGTAGCTCCAGTCTCTGATGAAGACAGTAGGCCTTCGTGCCAAGGCCACCTTGCCACTTGTTTCCTTGACCCCATTTCCTCTTGGCTTGACCCTGTCTTCACTGTTGTAACTTTCACCTCTCCCTTACTTGCTGTCTCGTTTTCTGCTCCCAACGGCCCCAGTTGTTTACCCCTCCTTCATCAGATGGTCTTGGTTGCTTCCGTTTCCTCATCCCTTCTAAGCCCTCTGCAGTCTGGCTCCTGATCTCGTTGAGGTTTCCAAACTGACGTGATCTGGGGCTGCATGAAGAGGGAGGGGCAGAGCTTCCAGGAGTCCTATGGTGCTTTGCCCTCATCATACGCCTTTTGGAGCAGTGGGCTCAGTTCTGGGCACCACAGCTTAGGAAGGACACCCACAAATTGGAGAGTGCTGAGAGGGGGGGCAGGCACGGTGAGGAAGGGCAGCACGAGACTTGGATGAAGGAACTGGGAGTGTTTGGCCTGGAGAAGATTTGGGAGTGGGGGAGGGTGGCGGGCATGACTGACTCAAGGGGCTGCCATGACAGAAGACATTAACTTGTTCTCTTGAGCCTCCAAGGGCAAAACAAGGGTCAGACAGTGGGAAGAGCAAAGAGACAAACAGCTGACTCAGCACAACGAGCTGTTTTGGGAGAGGGTGGTGTCCCCTCCTTGGAGGTTCTCTGGCAGAGGCTAGAGGACTCATTCTTGGGAGGTCGTGGTGCGGGGACTCCTTCTGTGTACAAATTGCAACCTCCAGAAGATGGCTGTTGAGGGCCAACTCTTGTGTTCTCAGCTCTCCGTCACCAAATCTGATGATCCTTTCTCAGTCTGCATCCTTCTCGACTTCTCTGGCATGCTGGATGCGTGCTGACCACCCTTTTCTTACGGATACTCTCCCCTCCTCTTTTTTTTTTTTTTGCTTTTTAGGCAATTGGGGTTAAGTGACTTGCCCAAGGTCACACAGCTAGTAAGCATCAAGTGTTGGGTCTGAGGCTGGATTTGAACTCAGGTCCTCCTGACTTAAGGGCCGGTGCTCTATCCACTGTGCCACCTGGCTGCCCCTCTCCCCTCCTTCTCTGTCTCTGTCTCTCTGGGTTCTCCTTCTGTCTGTCTGACTATTGCTTGGCAATGTCCTGTTCCCTTGCTGTGAGGATTCCCCAAGGCTGTCTTGAGCCTCTTCTAGTCTCTCTGTGCACTTTCTTGGTGACCTCACCAGCTCTTAGGGGTTTAATTATCATCAGATGCATAGAGACTCTCTCTGGCATCACCAGTTGCCTCTTGGACAACTTCACCTGGATGTCCCATGAGGCATCGAGTTCACTGTGTGTCCAAAACAACTCATGCTTTCCTCCCCATAACCCACCGTCTTCTCAAACTCCCTGTTTCTGTGGAAGGCAGCATCCCAACTTTGAAACTGCAATCATCCTTGACTCTTCACTTACCCACGTGCAGTCCTGTTAATTCTGCTTGCATTGGTGGGGTTTTCTCCTCTAGTTGCTACTTAGACCAATGAAATCATGGGTCTACTTGTTCTACCTACGTAAGTGGACGGGGGCCATTTTTCCCAATGGAATGGAAGCTTGTAGGCAGAGATTATTTCATTTGTCTCTATCTCTAGTGCCCAGCAGAGGGTCTGGCAGATAGCTGGGGCTTTAATCAACATTTGTTGGGTAATTGAATGATCTTACACTTCTCAATGCAGATTGAGTTTGTGGTCCACTTTGTCTCTGGGAAGCTAATTTTTTTTTGAACCCAGGTGTTTTCAGTGTAGCCTTAGTAATCTTATTCTCACCTGTGGAAACAATCTAAGGCATAGATCTTAGAGTATTTAATAGCTGTCTATAGTTGACGAACTATCTTCCAACTTACACTGTACTTTTTTCTTCAGTCCATAGTAATTTCTTCAAGGAACAATGAATTTGGATTTAGAAAAGTTGGGTTTTATCTCAGGTCTGCTACTTAACCTATGTAACCTTGGGCAAGCCACTTCCTTTTGTCTGAGCCTGGAGAACCTTGCCTGTGGAATGAAGGGGTTGACCCTTCTCCGCTAAGAAATGCCCATTGTGTGAAAGGCAGTGAATTTTCCAGCCGGAGCCCAACACAAGTCAGGAACACAAGGCCCTCAAATGCTTCAGGCTTCTGTCCAAGCTTTTGAATTCTGGCCCCTTTCTTCCTAAGGCTGGACTGCTCCAACAGAAAGGAATCCTTGGTTTTTTGGTGTCTTGGGAAAGTTACATCATAACTTTAACTTAGAGTCTCACTGCTTTTGAACACACTGGATTCAGGTTCCATCTGATGCCATCTCTTTGGTTTGGCTGCCAAGTGCTACAGAAACGGCCGTCTCAAGAACAGGTTTCTCAAAGTGTGTGTTCACGTCTGAGCTCGACCCCAGTGGGAAAGCAGCAAATGTGGAAGTGAGCATTGGCCACCATCTCCAGTGGCGCTACGTATGGTCCAGCCACAAGTTTTTCTGCTAGTTTACACACTGTGCTTATTCTTTCCTTTTAATTGGAAAGCAATCAGTGTGTTCAAAATCTTTTAAAAATCGAATTTTTTTTTCTATCGTAGTAAATATGAAAACTTTTTTTGGAAAATAAAAAATTGATTTGCATCTCATGCTTTTCTTCAGGGAGTTCTATGACTTGCGCCTCCCTTCCTTGCAGTTTCGTTGAAGAAAGCCACTTTGTTCATCCCCCCAGGAAGGTTCCTGCTGATGTGATGGCTACCTGCCCTCCCTTCGCCGTAGGCTTATTGGAACTAGAGGAGATGAAACCTCTTGCACTGCCCACACAGGCCCAACAGAACACCCCCCCCCGGGCATTATTCAGTCCCATTTCTCAGATGTCCGTAACAGAAATCTTTCCATCAGCAGCTATGCTATCATTATGCTAGCCAGCTAAAGGGAGCATTTCTATTAATCAGTCTGTGCTCTTCTTGAAGGGGACCACATGACTAAGTCTGAGGAAGAATGGTGTTCTAGAAATTACAGCTTTTGGTAGTTGAAGGCATATTCAATTGTATATTGCAAATGGAGGCCCCAGAAATTAAAATGAAAAGATCTGGGTTCAAATCCTGGATGTTATCATTATAAGCTCAGTCAGGATCACAAGATTCCTGCTAGATGCCACCCACAAAACTTCACACTGCAGCCTGAACCAGATTAAAATGTAATTAGGAAATGTTTAACGGAATAAAACATAAAAGTTTTACTCTGTGGTTTTCTAAGTTGACATGGGGCCAGCAAGGGATCCATTCTATTTGATTTTAACCACCGGTTCAGCAGACAAAGTGAGGGAGCATGAGTCAGGAAGACTGGCCTTTGGACCCTGACTCAGGCTCACTAGCCTTGTGACCCCAGGTGTCAGTCAGACTCCCACAGGCTCCCTGTCCTTGTCTATTTGCAGGCACAATAAAAGACACCCCACCCCAAGGAAAAATGTGAAAGATCCTTTGTAAATCTTAGTGTTAATTTAGGATTATAGATCTCATAGATGTTATCTAATATTTAAACTATTCAAAAAAATGAAAAGAAACATTTTAGCTAAATGGGAAAGTTTTATTCAATAAATATAATCTGGCAAACTTCTAAAAAACATTTACTGACAGCTGTACAATAAGCAAGTTGCATTAACTGACAATGTTCAGAAAATTTTAAAAAGGATTTCATTACATAACCACAGTGTCTGAGGTCCAACATTTGAACTACGTATTGCTACAACGTCCAGCTGCTAATGCCCCTTAAAAGCAAACATTCATCATTATAATAAACATGTCATTTAGATATCATTTTTATAGGATTATCCTTCAAGTTTTCTCAAAATAAAACCATACTCTGTTTTTTTTCTTATGAAAATAGAGGGTCACCTCATTTCAAGATGTAAATAAAATATGTACAAATGGGACCAAAATTAAACATGGTTCAAATCTCTTTGGTGTCTGTTTCATGGATGCCTTATTCCGAAAACTGATCCTCACTCACTTTGTCCTTGGCTGCTTGAATATTCATTAACAAGTATATCCTAAGCTTTAGGGAAAAGCATCTCCAGCTGAAATTGGAGTTTTATTATTTTTTTAAATCAATTATCTTGTCTTTCTATCACTTAATTCCCAATATATCCCTCTCCAACTTAAGGAACTTTTCCTAACACTGATTTTTAAAAAGAAAAAAAAATTTAGTAACAGCCAAACTTCCCAGCACATTAATGGTCTTTTGACATTCTAAATGGTATTCCTCATCTCTGCAAAGAGGGAGGAACTTGTAAAATTATTTTGTAGCGATGCTTGGTGACTTTGACTATATTCTCTGCCAGAAACAGCATGAGCTCTGATGCATTCATGGTAGGGTGTATGGTCACTGTAGCCGTGGCAAGTGAGTTTGAGCTTAGCCTTCCTACATAATACATAGTAAGGCGCCCTGGTGAGCTCCAGAGGCTTGGGTAGCTACAAGAGGGAAAGCGAGGGCATCGAGTCTTAACCTCTTCATTTCCAGAAGGGGAACTTTGGGGAGGCTATCTGCTTTTTTTGGCCCAAATTTCATTTCTCGCCCTGCCCCCATTGGAGCTAAGGCCATATTCTGCACCTAAAAGCAGTTGCTGGGACTCTTTCATAAAGTGCAGCAAACTGACTTGTTCACTAGCTGATGGGAAAACAACAACGGGTAGGCCATCACTGTAAAGCTAATTCTAAGTAAAAAGATGAAGTTAGAGATGGATACTGTATTTTATTTTGTTGGCAGAAACACGTGGGTTACTTGTTGTACCCTGTTTTCAAAAGAGTACACAATATAGATAGAGCTCATGGAAATATTTCCATAAATTATCCTGGTCATGTTAAGTTCTGTACTAGAAATTTCGGTACTAGAAAACAGATTTTTCTAAAGGTAAGTCACGTCATTTCATGCTCAGCAGACGATCATACTATAGTATCCTAAATTTTAAAACTTTTTATTTTCAATTTAATCTAGCTTTAGTATATGGGTAGGCTTTTTAAAAAACACATGGAACAACAACAAAAAGATCTTAATGTTATTTTACAAAGTAATAAATAGTCCACTGGTTGACACCAAGATTTGCTTCATAAAACTTATGTTTCAAAAAGTGAATCCATAAAATCCTGTTTTTTCATTTCAACTATGAACATCAAATGAACTTAGGACATCACTGCAGGGAGCCCGTTCTGATGGCTTGTGGCCCAGTTACAGAGGCAGAGACTCCTACTGTCTCAGGGTGGCAGCCTTCCTTCCACTCCAAGGCAGATGCAGTGAATCTCTTGCACGTCCTTTTGTTAGGTCAGATTTTACTTGATAAAAAAGCAAACTCTACCTTATTAAAGGTGCCTCACCTCCTTTGGGAAATGGGCTCAAATTTCTGTTTGTATATTGTCTGGCCTTCCTACGACCCCATTTTCAGAATAATATTCTTCTTCTAAAAGAGGTCCAGTACACCTGGAGATTTGATAGGAAAATTTTTAAAAGTTAAGGTAAAATTCAGAATGCAATATTCTTATTAACTGAAACACAAAATTTCACCAGGACATAAAATTCTTGTTTGTACTCCCTACCTCCAAATCTCTGTAGCCTCACATAAATGAAAACTGCTTATTGGCTCAAATACAGGAAAGGAATTGAGATTCTGAAATTAGATTTTTGGACAGGCTCATTACTGGGCTAACACAGTCATATACGTAGGGGTGAGTGTTACATGCTTAAGGTTGGGTTTTTCCCTAATCTTCATAAGACGGTGAATACTTTCACATCTTGAAAATAGGAATTCATTTCAAAGAAATTAAGCCACAATCAATCATATTGATTAAAACCAATTACAACCTTGGGACATCTGGACTAAAAATCACTTTTGAGGATTGAAGCTGAGTAAGTTAACTAGAGTCACAAAAACCAAATTAACTTTGCCTCAACTTCCAGTTGCTACCTTTGATCCAGAAAAATCTAGCATTCTTATCACTCAACAGAGTTCATTTAATGTCTACTGTAGTATCTCAGATACTGTATCATTTGTGGGGGAAACAAAGCCAAGACTGAATATTTATTTAAAAAACAATGGCCGAATTTTATTTCTTCATGCAGCTTGTCGAATCTGGTGGCAGTATAGTGGAGTCAAGAAAGTGGCCCTTGTGAAGGAGTTTTCCCAGAGGAACCATCTCCAGAGGGATGGACATGAGCCCCAAGGACAGGCTTCATGCTGGAGGGCTGGCTCACGTAAAAGGTGAGGGCAAACTCAAGTTGGCCATGGCAAAGCCTCTCCTCAAGAAGCCCAGCCACACTCAAGTGTAGATGCCCTCGCTCACAATACTTGAATCTATGTTATGAAAAGTATCTAAAAGTATTTATAATACTGTCCAAACTTATTTGTGTTCTTTTATTTCATACATCTGTATGTACACCACTGTCACAAAATGGATGATCCAATAGTCTTTAGATTAATGAAGGGTAGAGAGAAGGCTTAAGTTCTTAAAATACAGCAAGACCAAATTGAAATACATTAACTGGATTAAAACATGCAAAAAATCCATCAATGATAAAGTTATAAAATAATGCCTATGCTAATGAAATGGTACTTTTCTTCATATTCTGTCATAAAAGCTCCCTAGTAAATGGTTAAAAATGAAATTAAAGATATAGTTCTGGTTTCTGTTTTCACTGAACAAGAATTCTACCTCTCTGGTCTTAGAGTTTATAACTCAGACATGAACTTTCCTGGTTCTGTTGCTACCAGTTTATAAGAGGTTGTGTGGGTACATATGTACTATCTGCACAGAGGCAAGCAAACAGAATGGACTGGTTTTCTTTCCTTAAAAACCCTGTCCCGTGAACTTTACGAAAAATCAATAAAGCCATAACATGGGGTACGGGGAGAAGAGGGGCGACCTTTACACAAATGCAGCTAAAACTTCAGCCATGAAGCTTCAATAGAGTAAAAAATATAGAATAAAAAAATAGAGTTTTTAAGGCAAACTTTTCAGCACAATTTACAGAAGCAGCTTTAAACAGCAGCGGGCCCTAGCTAATTACTGGATATTTTAACATGTAAACAGGAGCTCTCTCTCCCTTTTCCACCTTGTTGACAAAACTAAATTCTGTCTGATTCTCAGGATTCCAATGAACCTGTGAGGCAGCAACTTAAACTAGGATGAGACTATTTCCAATTTATGTACAGGAGTTAATTTGTTTGGGGTTGGAATAAGGAAAAACCATAAATGGAAGGAATGTACTTCTCAAGTGGATTTTTTCTTTACTCTTGAACTTGAGTAAGTGTGCCCTATTCCATTGGTTTCAGGAAGAAGTTTGGCTGAACTAATGGTCACTAACCGAAGAATCCCACTGAACTTTCGGGAAAAGACTGACATGGCTGCCCCAATGCTACTGTTCCTTTAACAAGCAGATGAGTCCATTGTGGAGAGGGTCAGGATGCTCCTGTCGTTGGTACAGAAGGGGTCCGATGGGCTCCATGATCTACAGTAACAATAAGAGACAAGTTTGGCTGACTGGGAACTTACTTTTGGGAAAAAACAAAAAACAAACGATTAAAGCCTAAGTTTATGTTGCTAGCAACCTGAATTTTGGCTTATTCTCAGAGTTTTCATCCTGCCCTGCCAAGGGCCTACTGGAACAAGGAATCAGGAAGGAGGTCAAGAGAAGGAGAACCTGGGCTGGCACCAGCAGGGTCTCTTGTCAGTAAGTGGAGCTGGGGGATGCCAGGAGTGATCCAGGGTCCTCTTCCCCCACTTCAGGCCACTGGCCTCACTATGTATCCCAGGATAAAAGGTGATTTGCACATGGTTCTCTAGCTGCCAGGAAGTTAATGCAATTCTGAAAACACAACTAGTTACTTCCTTTTTATCAACAGGATCTAGCCCTAAAGAGCAGGTTGGAGTATTTGTGGCTATGAGCAGAGGCACAATTTAAACTTTTTTAAAAAATCCACCGGGGCAGGTAGGTGGTGCAGTGGATAGAGCTCCTACCTTGGGGTCAGGAGGAGCTGCGTTCAAATCTGGCCTCAGATACCTGATACTTACTAGCTTTGTGACCCTGGGTAAATCACTTAACCTCGACTGCCTCACCAAAAAGGAAAAAAAATCCAGACAAACAACTTCTTTTTTTTTTTTTACTTTTAAAACAACTTCTAAGGCAAATGAAGACAAAGTGACATGATGGGTAGAGGGCCAAGTTTTGAGGCAGAAAGACCTGAGTTCTAGTCCTGCCTCTGAGACACATGGCTGTGTGACTTCTCAGTGATGCAGACAAATGTCTAAGACTCTACCCTGCAATCTTTGGACAGACCGACACAAAACAGGACAGGAAATCTTCCAGGCTCAGATGAAGGGCTTGGAGCTCGTGGCTTCTGAAGTTCCCTCCTAGGATGAGAACGCCCAATGGAAATGAAAGCTGTTTTTTCCTTTATGTAGAATAGCATTTAGCACTCACTACAGGTGAGGATCAAAATATTCTGTAACTTTTGTCTTTATTACATTTATCCTCTATGAAAACCTGAAAAACAGACAGACAGGACATACTTTGACAAAATATGAAGACAAACACTAAGACAGTTTGATCAACTGCTTGTCGTGGCTGGCAACCCCAAGAAGTGAGTGGCAATCATCTCCACCACACTGAGACAGGGTGAAGCAGCACTTTCACTATGGCATATTCCTTGGATGACCAGAGACTGAAGAATCTCTAGGTTTACAGTGGCAAAGATTCACTCTGATCCATAGTGGATCTGGGAGATCAAAGTGCCTCGTGTACCTGCATGTCCCCTGTGCTACTGAAAACATTCAAGAACAAAGGCCTCCCCCGCTCTCCACCGCCAAGTTCTACAGGAAGTAACAAGACTGAACAGAGGGAGGTGGAGTCAGAAAGGCCAAGTCTACATTCTAGCTCTCACTGTTCTACTCTACTTGTTCACATTAAACAGTTCAACTAAATTGAGGAAGATTTAAGCATCTGGTAAGCTGGTCAATGGTAATTTCCACACAGCCCTCTGAATAGCACCAGAAAGGTTTGCATATTGTTATCTTGACCTGCTCATCAAAATCCAGAGTTCCAGCAGATCTCTTAAGGTTTTAAAATTATCCAGCAAGTTTTGGCTCCAGCAGGGAAGGATAAGGAAAAGGGGCTATGGCAGCAGTAATTTACAAGTAACCTGAGAAATTGGACAGAACTGGGAAAGTGCTTCAATATTGTGTCAAATATTATTTTAATTACTCCATACTGGATCCTAGACTTAGGAAAATGTAGAACAAGATGCTCCACAGAGGAAAAAAAGGGCCTGCAATAAGATTCTGACTGCCTAAGAGTAAAATCAGGATGGGACCCCCTTCCCTTAGGAGACTGTTCACAACCAAAGCCAACATTTCCCCTGAAGCAGTATCAATCACTTATCCAGGTATAAAATGTACAAAGCAACACAAAAAGTAATTATTTAAAGGTTCCTTTTTCTATATCCATGAAAAACTGCTTATGTGTTAGAAAGGACATCAAGAAAAGTGGAAATACACACAATGCAAACACTAGAAATGTTCACTTCTGGCTCAATGTTTGTTCCAGATTTCAAAGTTTACTAAAAACATGTTATTTTCATACTATCTGTTTTCTGAGGAGCCAAAATTTAGAGGAAAATGTCAACCAGAGGTTCCCTTACAATGCTGGCTACGAGGTCGACATTGTGGGGCAGTAAAATCACACTGATTCAATCCCTCACGCCAGGGGCCATGGTGCCACTACTGTCCTCAGAGGTATTCTCAACTCTACTAGAGTATGCCATGGAAAAGCCTCCACATGTGTGCTGCACTGCTCACATGAACATCCTGTGGAGGGTGTGAGATCCCCATTGGTATCATTATATCCTAGCACTATGAAAATATAATCAATCACATTTTATAAGCAGGCAAGAATACGGTGACTGAAGCACAGACATTGTGTTAACCCAAAGCACTTGTACTGCATCCCAAAGCAATGTCTAAAAAGGTCAAGTCCAAACTGATCAAAGTGTGTTAGGGAAAGTTGTCCAGACCTCATGAGGTGTAAATGATGTCACATCCATTGTTCTTCAAGACAGAAAATTAGCCTGAATGGTAAACAGATTCATTTAGCAGTCTCAAGGGAATCCTGACATCATTCACATAAAGAGAACCACAGTATACAAAAGGTTATTTCAATTCCTCCAACCAAAAGATGTGACTTTTAGTAGAATGTATGAATTTAAAAAAAACCTACCAAAAACATGTTTTAATTCATTTCACTCAAATATGCTTTTTTAAAGGCCTCATTTTGTTGAATATTTCCCCACAAGTAAGCACTCTATAATTGAAGAAATTATCAGATAGTTTAGTGATGGCACAAGCACCTTGAGAGTTCTAATACAGATTTTTAAACTTAGTAAAATGAGTTAGAGGTGCCAAATCTGAAAAACAAATTTAAATGTTTGTTACACAACTTAAGAAGGAAATTGGGGTAGGGAAAAGAAATACTGCCTTTTGTACTGTAAAAGAATAATTCAAGGTCCAGTCCCCAATAACACACCTAAAAAGATACATTAAGAATAGAAAAGTGAGGCTTTCTGATTTGACAAATTAGATTACTATTTTGTCAAGCCAAAATGCTAAAACCAGGAAACAAAAGATTACAGCAGATGCAAATGAAAAAGAGAGACGTACAAATCAAGAGACTATTGTATCTAAACAAGATCCCATATACGATATATTAGAAAAACTGTAAAAGAAAGTTCAATGCGTAGAAGTCTCTCCAAAGTTATGTTCTCTTCCTTTTAGAGCAAAAGAAGCCCTTGTGCTGGCATCTGGCCCCCCGCCCTCGCCAGCACTGGCTGCCGCAATGGGCCCAGAGTGGTCACCGGACAGCTAGCGTTGCAGCTCGTCCCGGTTTATAGGAGATTCCTCTGCAGCAAAGGCTACCATGAGACATTTCACACCTGTTAACCTGGGCCGGGCTACAGCTCCCCATCACTCGGTCCAGCATCCTTCCAAAAGATGCACACGCTGCTTGCCCCTCTGAGAAACAGCATATGGAGTCCAAGCACTTGACCCCGGGATTTGTTTCAGTAAGCTACAAGTTGAAATAGAAAGAAAAAGAAGGTCAACATTCTTTGATCTTGCTTGTCAAATGCTTTCCTGTATCATGACAACCACAAGTATACTTTAAAAAGGAAAATAGAATAGGAAAGTTTTTCATTTAATGAGATAATTATTAAAAGATTTACATGACAGTCTAAGTATGTTGTTATGAATGAGATATGAAACAAAGTACAATTGGGAGGTCTATAATTTTGCCAGGCCGTTTCTATGAACTGGCTGCCCTGATACCAAACACTCATTTCCTGACTGCTGCCGTGTTTCAAGGGAAAGACACTGGGGATTCTGAACAAAATCAAGTTAACAGAAAAGCTTAAATAAGCCTTCCATGTGATCATACATGACAATGCAGAGCCTGCACCACTTCAAAGAACTGCCTGGCTGATGGACCTGTGGAGTCAATCCAAAGATCATTTAAAGAATTTTATTCAGTACCTAGAAAATAAGTGTAATAACACCTTTAACTAGGTGATTAAACTATTATCAGTCACCTGGGGAAGAGTTTCATTCTAGCATGAAATACCACCTTTGTTCTGGACATGACTAACCTTTTTTTAATGAATCACATGACAAATGGAATTAAAATTGGAGTTACCTGTTAAGAACTAAACCAACAGAGTTCTATTAAATTAGTAACATTCAAGACGGCTTATGGTAATATTATAAAGGGATACTTTCAACAATCATCACTGTGTCAGGCTCACTGAGGGAATCCCAATTCTTGTTTCACTTAGGACAATGGATGACCTTAAGAAAGTGTCATTCTCAGAAATTTTTTAAAAAATTAAAATTCACTTTAGTCAAAAGAAATTAGTTGTATGCTCATAAATATATGGTATAATTATATCTATATAGGCATACAATTAAATTCTTTTGAAATTAAAGGGAGGAAAAAGGGGAAAATACATGGAGGGAGGTGAGAAAATATTTTTTAAAACATTATGATGTTGCAAATGTCTAAAAAGTTGGGGGCTGCAGATGGCAGCCGTAGGTAAAGAATCAAAAAGTTAAGATTTAGTGCTGGGAATCTGTGGGGTTGGTAAGCAATACACTGAGAGGACTCTGAGTCCAATGGAGAGCCGCAAGGCACTTCCTGATACATGGATCTTCTCTTGTGCCCCTGCCCCTTTTGCCCGAGAAGGGACTTGTCCAGAGTTCCATGTTGGCATCATGGATCCACCCCCAGTCCTTTGCTCTTTGCTGCTTTCACTGCCGAGACATAAGAGTGACTCGTAGATCCTGGAAAACTCCCAAACCTAATCCAGGACGTTAGCAATCTGCACCGGGTGGAGATCTCAGGACAACAGTCACAGCCTCCTCAGTAAGCTCTCTGCTCTGCCTGTAAGTCTCTCCTAATCTACCTTACAGACTGATGCCAGATTAGTCTTCCTAGAACAATATTTTCATTATATGCCTTCCCTAATCATAACACCCCTTCTCATCAAAATTTTAAAGCCTGAAGAACAAGATGCTGCTCTTCAGGCTGGCATGGGAGGCCTCCTGGCACCAGCCTCCCCTATGCTCCCTTACAGCCAACTCTCTGGACTCCTGGGCCCAAACACTTAATCCAATTTGTGAAGACATTTAGTTTGGGAATGGGGGGAAGGCATTTGAGAAACCTTGGAAAACTGCTGCTCTTGGCAACTAAAACAATTGAATGGACAGACCCAGGTTGACTGGAAAGGGGGAAAAGGATTAATTAGCATCATGTGGCCACCTGGGATGGGCACATGCCAACTGGCAGCTTCTCAACTAATTACTCTTGCTAACTAGGAGCTTAAGTTCAGCTGGTTTGTTGTTGTTGTTGTTTTTTTTTGCTTTTTGGTGAGGTGATTGGGGTTAAGTGACTTGCCCACGGTCACACAGGTAATAAGTGTTAAATGTCTGCAGCTGGATTTGAAGTAGTTCAGCTGTTTTTGATAAAGGAGTAAAAATATTGCCAGCGCCCTCAAAATGTGTGTCTGTAGACAAAGCCCTGCTGGTCTGCCCTCGTTGTGGCTTGGATGGTTTTCTACTTTTGCTTATGGTATTTCCCCCACCCGCTTCAGGTCCACAGGCCCTATGAAGGCTCCCCGACCGTCTACTCCAGCCTGGTCACTTCTCCCTCTTCTGAACTGCTGAAGCTCTTGCTGTCTCTGTCAGTCAATTCACCCTTAGTACAGAGCCCTGCCCTCTTCTGAGATTTTTTTCCACAATCTTTGTCCCTGCCCATAACTTGCATTTCTGTATCAGCCACAGTGCTCAATCTAGAATGGGTACTGAAGAAAGGCTACAAGCATTCACGATAGGCCTAAAAATTAAATTATTAAAGTTCTTTGCTTGTAAGAAAATGTTTCCCCGGACACCTGCCTCCCTGCCCCTGCAACTCACCCCCATGGACTCAAAAACCACTGAGACGCTCACACCACACATAACCTCATCCTGTAGTTCTGAGTTAGAGGAGAACTCTCAGCCTTGAGATGGGAGCTGGAGGCTCGGCACATCGCATTAGGTCATATTTCTTGGCAGGAAGCTCTCACCAGAGGATATTTTAAAATACCTCCCATGTTTAACAGCAGCAAGAAGCATAAATGCAGCCTAAGCAGCCCTGCCATAATGCTGCTGTTGCCAGAGCCCTGAAAAGATGACCTGACCGCTTGAACTTCTGGCTCTTAAAGAACTGTATGTATTGAGTGCCATTCTTATTTTAATCATGTGCTTATAAATTTGCTACTTCATATAGCTAACAGATGCCCTTGGTCAGAAGGGAGTCTCTTTCATCTTTGGTGATTGTGAGGCCACGCAGGTCCATGAAGAGGGTTGGGTTTGGTGGCCTGGGTGCACGCGCATCAGAGGGGTCTATGAAAGCTGGACGTCTAAAATCTCATGTCATTTGGAAAGGACAAGACAGACCATCATGGATGGAGAAGACGCTAGCACAGCAGAGATAAGAGCTGAGATGGTTTTACAGCTGCTGACTCCTGTGTCTTGCTTTGACAAAAAAGAAAACCAAAGCAAGTCCCTCTACCAGGGGCTGTTTGGTGGCAGCAGAAGTTGTAAGAAGAAAAAACAGGAAAGTAGAAATGATGCTAGGGGTGGAAAAATATATATATATATATATATATATGTAGCAAAAATACACAAGTAAATATTAGAAACAGACGAGAATATTCTAAAAGGATAAACACTACACCAAGGATTCAGAGATGACAGTCAGACATCCACACGCCTGGTCTGTGGCCAGGTGAGGAACCCACCTGCTGATTCCAGGTCTACATGAAAGTATCCTGCTGCCTTACTCACAATCATAACGAGAGATGAGAAAGCCAAGTCTTCACCCTCTCTTGAAGACAACTCATCCTGAGGCTACAGTGATTTAACAGGTGCACTCTGAGGCCCTGGTTTTAAATGCATAGTTCTAATAAAGGGCAGTGCTCAGGCTTCTCAGAGATTTCATGAAGAAGGCCACAATTTTCTAAGCAGCTAACTGCATAAACAGCTATGTGAGAACTCTTGGCTTTGTGGACTGATCACAACATCACTCATATCGAGGCCAGCCTCTTTCCAGTGGCTGCTACGGTCCTCTGCAACCTTAGTCCAATTGGCTAATGTATATGAATGCTTGGAATATAAACTAACATTCACATTAACCTAGATCAACACAAGATAAGTCATCTATAAAAATAATCATATAACAAGAATTCTAAGGCTTAACAATCACAAAGGAAATAAACAGAAGATAAAACAACAGGTCCCATTTTGTGTGATCTGACCTTTAAGGGGCCTGGTTTCAAGGAGGCACCCTGAAATAACAAAGGCCCTAAGAGGAGTCAGCTTACGCAAAGTATGGATGCTAGTTAAATTACGGCTATGAAACTTGTTTTCAATTAATTTTATCATAAATCATTTCATTCTTTAACAGGGCTTATCTTAAGAGTCCACAATACTTTAAAGATTAATCATAACCACCATTATATACATTTAAAAAAGAAAATATATTTGTAATTGGCCAGAATAATAACTTTCACTTCCAAGATATTTCTGCTCATATTCAAGTCAATACTTTCCTACAGTTTAATAAGGCTGAGGATTTGTTTGGTTTTGCTTATTCAATGAGGTGGATTTGGCATTCATTACCTTACCGAACTCTTAAAGAGTCAAATTTTGTTTCTCCTTGCCAAGGCAGAATTAAATTTGCCTCAAAAATGAAAGATGTAGATGACAGGTTTTGACAGTACTGGTGATCAGAAAATTGCCTGGTTCCATGCACAGACCCTCATGCATTCATTCATGAGAATTTACCTTATAAGCCATTTTTGAAAAAGTGCTTTAGGCAGGCGTTAACCTCTATCTAATAAAATGTTAAAATGTATTATAGCTACCATTCTAAGAGAAAACAAAGACTTCAAAAGTATTAGAAATTATTCAACAAATTATCTACAACTAATAGTGTCATTTCATGAATACTACAAATCCAGGTCATAAGGTATTTTTCTGCCCTTAAATTTGAAGTCACTGTGTTACAAGTTTTTTTTAAACATAAATAAGATAGAGAAATAAGAATATTGCTTTAAAAAAACCCACATCACAAAACCCTAAATCAGAATGATGAATTAACAAGAACGATGAGATTATAAATGAAATGTGAGTTTCAACCAAGACATGTAATGAGCAGATGAGTCCATGACTGACTACACAGTGAGGTCCAGTGGTAGGAGATACTACCTAGTATATGCAAGCTCTGCTCTGCTGCTACCTGGATCAGCTAGCAGTTGCCTATTGTCCTCCCCTCTGTGCTTGCTTTCAGCAAATTCATATGCTGAGCTGACTGAGCCCTTATCTTCTTCCATCTAGAAGAACAGAAAAGCAACAGGTCTCATATTACAGAGAGCAACACTTTCACCATTATGCAGGTAAATCATAGCAGCAGGCTGCTTTTAAACAATAATAAGATGCAGTCATGATCATCACAGAACAGGGCACAGTTACTTTCACAAAAGAGGGCTGATGATAAGCTTTTCTGTGTAGACAAATTACACAAAATAAATTTATGATTTAAAACTACACAAAAAAGTTATAATACATACAGCAACTGATAGAGAAACATTAGTCTCTCCTGTTGATAAGTTTTCTTAACTAAACAAGGGTTCTAATCCTAAAGTTACTTTCATGTTTTCCTCTTACCCTCCTTTGTCATGAAGAGGATTTTTCCTCGCCTAAACGAATTTCAAAATGGTTTTCCATCCCTTTTTATGGTGGCCAGAGAAGAAAGAGTTCAATGGCACCACCAACATTTGCAACTAAATTTGGTTCTCCACCTCCAATGACTAGAACCTTTACCTTGAAATAATTTACTTTTTAAAAGAAAAGTGAGTACTGAAAATCTCCATTTTGATGTCCTCTATACTTGTAAACAAATTAAGTTTCCTAAAAAATACTTTATTATGAAAAATATCAGTATCTTTCTAAAAAAATTATCTATTTAAGGGGATGGGCTTTCAAAATAAAAAAACAACAAACAACAATAACAACAAAGCATACCAAACCAATTCTGACCTCATTATTCTGTGGCTTGCCTTTTGTAGGCATAAGCAACACTAACTGAAAACTGTTTGTGAAAATAATGCTTATTTAAAAAGTGTCTCACATTAAAGATGGGAGGGGAGGGGGAGAGAGGGGAGAGGGAGAGAGAATCAAGTGGCTAAACTGGCCAGCTTCAAGATATGCCTATTGAGCAGCTGGGAGCAAGAATCCTCCAGATGAATTCTAGGTTCCAATGAACCTAGAATTTTACATTAAAAATTCTTTAAGAAACTACATAACTGAACAAGACTGATTTGGAAATGGTTTCTTGGATGTTTGAACTTCATAAATATTTTCTCTCTGTTATACTGCACTCTCAGAAAAACGTCTACAAATATTCAATGCCACTATACATCATTTTAGAAACCGGGGGTGGGTTTCCCCCTTTCCCCCTTCTAGCACATCATAAGGAGAGCTTTGTGAGGTAAGCAGGCCGTGGTCTGTCCTCAACCCCCTCCTGTGGGGTTCTGGGAGATGCTCTTTTCACTAGGTTGGTTGATGGATATTGGCAAAGCGTCCTTTGCCTGCCTGCCTGCCTCCACTGGTGGGGACAAGAAGAGCGGTGGTGGCTCACTCTTCTGCTAAAGTATAACTGACCTCTGAAGAAGGTGGGCAGTAGGGAAGCAATGGGAACAAGGAAGCTGAGGTAATCAGGAGAAGGTGAGGAAGCCTGCATTCAACTAGCCTCTCCCCTTTCTGGCCACCTTGCAGGGAGCTACCACTTAAGGTGACTGTGAGAATTCAGCCCTGGGGAATCAGGGCTTCCTCTGCTTGAGGCACTCCATTGCCCCAGGCTGCTGCAGCTGGGCACTGTGTACACTATAAATGTGCCTTGATTTAAGCAAATCTGTGGAAAAGAGTGATTTCATAAAATCAGTACAGTAATTCATGTTACAAAAGGAACTTTTGGTTTACTAAAATTTTTGCCATAAAGCTTCTTTAAAATAGTAAATATGTTTAATATACATAAAATGATTCAATTTACAAAAAAATTTAAGGGACGTGTTTTTGGGCCATTCAACTTGAAGGTAAGACAAGTGTTCAAGTACTTGTTTTTGTGACAGAATACAACTTTGCTTATCATCAATAATTTAACTTCATAATCATTAACTTCAAGGCATTTAAAAACTGAATCAATTGAGAAAGATTATTAAAGATTATCATTCTACTATTGTTCAAATTCTAGAAATGCTTCCAAATCCTATACTGAGAGTCAAGACAGAGACAGTCATCCTCTGCCCAAAGGATACCAAGATTGACTTGATGAAATAGTGGCTGTTTTTGTCTGAAATTTTTTTAAAAAGGTAAATTTATTCAAGACAATGAAAAGCCAATAAATTCCAATCTTGAAAACTCAGAATCCCTAACTGGATTACTTTTGCTTCCAAACCACAGAAGCTTCAATTTATGATTCAATAGCATGTTAATCTCAAAAGTTTCCTGATTTATGCTTTTTTTCTTTCCACCACATATTTCTACATCATTGGGGGTGTGTGTGTGTGGTGAGTGTGAGAAAAGCTGGCAGTGGGCTATCTGTGGAGATACAAGCATGGATGACACATTAAAGACAACGTTCAGTTCACAGACACGCTTACTCAACGACAGCAAGGACTGTCTGGGTCTCAGCTGCTACAGAGAGGACACACACACACGCACACATGCATGTAGATTTGCAACACATATGAAGGCAAGAGAAAAAACGAGCAACTCTCATGCCCAAATGATTGCATTAAGTTTAAGAGCGGTTTGCCCGTAATTACTTCTCGCAGGCTCTAACATGCAGAAGCACTAGGGAACCTGGCAGCGCCACAAACAACAGCCTTCGAATTGTGGGAGAAAATGATACTGAAGTGGAAGAGGGTGCAATGAGGCCCTGATGGCCGCTGCTGCCCACATGCACTCGCTCATGCCTCTCCCGCCCTCTCTCTGGGCTGTCCGTGGCCATTCAGCGTGCAAAGGGAGAGAGGCCGGGCTGCCTACTCTACCTAAGTCTGCTCAGCTGAGTCCTGGCCCTGGGCAATGGCTGCAGTGCGATGAATTCGTCACTTAAAGCAACTGGGCTGGCGTACATCTATAAGGGACAAAGAAGGGGGGACAGACAAATCAGTAAGGAGTCAGGACATGTGATCAGATGAGACGAGGGCAGAGGATACATATGGCACACCACACACGACTCAAAGGGGCAGGCCTAACTGTTCAAAGGATATCAGTGTTATTGATTCTTCACACTTAGACCAAAAGCTCAGAAAACAATCTCAGAAAAAAGGGTAACTTTCAGTTCTGGACAATGTTTCTTGTTAGTTTTGTTTAAACAACAAATTTGCTAACATTTGCGTTTGGGCTGGACTGTTTTATTTAGTGCATTTTCTTCTTCTCTTGATGATGCTGAACTAGAAGCCGTCCACATCTACGGCAAAGAAGTAAGGTCCCACAAAGGACTATCATTTCTTTACAGGGTTTTGTTGAAAAAAGAAAGTCAGAAAAGGTAACCCAAGAATGAAATGTTTGGTGGATCTGTCTAAAGTACACCAAACAAACACAGTCAACTCAGCGTAAAAAAGATTGGCTAAACCAGGTGTTTGTAAATACACGCTCAAGAACCAGTCTGCTGAAGTAAACACCCCTACTCCGAATCAGTAATTTGGGGATCCTAAAGAGGTGGGGTCAAAACTCTGTGTCATTTTCTCAAAAAGCTCAAGCACAGGTAATACTGCACTAAAGCCCAGACACTGACTTCATTCCAGCTAAATGCACATAAGGTGCCACATATTTTCAGAACCAACCCTTTAACATATAACTAATTAATGTCACCAGTCTTCACTCCACTGTGTGACTGCTAAGAAAGTACTTTCTGTGGTGCTTTTCCTAGTGTACAACTTCTAGCTGTAGCAATAAATAACTCAATCTAGTCGCAATCATGTCCCATAATGGATTTGTTTTATAATGACTATATATGTAGGACATAGACAATCTAGCACTTCAGAGGGAGAAAAAAGTATTCTCTGAAGACCTAGACGAGAGTTTACAATGCACTATCAAACCACCTGAAGCTTACATATTAATCACTGTATATGTTTTACAATAATTAGTTGAAGACCAAAACATTTCCACTATCTATTTTTAGACCTAAATGCTTACATAGCATATATTGGAAAGGCTTGTCAACATTAATACAGAGTGGAAAGATTTGTGTGGTCAATTTGGACTGTACAATTTCTTTCCTCCTATCTAGAAATATTTTATCAGTACGACACCATAATATAGTGTAAACCAGACCACGGGCTAAAGTTTAAGCACCAGTTCTCCAGGGTTAATTAACCAATACCTACACACTAAAGAAATGTTTTGTCAAAGAGTGCCATATTTATTGACAAAAATAAAAGGACTTATGGGAATCCTAGTGTCTTCTATGTACGAGACACTTCTGTTTGCACTCTGAAAACTCAGCATTCAGATGAGAGGTTTGGTCTCTCAGAAATGCCGCCTAGTGGCAAATCTCCTGCAGTCACCACCTCAGCTTCACTGCTACACAGTGGCTATTAAGAAGTCACTCTAGCCAGTCAATAGTAACGTGAATAAACGTTCACTGCTAGCACAGTACACACAATGAGAAGTGAGTGTGGGTTATTACCGAGCACACAGGGACATACTCTCTTAAGACTGCTGTGAGACATAGTGTTCTATCAAGATGAAGAGTTTTCCAATTTTAATCACACACACATAGCATAGAATCTAATTCCTATGTTACATGCCACCAAAACTCTACTCCTATAATTAATATCTATCAAAAATGACCCAGAGAATAAAGATTTCCCATAAAAACACAGCTAAGTAAAAGTCGTGCAGCCCAAACAGCTTCTTATCCTATGTGCCATCAGAAAAACGTCAGGCCCTCAAATTAATGAAGATATTGAAAATATACCACAGCTTCTAGAGTTATCTAACAATATCATTCTTAAAATAAATTTATTACTATCTGGTAAACTAATGTTTTAATATCTAGAACCACCCTAATGAATACAAATTATCTTCATTTATAAAAGAATACTGTTCAATTTATTTACCAAGAAGCCTAAAAGTTACAAATACATTAAAAAATGTTTAAATTAAAACATTAAATTAAAATGTAATTTTAAAACCATGCTTTAAATGTGTACATAGCAATACATTAAAAATAAGCATTTCACATTGAAAAGGACAGTATCATGCATTGTGACAAAAAATACATATAATACAGCCACTTCCCTACAAGTCTTCTAACAGTTCGTAGTTGCCTCTTGAAATAGGAAAGGGCTTCCTGTGCAAACGTGTTACCTGGGCCTTCTCAGTGCTCGTTGGACGTAGCTGTCGTTCAAACGCTTTCTTCACAACGTCGAGAAACAGGCAAGTCACCACTATAAGGATTACGGCAAACCAGGCCGAGCCGCTTGACAGAAGTTGAACGAATACAAAGTATGTATCCAGAAATGGCCTGTGAGATTAAGAAATAAAGTCCCCTTAAGGGCGCAACCAGAAATGCTCACATCAAATCACACAGCCAAGAGAATGTTCCGCTGCAAGGTGACTTGGTTGGAGAGACTACCCCATTAAAGTGATAGGGATTTGAAATCAATACCATCTAACAAACTGAATGACAAATGAAACAGAAGATAACTCAGTTGTTAAGATGAAATCCAATTAAATGGCTCCTTAGTGAAACTGCCCAATGCTTTCATGGTCTTGATGAGAACTGTCATGGCATGACCTTGCAGAACAATAATCCTAACTCTCAGTGGTCCAGGCCTTTCCTTCTGCTGATCTGCAGAGGTTGTTATTCTCTCTCTCTCTCTCTCTGCCCATTTACTATGACCCTCTGTTCCTAGCAGATGTTCAAATATACCACCTTGACATATCAAAGCACCAAGCAGTATTGATAGATGTTTCTAAGTAGTGACTGAGGTCAGCTGCCCCAATCTCTAGAAGGTTAAAACCATGCTCACACTTTACTCTAAAAATATTCTTCATGACAAACTTCATGATCAATAAAACATTGGTCCTGCACAACAATAGGCTGTTTTCTATTTTACAGAGTAAGTAACTCAGCTTTAGAGAGGCAATTAATCTATTGGCTGCTTGAATTACATCAGAATCAGCCTTATCCAAGGAACTGGACATCTGAACAAGAAATATCTACAAAAAGATATTTGCAGGTACCATTTAGAAAGAAGGCAGGGAAGGAGACATGTACAAAAGCACTGTAGAAACAAAAGGGCTGTTTCAAACAATGCTCTGGTTTGAAAAGCAGCAGCTCTTCGGAGTGGATCTGAAGGCCAGAGCTTAGAGGCACCTCCCTTCCAAGGCTCACCCTCACAAGCTCAACTTTGCTGGTTTTGTCAGTGAAAACCTAACACGAACTGTCTAAGAGGTTTAGGCTTCCTGTTACTTTAAAATGTCAACTGATATTCATTTATTCTCTACCAGAATTAGAAAAAAAAATGGATGTACCTGGCATAAATAAGTGGCCCTCTATGCTACAGAAGAACAGGCACTCAAATCTCTTCAGACAAGTATATTGTAAAACAACACCTATTTCATGACTTGGGACTCAAGTAGTAACAGTATAACTTGGCATCTCCTATAGTAAACTGAAACAGACTTTGGGGGTCTATTCGATAGTAGAACTAGGTCCAAAGATTATGAAGAGAATGGAATTAAAGTATAACACTGAGAGTTAAATATGTACTTAGTGTTTAATGGTTACGACACAGATGATCTAGCTACAATCACTCACCAGAAAATTCCTCCATAAAACAAAGAGAATGCAAAATAAAATACAATGGATCCCCAGGTAACAACATGATTTATCCAGGTCCAGAAGTGAGTCTCCAAAGCCATCTAAGATATCAAACATAACACACTGAGAAACACATTCGCATAAAAAATATTTGCCAAATTTAATACAGAAAATTAGTCAAAACTACTGCTATGGTTACTTGGAAATTAATCTATTTTATACATAGTTTGAGACACATGGCCAATCTTTAGATGATCATCTACATGGGGAAGTTTAACCTCAATAAATATTCTTTTGGACTCTGTATACTTTGCCATTAGTTCTGCATTAATACAATCTACATTAATGTAAAAACAGAAGCTAGACACCTATAATTACAGATCCTAGGAAAGGATGAATCAAAATGTGAAAGAGTGAGGAGAGAAGAAGGACTTGGAGAGAAAGGGTGGAGGAGAGAAGGGAGGGAAGGAAAGAAGGGAGAGAAAAAAAGAAACAGAGGAGAGAAAAGAAACAGAGGGAGAAAGAGGGTACTTGGAAGAGCACTCGAGGGGAGGAAAGTGGGCACAGAACACAAATGTCTCATACAATTGGCCTTCACCAATTAGCCTTCTCTAACACAAAGAGGAAGATGATACTTCCTTGGCCATGTCTGCAGAAGTGGACCCCAACACTGCAGATGTGTATCTTCCCAGACTAGGCACATGACTATACATCTAAGTACAAAGACTCCCTCCAAGACCACCCCTCCTACCCCCACCCACCCCCGAAATTTGTTGATTCATTGTCTCCGAGGGTGATGGGATCATGGTCTCCTCAGTCTGTGTTACTAAGAGAGCCAGGAACGGGCTCCACAACAGCTTCTGCTGTCAACAGGCAGTCACAACTTCACAAAACTTACATGAAAACTAGGTTTATTAGAAGAGAAATGGACATGCAGGTGGAACCCAGAGAGTTCAAAATCCACACAGAAGTCTGCATATTTATGACAGTACAACAAAAGGAGGAGAAAACACAAATCTCTACCTAAAGGGGTGTGATATGGGAGGGGGAAAGATGCAGTAAAGGTAAGAAAAAGACAAAACCCCTCTCAAATGGGGGAAGCAAGGTGATGGCAAATGCCACATTCTTTTCCCTTGGGAGCTGCTACTACACCACGAAGATAGGAGGGTCTGCTTATCTACAAAGCCCCATCTGCACAAGCAGTTTCCCAGTGTAGTGCAGGCTGACTGGCACCTGTCTTGACTCCCAAGGACACACAGGGAGTCCAGTCTGGGGAGCAAACAACAAATTACATCAGCTCGGGGGAGCTTTGTCCTTGACACATGAGGGCCTCCTGCATACTCTGGGTCCAGTGTTTCTGGAAGATATGGCAACTCAAAAAGACAAGTTCAGGGGACCCCTTAACACTGCCAGGCGAGATGCCTGCTGAGAACAGACATGCACAGTCATACTTTGGGGTATAACATTGGAGGCTCCTAGATGTTAATACTAAACATTATTAATGACTTAATAATTGTTCTCTACAAGGGACTCATGGCTGCCAACATTCTGACTCATCCCACTTTGTTTCTGAGTCCCACTTTTACTTGAAAAAGCCCTAGAGCTTTATGAAAGATATAAAAGATGCTCTGGCACCCCACCCCCTCCCTTCCCCCGCCTCACCCTCATTGCTGTACCCTAAGTACACTCTCCCAGGGCAGTCCTCTGACTATGCACCGTCTCTGCACTGCCAGAGGAGCTGACTGACCGAGGCTTATGGCACTAATGAACTTAAGAGAAGATTCTTGAATAAGGGGAGTAGTTATAATAAAAATGCAGACTAACAAGATCCACGGTCAAACATTTAAGTGCTGGGAAAGGGGAAAGAAAAATAAAAACATCTAAGAATTTTGCTGAAGAAACCAAAAATACTGACATTAGCTGCACTGGACTACAAATATATATTTAAATGTCTACACATTTGTAGGTGTAGGTTGCTTACCTTTACTGTGACTGTAATAACCATTACTGTGAAGACTAACGTACCAAATGTCCAATTTCCAAACATCTAAGTAGAAAGGATGAGTTATTGCATTACTACTAATCAAAAAAGAGTATTATCAACTATAAGATACTACATTTCCCAAATAATTTAATAAATCTTCTATACTCTTTAAAACTGTTTCCATACATGTGTGTGTTTATAAATAGAGACAGAGATATAGCGATCAGTGGTGTAGACTCACATTCTTTTGGTAAAATGGATTAAGGAGGGGATAGGCAAGTGCAAATAACTGAGGTTATATTGTTTGCCTTTTAATTTTTGCTGGCCTGTAATCGCAGCATTTAAATAACAAATAATCCATATTAAGAACATTGCATAGCCTTTTAATGTGAAACCAAATATTGACAACTTAAATTTCTTTTGATCTTTACAACTTTTACTCTAATTCCATTTCATTATAAGTGAAACATTTAAAACTGTAACAAAAATACTAAAAACATTTTAAGAAAACCATTATTTGGGGTATTTCTTTTACCTGACCATTTCCAAGTAGAGATACGTCTTCCCATATTAGAAAATAGCATCCAAAAAAGAAAATGAAGGCATGACTAAAACCCAGGATTGTCCAATAAAGAAATTTTTTAATGCTCAAGTGACTATTTTTACTTATGTCCCTGTAAATTGACAAAGAAGAAAAAGCAGCTTTAGAAACCACACTCCCTATGCTATGAAATAACAGCTGTAAAGCATTAGCAAGTGCTTGGCATATAGTAGGTGCTTAATAAATGCTTGTTCCTTCCCTTTCTCTCCCTCCCCTTTTTATTAAATAGCTACTGAAATAAAAGAAACCAAAACTGACTTATTTTCATTGGTAATGATTAAGTGATTAGAGCTTTTAAAGAAAAGCCAGACTACAGAAGAAGATAAATTTACTTTAATTCAAATCCAAGTGCGATCCAAGTGGGCCTTTGGCGGAATATAAGCAAACACGCTAAGCCCAAGAACAGGAGAGGCTCCTCCATCACTGCAGCCCTTTATCTGGCTCTATCACTGAGTCAGTCCTTTACTACGGGTGGGTTTGTTTTGTTTTGGTTTTTTCCAGTGAGGCAATTGGGGTTAAGTGACTTGTCTAGGGTCACACAGCTAGTAAGTGTCAAGTGTCTGAGGCCGGATTTGAACTCAGGACCTCCTGACTCCAGAGTGGGTGCTCTATCCACCACACCACCTGGCTGCCCCAGGCCGTTTGGTTTTCATCAAGAGTTGTTAGGAAGAGCAGAGTCTAGCCAAACTCTATTTTAAAAAATAATTCAATTTAATTTTATTTCCAGTTCTGAACTGTCTCTCTCCTTCTTTTCCCTCCCTCAACCCCTGAAAAGGCAAAGGAAAAAAAACTCATTACAAATATGTCTAGTTATGCAAAGCATTCTCATATTAGCCATGTCCAAAAAAAGAAAAGAAAAAGAAGGAGAGGAAAATATGCTTCGATAGGTAGTCTGAGCCCATCACTTCTCTATCTGGAGGTGGATAGAGCATATTTCATCACGAGTCCTTTTGAACTGTGGCTGGTCATTGTGTTGATCAGAGTTCTAATTATTTCACTTTGAATCAGTTGCTACAACTTTTCCCAGGTTCGTCTAAAACTAGCGCCTTCATTTCTTACAGCACAATAACATTCATATACCATACCCTGTTCAGTCATTCACAAACTGATGGGCACATGCTTAGCTTCTAAATCTTTGCCACCACAGAAAGAGCTGCTATGAATGTTTTTGTACACGTGGGCTCTTCTCTTGCTTTCATGTCTTTCGGGGTATACTGCTGGGTCAAAGGGTCAAATCAAAATCTGTGATAACTGAAGCTGGACATTTATTAGACAAGTTCAGGTTGTGATAGTACTATGAGAACCTGCTTTTAGCCTATATGAGCTGAGATGTTTTGTTTGTTAAAAGGATGGTATTAGGCTGCAATCGTTATTAATTTAGTAGAAATGGCCTAGTAAGGGTTTAAAAAAAATGAGAAAACTTTGTATTTTCTCCGATGGTATTCCTAGCACCTTTCAACTCTCTCCTTGAATACAGTCATGTACAGCCAAGTGGTTTCTGTGTAGCTTACAATCTGTTTGATTATCCCGAGTTGTATTTTCCACAGTCTTCCTCTTTAAATGAAGTAATAAACAAATTACTCAAAGTATATGGTGCTTTAATTTGGAGAGTTTCATAAAATATTTTGTTTACCATCTTGTGAAACAGATGGAGTTACAGCTCTTTGTTGGCAGAAGAGCAGGGAGACTGACAGCTAAGGCCATAATATACCAGGCCTCATGGTGTCCATCATCATGAGTATGCTCTAAAAGGTCGCTGGCATCTTTATTCCTAGTTTCATCCCCAAAGGTCCCACCTGGGATACCGTCACCACCATGCTGATGATTTGTGCAGCTGGCGGCTCTTTTTTGGCTTACTGCTATTTTGGACCATGCTCATTTTGGACCACCATTTGAAACATGAAATGATCTGGCAGCTTAAGTATCCGTGGCCTTGATCAAGAGGATAATCTGTGCAATTCTTTATCATCTAGGTAAAGATAAATCCTCTAGATGTTAAAGTACGTCTTAATCTAAAGAAAGACTGTCTTGACTCATTTGTTTTGAGACCAGTTAGTGACATTAAACATTTACACTGTATTTGAATTCTCATCTTATTCTAGCTGTTTTTCTTTTTAAATAAAGAGCTATGGTTTCATTAATTACTACAAGATCATGTTCAGAGGAAAAAAGCTTTCCCTAATGGTGCTGGAGCTATACGATGTCTTTTCCACAGAGTTTAAAATTAAATTTCTCTTGCTGGAATAAATTATTTTTCTGCTTTCTATGGGGAAAAAACCAAGATAGTGGTACATAAGCTACAATTATCTTCATGAAAAACTGGAAAAATCAGGTATGGTCTTAAAAGACAACTTTAAACACACACACACACACACACACACACACACACACGTCACTTGTTTCTATCGCTTCCACATTTAAGAAAAGGAATATGCTTACCGATATAGAGTAGGTTTGCTCTGTAAGACGTGAGGATGTACATGCTGTTCCAAAAGACTATATATCAGAATAGGTAAAGAAGTGAAACAAATATTGTATAAAGTCAGGTAAACGCTGTCATATAGTGTCTAAAAACAAAAACAAATGGATATTTTTGAGATGTTAAATTACAGAGGTGATATCACATCCATTTGTATGTAATAACTGATGGTTACACAGACAGTACAAGGGTTCTTAACGTTTTGAGTGTCATGGACCCCTTGGGCAGTTAAGGTTCAAATGTATTAAATAAAACACGTAAGATTACAAAGGAAGAGGCAGCTAGGTGGTGCAGTGGAAGCACTGGCCCTGGATTCAGGAGGACCTGAGTTCAAATGCGGCCTCAGACACATGATAACACTTACTAGCTGTGTGACCCTGGGCAAGTCACTTAACCCCATTGCCTAGCCAAAAAAAAAAAAATACAAAGGAAAAAATTATACTGAAAGTCATCAAAATATTTTTAAAAAATAAATTCAAAAAGATTCCAATTTAAGAACCTCTGATACAGTGTTTTAAGTTTTACAAAGTACTTTATATACATTATCTCATTTTATCTTTACAATGGTCCTACAATCATAGAATCATACATTCTGAGATGAAAGGATCATTTAGCCCACTCCCTTAGGACCCCAAGAATTACACAGAAATGAAGATCCATCTTTTTAACACCAATGTCCTACTGGTATTGCTGGTGACATGGCGTACAGGAGTCCCTGAAGAATTAAAGAATGACTCTTACACAAAAAGCAATAGAAAGGCATATACTGGTTGTGTGCAAGCTGCACTGTAGAGCCAATGAGGAACTGTGAAAAACAGGAATGCAGGATGTTATCAAGAAAAGTCTGACAGGAAGAGAAGATGGTACCACAGGTACTTTGACAACTCCTAGAGTAGACACTGCCCAAAGGATACCACATGGAGTACGAGTCCAGCACAGAGTTCAGCACATTTGGTGGACTCCCTGTGGCAAATGTATGGGAGGATATGGATGAGAATCCCACAGGAAAGGCAGGTATGGATGGGTTGCAATTTATATGATTGGAGGGAATGTATGGACTAGTGAGATCACAGATGCAGCTGAGTAGTGAGAATCATAATTGCTTTGCTGGTTTGCCATCAGAATCATATGAAGCAAGGCATGCAGAGTGTTTTGCAAATCTTGAAGCTCTATATAAATGTCAGTTATTATTAGAGAAAAGACAAAACACAACTTACACCTATTTACTTACTTGTTGTGAAAACAAGCAATAGAACTGATATAAAAATTGCGGTGTGATAAAACACACATTCTGGAAAGCAAGATGAAAAGAGAATTTTCCATTAGAAATATTTAGTACAAAAACAGAGAACTTAAAGAATACTAGCTATATTTAACAATAATCTCTGTATCTTATTAAATACAAATGAAAGCTTCTTAGAACTGGACAGCTGAGGAATGAAAATGTGTACACACAACTAGTGGGTAAGGCAGAAAATTTGGTGTAAATAATACTGGATAGTGTTTTTTCCATTTTATAGGAGAACAAAATTTAAGAGCCAGCACAAAGACAGGAATTCAAATCTCCCTGATTCTTTTATTTGGCTAGGTACCTAATATAAAAAATTTTGACTTCCTAACCAATATTCTTAACCTTGTAACCACAGAAAATTTGTTTACATAATACAAAGTCTTAAGTTTGCAAATGTCTTAATTTAAAAAATGCAAAAAAAGTTCAGTTATACATCTAATAGATAAAAAACTAAGAATAATCATTCTCAAGAAGCTCCCATCACCTCCTTCTAGACATGTGTACAAACTTCTCACCTGTAGCCCCGCGAAAGGAAGCTCCTCTAGGGGAGCAGCTAAGTGAGGGTGCCCTTTTCAGTATGCCTGGCCCTGAAATGGTACTCTACATGCAGCAGGCATTTAATGTTTGTTGTGCCGCAATGTATTATTAAAAGTGAAGTTTCCTCTTTAGGAAGATGAGGCTTTCTCTCTTTTCCCCTTCTACCTTCATTCCCTTTTCATCTTTCCAGGTGCTTCTCACCTGGACCAGTTCTAGGGCATAGTCTGCACTAGTGTGAAGTACTAAGACAAAACCGAAGGAGTTACAGGAGGCTCTGGACCCTCCTTTCCTGTCCTGCAGTGTCCCCAGAGTCCAGAACCCTCTAGTCTCCTCTGGCTTCTCCCCAGATGCCCTATAGCATGCTCTTCACCCCACAAAGAGCACGAGTTTGAAGGACCAGGCAATCTGAGGAAGCCCATCAGAGGAAAATCATTCCCTCACAGTCCCATGACAATCTTCCTTCTCCTCTCTCCCTCAACCCCTGCAGGAGCCCCCTTCCAAGCTAGAAAGCTACTAGGTCAAAGGCACCATTAGTGGCCTAGAGCTGGCAACCCCTGTTCTTACTGCCTCCTATGTAGGGACAATGACAAAGGAGAGAATTCTCTCCAACTACAAAAATGGTGAAGAGATACTCCTAACCTATGGACATGCAATCACGAACATGCTATGAAAATAATTACAACTGGCTCATTAGAGGTTAACTGTTTTTTCTACATTGACCTAAGAGACTAACTACCAAATCTTACAATGTTGTTATGGAAAAATGGATTTTAAGTTTCAAATGACTGACTTATAAATGAATATTCTGGAAAAAAACCAACGAATGTAAAAAACTTTTTACGTGTAACTGAGGGGAAAATAAAATACTACTAAAAATAATGAATAAATGAACACTTGGAACACAACTTGTACATAAGTTGGGAGCTGCCTATTATTAATAGAAAATCATAAGGTCATGCTGTTTGCTATCAAATAAAATCCCACTGCTTGTTCAGGATACAATTATGTGTTCTAAATATATTTCACAAACTCTCACTCTATAATAGAAAGTACCTTTAGTATAGTTTGTGCCAAAGTTAGGCTCTTTCTATATAATCAGGCTCTCTACACATAATTGTAACCCACCCAAATTTCATGAATTGTCAACTGTCTGTCTGCTTACCTTATAAAAAAAGTATTGTACAAGGGTTGCTATTCTAATATAATAAAAATGGCCATGGACAAAAAGCAATTTGGAGAGGAATTTAAATCTTGCAATTGCATAGTCACTGTTTCGTGCGGCCTGTCTTCCTTCTTTTCCCATAATTCCTGTAAAAGAGGCAAGAAAAAAAAGGGAAGACTCAGTACAGGTTAGCCTTCGTGATAGTAACAAATGCTTTGGTCTTTAAGGGTGCAACAACTTGAGGCTGACGTTACAACAAAGTCAAAAAGCTCTGTAGCTCTGCTGGAGTTCCTTTACAGTTTCTGGAGCTCTCACCAAACCTCTAACCCTTCTACCCCCAGACCACCATCAGCTTAAATAATACGATTACTTTTCTAAGAACAGAATGGCTGCTACAATTTCTGATGCAGCTATCTTATGGACAACAGCTTTAAACAGGCCAAAAGAGAATAACATTGTTATTGCTACATTTCATTACAGGATCAAAATGCTAGTTGATGCCAAACGTCAACCAATCAAGAGCCTCTACTAAGCTCCTGCTCCGTGCCGAGCACTGGAGACAAAAGACAAAAATGAGAAAGTCTCTGCCGCCAGGGCGCTTACACTTACATGGTACAATATCAAGGTAACATCAGTTTACACAACCGGTAAACAGAAAGTATTTAAAAAATAGGGGGAGAGGGACTGGACCTGTGTTTTCAAAGGTACAAGGAACTCTGATGAGGAAGTCCCCTCGGTAATTTTCAGTCTCACACAGCAGCCTGGAGCAGGGGTGTCAAACTCAGACCGAACTTAAGATGCAACTGGGAAATGGGAAAACACAACTCAGAAAATGCGTGTGTGCGGCTTTCTAAGTCACTATGCAGCCTAGGGATCCCTTTCTACTTGAGTTGGACCCGCTGGGCCAGCTGTCATTTTACACCTCCCTACCTCCTCAGCACAGCAGCTTTGCCAAAGCTCTTCCTCACTCCTAGAATGGCCCTCAGCAGCCCCTCTCCCTAGTTCTCTCAGCAGAAAACCTCCCTCCCACTCACCAAGAGCTTTTGACCTCACTCTCATCTTCCACCACTCAGGGGCCTTCTAGCACCATGTCCTCCTTCCATTCTGTCTCCTATGATGAGGTGGCCCTTCTCCTTGCCCAGGGAAACCCCTTTAGCTGCACAAGTAATCTCATGACCTCCCACCTCCTCTAGCAGATCGTGTCTTAACCTTAGTCTCTCCCTAACAGCTCCTTTCCCTTCATCCTTAAAACCCTCACTTGATCCGTCCATCCTGGCTGTCTCTCTTTCCTTTGTGGCTCAACACTTGAGATGGCCACCTCTAACAGCTGACTCCATATTCTCGCTCTCTGTTCTCACCAAAGTTATCAATGATCTCTTCATTACCTAATCCAACACTTTCTCTAGTCTCATACTTCTTGACCTCTCTGCAACCAATGGCACCATTAATCACCCTCTTCTTCTTTTTTTTTTTTTAAGGCTAGGCAATGGGGTTAAGTGACTTGCCCAGGGTCACACAGCTAGTAAGTGTTATGTGTCTGAGGCCGGATTTGAACTCAGGACCTCCCGAATCCAGGGCCGGTGCTCTATCCACTGCGCCACCTAGCTGCCCCTTAATCACCCTCTTCTTAATCCTACTCTTTTCTCTCTTTTTTGTGACTTAATGTTAGTGCGATTTCTCTACTGTTTAGCTCTAGTTAACTCTGCATGCCTTCTTTGTATACAGTTAATAATAATAACAATAATAATAATAATAATAATAATAATAATAATAATAGCTATCATTTGTTAAGAGTCTAGTTTGTGCCAGGTACTCTGCTAGGCACTTTGAAAACATCATGTCACCTGATCCTCACAACAACCCTGGGAGGTAGGAACTATTGCTATTTTCATTTTACAGATGAGAAAACTGAAGCAGAGTTTACGTGACTTGCCTAGTATCACACAACTAGTAAATGTCTGAGGCTGGATTTGAACTCAAGTCTTCCTGGTGCCAGGCCTAGTGCTCTTTACACTATGGCACCACCTAGCTGTCCCCTAATACTACCATCACCATAGTCCAGGCCCTCATCATCTCACAGCTGCCTCGAGACTCTCCCTACTCCAGTCCTTGCTCTGCTCAGCCACTCACATGATTTTCTTAAAGCCCATTCTGACCACGTTGCTCCTCCTGCCCCTTTAATAAAACTCTGGTGGCTCTTTACTGCCTGTAGGGAAGCCGTCATCGCCTTCTTCCCCTCCCAACATCTCCGACCGTCTTCTGCCTTACATCCAGTGACCCAGAACACTGGCTCCTTGCTGTTCCTCACACCAGACACTCAGTAAGCCTTCACTGGAATCCTCTCCCTCTTCATCGCCTCTGCCTGGGTTTGCTGCCTCCCTTCCAGCCACAACTGAACTTCCCTCCTCTGCTCTCCCTTGAAGCTGCCACTCCCCCGCTAGCGCTCCCCTCCGATTCATCCTATGCGGACCTTGTGTGCACCGGTCCTCTCCCATAAGGCTGAGACGTCCTGAAGGGCAAGGCCTGGCCTTGTTACAGCGCTGCCAGGGCAGCAGCAGGTGCTGAACCTGTGGCGGGTGACTAGTTCTTGACTACAGAGACAGCTCTCTATCCACTAGGCTAAGCTGCCTCTCATACAAAACAAACAGAATAATCTGGCAGGAAGAGGGGTGACACTAGTAACTGGGAGATCAGAAAAGTCCCAGGAAGGTGGCCACAGATAATGAAAGCAGAAAGTGCTGGAAATGGAGGGCACCGCAGGGGAAGTGCGTGTACTGACTAAATCATGGAGGCGTATATACTTTGTGGTACACTGGAGTCAGAGGACCTGGATTCCAATCCCACCTCCAATGCTTAATTGTGTGTTGTTAAACTCCCATGTTCTCGGTTAACTCATCTCCAAGACACGGGAGGTGGACCAGACAGACAGACTCGAAGGTCCCTTCCCTGTGCTTATGACCATCAGAAAGACTGGTCAGACTGGGCTGTTATTTTAGACGGGAGAATCATTTTCACGCTTCATATATTTGTACGTGTTAAAAGTTATTATAATAAGTATAATTACTGTAGGTAGCAGTACCTGGTCTAAAATGGATGATTTAAGTTTAAAAAAAAAGGAAAAAAAGGAATAAAGAACTAAGAACAAAGTTCACTGCCTTCAAGTGAGAGGACTGTGCGGCTCCCTTACCTACACTGCAGTCTCACACCGATTCCCTTCATCTTAAAGCTCGGGGAAAGACTGCGAAACCTTAAGATTCCAAAAGGGTGAATTCATAGCTACTAGTAACTTCGTAAAAGGTAGTATTAAAGACTTCCGAAGCATGCCAAAAGCTCCACCTGCGGGCAAGGTGTAACTGTGACTGTAGAAATCGCGTGGCCGAGTGGACAGAGCCAGGAAAGCCTGGGCTCCAGCTCCGCCGCTGGCCTGTCTTGGCGTGCCCGTCACCTGCACTGGGGGCTTCCTCTTGACGGTGCTCTCTGTGCTAATGAAATCGCAGATTCAGTCCACATCTCTACAATTATTATCATGAGTCACCAACTTAACGCACTGTAGAGGTTTGTACGCTCTATGATTTGGAACAGAAATCCTTTAAGAATTAGTGATTATTCAAGGAAAATTCAAAACCAGTATTTTAGCTACAATGTACTTATGAGAACAAAGCTTGGACACATGACAAGACTACGTGTGTGGCTTCAGCCTTATTTGCATATTTGGCATTGTAGTCTAAGAGACAAATGGAAAGTTCAAAATATTGACTACTTATCAACTTAAAAATTTAAGAAAAAAGTCAGTCACCTATGCCAACATGCGCTTCTTGTATCATGCTTACATCATTAGCACCATCACCAACAGCCAATGTTATAGGTTTTTCTTGTGAGATTTTGATCAGTCTTATTACCTGAAAAGAGACAATTTTAATTAGTTCTCATAAGATTAGCTCTTAGTAAATGCTTGTTGACTTATTACTAAGGCAAGATATGAATCATTAAGCCAACACAGCCTGTTTTTCTAAAGCAATAAGTATGAAAATACTCCTCCTTAACAGGTTCATCAATGTCAATGTCAAATATTCTTCATTCTATAAGCCATCAGACTACCCAAGGAAACATGTTTACGTGATTTTAGGTGCGTACACCTGAGCAACAGCACAGCTTGAGAGAAGAAGCATGATGGAAATTCTAGACACTCAGGCTGGAATAAGTTTGAGAGAGAAAGCATGAAGAAGGTAGCATTTCCAAAATTCAGCTATTCCTTTTCTTTCCAAACACAAACTTACATTTATTCAACATCATAAAAACTTAGAAATTAAGAGCAGAGGCAGAACTCATTTGCTCTTATTTCTGCTTAGTTGAGTTAAATTTAATTTATGGAAAATAAAGGAAAAGGTTAGGAATCTAAGAATGTCTTTCAAAAATAACATGGGGAAGAAGTATCTTTGCGGAAAAAATCCACAGTTGATTTAAAAAAAATTCCCTGTAAATTAAAATATTTTAAACTTCTTTTGTACTTCTCATTTCTGAATTCTAAGTTTTTATAAACAAAAATTTTCCCAATACCCAGGCTTACAGTCAACTCTGAGACCAAGAAGGAGACACAGAGAAGCTGGGAAACCTGCACTGTGCTACTCAGTGCTCTTGAAATGTTTCTCCATAGAGCCTGCCCCTAGAGTTCTTTTTATCTCACAGTTGAATTTATGTCAATTCCAGAACACAGACAAACTCTAAACCTTTCTTGGGTAAAAATGTATTCTTATAGGCAGCTGGTGGTACCATAGGGAGAGAAATTCAAATCCTGTTTCACACTAGCTGTGTGACTCTGGACAAGTCCCTTAACCTCTGTCTGCCTCAGTTTCCTCCTCTGCAAAATGAGGAAAATAATAGCACCTGTCTCCCAGGTTTGCCGTGAGAATAAAATGAGGTAATATTTACAAAGTCCTTTGTGAATCTAGCTTCTATAATTTAGTATCATATATTACATATTTATTGTATATTACATTATATATTTATATATATTATTATATATTATATATTTATATGAATTTTGGAAATGCTATCTTCTATTTATAAATGCCATCTATTTATAATAGTTTTAAGGTCCTCTCTTAAAAGCCAGCTCAAGCTCATCCTTCTTCCACACAGTTTTATCTGCCCATTAAGTGAACCACAGGTGTTTGTAGTTTATAGATGCTTCTTAAACAAACTTCCATTGCCTATAATCTAACACTTAAAAGGGAGAACTGAACAGTATTTAAAATCACACACAATAAAATCTGAATGCTGCCAAATTCTAAACACAGACTACTTGTGAAAAGAAAAGGCATGAAGAGGAGAGTCCCTAGGAGGTGAATCAAAGTGTGAACTCGAGTTGTGCTCAGCTCCTCAGCGGGCAGAGTAGTGAAGGTAATACAAGCACCCGATTTGGATTCAGGAGAGGCGTGGGCAAGTGCTCACCGCCTCCCCTTCCCATGTCCTTCTTTTTCTCGTCTTCTCACAGATCCTGCAAGGTCTACAGGCACCCTGGAGGTCAAGCTCTTTTTCACTGCCTATGAGGCACCACCAGGGCAGCCCCACAGAAAGCCTTTCTTTCCCTATGGATGTCACCAACCAGCCTTCTTTCTGAATCTGCATCCCCCCCCAAGTCACTGCAGGAAATATGTTAAAACCTCCTGACACTCATCATGCATTTCTCCTCTGCCCCTTAGGTGGCTCTCAATTCTGATTCAGTCAGTTGGTCAACAAGCGTTTATTAAGTGGTTATCATGTGCCAGGCAAGCACTGTGGGATGTACCAAGAACACAAAAAGGCTCAGAATACAAGGCAACTCAGTGGCTCAGTGGCTGAAGCATTGGGACCTGAAGTCAGGAAGACCTGAGTTCAAATGTGGCCAAAGACACTTTCTAGCTGTGTGGCCCTGGGCAAGTCCCTTAACTTCAGCTTGCCTCAAGTTTCCCCAACTGGAAAGAGGGATAATAATAGCAGCTACCTCACAGAGCTGTGAGGCTCAAAGGAGATCACTGCCAAGTGCCTCCAACAGTGCCTTGCACATAGTAGGTCCTATACCAGTGCTTATCCCTACCCCCTGAAAGAAGCGCTGCCCTCAAAGAGCTCAAGTGCGCATGCGAGATGTGCACAGGGTGGACAGAAGGTGATCTCCAAGGAAAGGAACGAGCAGCAGGGGAAGAGGGGAACGTTCTATCACCAGCAGTGACAGGGCCTCACAGGACTGCTTGTTAAATATGGGTTTTTATGGCAGGGGCTAGCTTGGCAAGATCACTGACGAGGCTGGATCATGTCCCAGCTAAAGCACCTAAGAACTACATGATGATGGACAAATTCAGTGGATCATCCACCCAGCTGAATGACAGCACCATTCACTGGACTTGTTCCTTGGTAGACGGCTAGGCTGACTCTGGGACTTGGGACACCTAACTTGATATCATCAGAAAATGAGATCACTTGGAGAACGCCCATCTACAAGTAATGCCTCTTCCATGCAGATTCGGCCTGGGATCCTCCATGCCGCCTCTGGTGACCTGCCTTTCCTACTCACTGCTGGGACGAAAGCACTCCTTTGAAGCTTGAATTGTTACAATCTGTCCCATAGGGTCATGATGAGGAAAGCATCTTGTAAACCTCCAGGTGCTATCCAAAGGTAAGGTATTATTATTATTACTATTCTATCTTGCAATTCTTTTCTGCAAACTATTTTGACCATCTTTTTCCAAATTTTTTTTTAGAGCAATAAGGAAAGATGGCCACTGACATGAGCTCCCATCAATTAACAGTATTTCTGTCTCAAGGAGGCCACAGTTTAAATACAGAGTAAAGCACAAATCTAAAGCACCCACGAAAGGCTCCAAAGTCACACACCCTCCCAACTGCCGGTCAAGAGCAAGTTCTCCACTTTAGGGAGACCAGTGCCCTTTGCTCCTTCCCCCCGCCTTCTCCTCTCCTGAACAGGCATTTTTTAGGTGGCTACCACACTCCAGGCACTGAGAGATACAAAGACAAGTGAAACAGTTCCTGTCTTCAGGGAGCTTATACTCAGATTCTCCATCTATACTTTCTCATTTGGTGACCTCATCAGCTCTTAGAGTTTAATTAGGCAGGAGACAGTCTTGCAAAGTGGAATAGGGGCTGCATCTGGGGTCAGAGAGCATCTTGGCTCAAATCCCTGCTCCACTTCTCACCAGCTGTGTGACTTTGAGCAAGTCCCCTCACTCCTTGGGGCCCGAGCATCCTCCCCTGGAGGATGAGGAGGCTGTATACTAAATCCTCTGCTTGGCCTTCAAAGCTCCCTCCCACCTTTCCAGTCTTCTTATACCTATTCACCACCACATACCCTTCCACCTAGTGACAGTGGCCTCCTAGCTGTTCCATGAAGAAGACCCTCCATCTCTGGGCTCCAGGAATTTCTCTGGCTGTCCCCCAGACCTGGAATGCCCTCTGTCCTTGTATCCAACTACTCACCTTCCTGGTTTCCTTCAAGTCCCAACCAAAATCCCATCTCTTACAGGAAGCCTCCAAACCCTCCTAATTCCAGTGCCTTCTCTCCGTTCATTTTTTCCTATTTATCCTCTATACAACTCGGTCCATATAGTTCGTTTGTTGCCCTCCCCGTTAGATTGAGAGCTCCTTGAGGGCAGGGGGTGTCTTTTGCCTCTTTTGGGATACCCCAAATGCTTATTAGCACAGTGCCGCATTCAGTGGCTACTTAATAAATGTTTACTGACCGATTGGCCTGAGGCCCCTTCTCATTCTAGATCTATGGCCCTAAGGCACCCTGGTCACAATAACCTGAGATTAGCAGGAAAGTCCAGCCTCAAGACTGCCTAAATATTATGGCAAATTTTGGTAAGCAATTTCAAAAGTTTTAGGATTAGGAAAAAAAATAGAAATGAAAGACTTGCTAGCCATGCTACTATTTCAAAACAGTTTTTCACTGAACGACTATATGAACACATATAGCTTTATGCATCTGTAACTGATTTTAATCTTTAATGAAAGTTCCAAAGCCAAGTGGGAATATATGCAGACAAAAACTGAAATAACTGGAATTCCATAAATGGAATTTCACTACAATTATAATTTTTTCAATGAAATTTTTTTGTTAAATTAATTTTTAACAACTACTACAATATGAGACTAAAAAAGGGCTGCTCTCCAAGTATGGTTCATAAAGTTCTTTCAGCTTTCCCCTTTTTTGACCTCTGCAACACTCAGAGCTGCTGACACCTCCCCTCTCCCATGAACACCCTTTTCCCAAGTGAGGTTTTAAAACTTCCACTCTCCACAATGGGAAGCTCTCTCACCTTTCCAGCCTAAGACCCCATACTTAAGTATGGGGTACTCTTCCAGTTAAGCTGAACTACTTTGTCTCTTGAATGTTTCTCCTTTGCTATGTCAATGCTCTTGCTCACACAGAATGTCTGATCTGGACTCCCTGCTATCCTAGCAGAGGCTGTAGGAACTTCAATTAATTAATTTGTTTTGTTTGTTTATTGATTGATTGATTGATTGATTGGTAAGGCAATGCAGTGAAGTGACTTGCCCAGGGTCACACAGCTAGTAAGTGTTTCCATGTGTCTGAGGCCACATTTGAACTCAGGTCTTTCTGAATCCACAGCCGGTGCTCTATCCACTGTGCCATCTAGCTGCCCCCTCAAGCTGCAGGAACTTCAGAAGAAGCTGGAGAGCAGAGTCACCTGAACATGGCTAGGCTTCTAAACTAGGCCCAGACCAACCGAGGGAGGCAAAGACAGGGACTTTGAGGTCTATCAAAAGCTTGGTGCCTGGCTTCTACTGACTCTGTGCGACCTTGCACCTGGCTTCTGGCTCTCATTCTTCTCAGTCCTTGCTATGACAGCTGGTTCTGACCCTGACTCTGCTTCCCTTCTGATCCTTCCTGCTCTTGAGCATCCTGACCATCTGCTCCCTCATAATCCTTGCCCCAGGTGCTGCTGGCACTTATCAAGCACTAAAGCTATCTCAGGAGTGTCTCCTCTCCCTTCTAGACCATCAGCTCCACAAGGGCAGGAATCAAGCTGTCCTTCCTAACCTCTATCATCTAACCTTCCTGCTTTCTAGCACAACTCCTGGTAAGAAAGTGCTTAATAAATGTCTGCTGAATTAAATTGAGCTTACATATGCCTTCCTTGGGACCACAAAATAAGAACATCCTTAGTGAGAATGGACTGGTTCTGCTTTTATTCTCTGCTTTTTAAAATTTATAGAGCCTGAGAAAAGTAAAATGTACATCTAACAAACAATGTGGCCACACCGCCACTGTTACAAAAGGTACATAAAGGGTGAGCAAAGCCAGGGGAAAACATGAGGGTCTGATGTTTTATGAATCCATTTCCTACAAGCCCATCACTTTATCAATGAAGCGCTGACTTTGCTCATGAAATACGTCACGGGTAGCTTCCATCAAGTGTTCTGGGAATTAAAGGGATCAAGGGTTCCCTCCAGCCCACCCCTAGGATCCTGCACAGGGGGCACAGCCTGGCCCATGGGCCAAGGGCAGCACATACTTTTGCCTTCTGCAGTGGGGCCATGCGGCAACAGAGGACAGCGCAGCAGCTTTTACACACATCCATGAATATCTTCTCGTGCTCCCTCAGGGCCAGAGAAAGGCTGCTCCCGTCTACCACCAGCCCATGCTGGATCACATGGTCTTCAGCGATTCTGAAAAAGAAAGCATTTTGATTTTCAACCAAATGCTTTGGCCCCATTTATTATACTTAAATAACAGTAACAGATTTTCCCCCTCTACATCTGCAGTTTTTACTCTTTCTTTGTAGTTATTCATCTTATTATGGGGCAGCAGTTCACATAGCCGTTCTGCTCTCAAAGCCTGATATGCCTGAATCCTTGAAGGTGCTGTGATTCACTGAGGGGCAGCACGCTGTCTCCCGAGCTTCCTGTGTGACATCCAAGGGGCCCCAGAAGTCAGTGAATCCAACTGCTATTTTAGAGATAAGGAAATTCACGCACAGCAAGTCTAAGTGATGGGTCTGGGGCCACACAGCCCCATGTGAGAAAGGCTCTTCCTGAGGCCAAGTTCAGGGACCTACCCCCTTTGCCATGCTAAGAACATTCTAAATTAGCTGAGTTGGACTCCAGAAAATACAGCATCTATCAATGGAATTACCTTTCCAGGAAAGTAAGATCTGCTTGGAACCAAACTTCAGTGGAGGAATTTATTCACATTATCTTAGTCCAACTCTGCCTGACTAGTCCTGGTGTCTGAGTCTACCCAGAATGGCCCCGAGATCCCTGGAGCACCAAGAGGGGAAGGAGACTAGACATATAATCAAGCAGAAATGGATGAGAGAGGTTCCCATTAGTGGAGAGCCCCTAGGGTTGTGTTCAGACCCTGGTATTATGGCTGAAAGAAACCACGAGGGACATAAGGGAACCTCTGCTCCCTCCCAGCAGACTGTAGTAACAAGAGATGAGGAAATGAAAAGAAATATAGGCTGTAGAGTGGAACTCTGACCACTCCTACTGCTAAAAGGAATTTACCTTTACAGAGGCAAACAGACCCACTACTCTGCTTTATTAAATTCTACTTTACCTACTTAATGACCCACTGAAATTCTTTGGTAAAGGACAAAGTTTTTACTCAACAACTAGAGATAAAATTTAGAATCTCCAAGTACAGGCTGGACAAGCATCTGTTAAGACTCTTCTGGATGGACCTCTATACTAGGAGAGTATAGTGCACTAAAGCCAAGGGACCCAGGTTCAAGGCCCGGCTCTGAGACTTCACTTCCTGGGTGACCCAGACAAGGCTCTTCTGGGTCCCCTTTCTTCATCTGTAAACTAAGAAGACTGCACTCAGTGGCCCTTTGCTGCTCTTGACCCAAGAGACTATGACTACCAACCCCTGCTTCTTCAGTAAGCTCCAGGACAGACACAAGATCTTCCAGCTTTTAAAGCCCTCCGTAAGCTGACTTGGTGCTGCCTTCCCCGTTTCTTGGCCCTTTCTCCCCTCCACGTACTTTGGCAATCTCGTGACCTCATCCCCGAGGCTTGGCCTGAAGCCTCAGCTAAATTATCACCTTCTGCAAGAAGCCTTTCCTAAGCTCCCTTTCAAATGATCTCCAAACTATTCTGTATACCTCGTTTGTACAGAGCAGGGTCCTTGAGAGCGAGGACTGTCTTTTGCATTAGTATATAACACACTGCCTGGCACACAGTAAACACTTAATAAATGCTTGTTGACTGAACTTGAATGAACACAAAGTGTGTGTCCATAAATGTGTAATACACATACACATACTAGATTTTTTTCACTTCCCATGTTCTGGATGCTATGTCTCTGGATCTAATACCCTACCAACTTCTTTGGTCCTATCAGTGATGGCTCAATCCAAATGATCTGTGCTTAAAAGCACCAACATATTAAATATACATCATAGAAAACATACATACATATATCATATACAACAAAAATATAAATCTGTTTTCCTGAGAGTTTTAAATGACCCCACTGGATGGCAGCATTTAAATAGCCAGTACTTAGAATAACTCAATGTAAACAGCTCCTTTTCTGGAAAGGCTTCAGCTAAGTAACCCATCCCAACAGTGACACTCCAACAGCCAAGGCCCCCTATTTCAAAAAGTGGACCCTTTACCAGCTTCCCTCTGAAAAATTTAAATCAATCAATCAACACATGAGTATGTGCCACACAGGCTTGCTGGGGCACATAAGGGCTTGCGTCCCGAGAGGTGACTACATCTGTCACCCAGATTAGACCCTGCCCACACGAGGCTGCCTAAACCACACAGTGTACAATTTGCTGCGCTGCACCTGAAAAAGCCATTGTGTGGGTCAGGGCCTTTGGATGATTTATTCCCGGGCCCAGGGTGGCCAAAGAACTCGCTGGCACCCACAGTACCTTCTGGCGAGTCGCCTCAGTTGCTCCGCACACTCGCTGTCTGATTTCTGGTTGACCAGCTCAAGGATGTTCATGGTTCTATGAAAATGTCCACATGATAAACTCACACTGATGGCGGTTTCATGTTTGTCTCCAGTAAGTACCCAGATTTTGATGCCCGCCACGCGCAAGGCTTCAATGGTTTCTCTCACTTTATCTTGAAGCCTGAAATGAGAATCAAAACCATTTGCCACAAGCCCTATTAGGCTAGTGTTTTACAAACAGCAGAATAACACGCTAAATAAAAAGAATGTAGATTCTTGATTTTGTTACATCAGTGTGGTTATACCAGAGTTATGAACCAATAGTGATGACCTGTTTAAGTCAAAATCTCTATGTTAGAATTCTAATATCTGAATTGTGAGAAACACATCTTCAAAGTCTATTTTCACAGAATCAGATGAGCCACCTCGATTCAATAAGACCCCATTTTTACCAGAAAGCTTTAAATTTCAAGGCGTAAATGAGTATTTAGAGAAAGGAATACTCTTCTCTCACCTATAACTCAATAGTTATAGATGAAGGACCAAAGGCGACAGAACTTACTGAGAAGATAAATATCCGAAGACAATTGAGGAGTTGTTTAAATAGAAATGTAGAGAAAAATTACATACTGATGTCCATGGATCCCAAAACCAAAGAAAAGAAAAAATAATCACTTAATTCATTGTTGCTGTAAAACTGAGGTGAAAAGCAAAGCTCTGGCCAGGTATTTAATTTAAATTTTATAACATATACTATGCTTTCCTCTCCTTTTCCTTTAAACCTTTAGGCTTGATATTTTGCAACAGATGTTGGGTGTGCAGTAAGTACAAGGCAGTGTTCTTGCTGGGAGAGTTCTTGCTTTCAGGAAACTTTTATCCTCCGGGGGATCAGAAGATGGCAAGGGGAGATGACACGTCTCTTTTGGTCCAGATCTGTCATGTCATTGGTATTAGGCAAGTCCCAGAAAGGAAATTTCTTCAGTTAATGCAAACTGGCAACTGTTTTGTAACTTCTGGTCTTAAAGAGCAGCCTACAGTAGAGGTATCAAGCATGTAGGACCTTGACCCCAACTCACTCCAGAGTGCCCAGAACCAAGTTAGATATCAGTGGAAAATAATTAACAAAGTAAATAGACAATAAAACATGGATAACATTATATTGTAAAACTTAGTCAATGCATGGATTAGTGACCCCTTCAATGCCTCTGCCCTAGACCACTGAGAGGTCAGGTGACCTGCCTAGGACCCCACAGCCAGGATGTATTAAAGGTGAGATCTGAGCCCAGTCTTTCTTATTTTGAGGTACGCTCTAAGAGGTAGCTGGTGGTACAGTACACACAGCCCTGGACCTGGAGTCAGAAGACCTGAGCTCAAATCTAGCCTCAGACTCTTAGTAGCTATGTGATGCTGGGAAAGTCACTTAACCTTTGTCTGCCTCAGTTTCCTCAACTATAAAATAGGAAAAATAACAGCAGCTACCTCCACAGGGCTGTTGTGAGGATCAAGTGAGATAATAATTATAAAGCTCTAAGCACGGTGTCCAACACACAGCAGATACAATATAAATGCTTTCATGCTTTATCCACTGTGCCAAACGGTCTCCTGATGTACAAAACATCGATGGTAATACAAGGTAGGAAGCGAGGACAAAGAAGAGATCTAGACACACTTGGTGGGGAGAGAATACCTGGAGCTGGGGCTCTGAGAAGGCTGCCCCACAGAGGAAGAGGCAGTCTTGAAGGGAGATTCAGATTCTGAAAGGCAAAGACAAAGGAGGCGTATGCTCCCAGCTCGGTGGACCAGAAGCCGGTGAGGACCCCCAAGGTGAGACGCAACCTGCTGAGCTGGAGGAGGAGGAGCTGCCTCGGGCATGATTTCTTTTCTTTCTTTTCTTTTCTTTTCTTTTTTAAGGCAATTGGGGTTAAGTGACTTGCCCAGGATCACACAGCTAGTAAGTGTCAAGTGTTTGGTCTCAGGTGCTGGATTTGAACTCAGGTCCTTCTGACTTCAGGGCCAGTGCTCTACCTACTGTGTTACCTAGCTGCTCCCCCGTGCATGATTTCTGAAACAAACTGAAAGCTGCTCACTGAACCCTCTCCCCAGTTTTATTCTGGCTAGAGCATAAATTTGTTTTCCCAAATGCAAAGTGAAATGCCACCATCAGGGCTCCGGGTCAGCTCAGCACAAGCAGAGCCCGTGCCGTCCCAACTTACCTGTCTTCTACACCCGTCGCCCCGAGTAACAACAGCTCTCTCTCTATGAAATGGAATGTCTCTGCTAACTTCTCTTCTCGCTGCTGCAAGGCAGTTCTGGCAGCAAAAAGTCGTCTGTCCACTTCCTCAAACTCTTCAGGCGTGAACTGTCTATATGCTACACACAGAGTTCTTAGCCCTTTCTAGGGCAAAAATGAAGGATAAAAACAGAGGGACTGAGAAGGTGGTTTTAATGTCAATCACCTAATAACATAAGATATATCATATAACAATATCTTTTTGGTCAGCAAAATCTAATTCTCACCTTGACACACCAACATCAATCCAAGGCACACCTGTTTAACGATAACATCCACGGAAGCCCCCCTCGCACGGCTCCTCGCAGCCTGCTGAGAGCACTCAGTAGGCACTAACTCTGGTGGACTTTCCATCTAGAACCAGAAGGGGCTGTAGGTGCTGGATGCTCATTACCAGATGACAGACTACAGCAATGCAGGCGGCCCTTTCGTGGAGTGGGTGAGCTGCATCCCTGACACATGGAAACAAGCGCTGAAGGGCAACAGGGATTCCCAAAGGGGGTGAGCTCAGAAAAGAAGCATTCAAGGCAACGGGGAGAGCCCGTGCAAAGGCAGGATATCAGAAATGTCATGTCACACACAAGGAACAGCAAGGTTAGTTGAGGAGCAAGGTGGGATTGGTCTGCAAAGGCAGGCTGCAGTCAGACTGTGAAGGGCTTGAAATGCCCAAAGAAGGAACCTGTGTTTTATCTCAGAGGCAACAGGAAGCTGCGAAAACTCCTTGGGCAGGAGCAAACCTATACTTTAGGAATTTCAATCTGGCTGATGTTAGAAGATCAGACTGGAACAGATGCAGAAGACCAACCAGAAAGGTGAGAGGCAATGACATCCTGGAGAAGGGGACAGTGAGGAGAAAAGTTTCAGAGGGAAAAATCCACAAAACTCAACAAGCGACTAAATACGGGAGTTGGGGGGTGACAGAGATGGAAAGTCCCGGGTGCCTCTGAGGGTACAAACCTGGGTGATAGGAAATAGGGAAGTCTGAAAGACGAATGGATATGCAGGGATGAACATGGAGTTATTTATATTGGGATATGTTGAGTCTCAAATGCCTTTTTAGGACATCCAGATAGAAATGTGGGAGAACTCAGGTGACAAATAAGGACTAGACATGTAGATATATAGGTAATCTGCATAGAGGTGACAGCTGAACCCATAGGATCTGTGAGGACAGAGAGGGAGAAGAAAAACGGGGCTGAGGGAGAAGAACAGAGGGCAGGTTAGGGGAAGGAAAGGGAGGAGAGGGGAGAGAAGAGAGCCAAGGACAAAGGTCTGGGGAAAGAGCTTTGGAGGAGACATTGATGATGGTGCTGCAAAGTAAAGTGAGGAGCAAGAGAGCAAGCAGAGAACGGTGGTACAAAAACTCAAATAAATGCATATCCAAGAGGACAGAGAGAACCTAGTGTGAAACACTACACAAAGGTCGGGAAAGATGAGGCTGGGAAGAGACCACTGGATTGATCAATAAAGAGATCACAGATGACATGAGAGCAGTCTCAGTTGGTGGTAGGGCTGGAAGTCAGACTGCACGGGGAGGAAGTGGAGTCAATGAGTTTAGGCAATTTTTTCTTGGAGAAAGGACACAGGATGATAGGTTGAGGAGATAGTTGGGCCAAGTTTTCAAGCGTGGGGAAGATAAGATACATTTGAAGGCAGCGCGAAAGACCCAGATCATATGAAGAGAGGGACTGACTGAAGGGCAAAAACTAGAAAGAGACTAGTTGATGGTTTGGCTCTGGCAAGAAGAAAGGGGCTGTGGTTGCTTCAGCATAATAGCACACATATATGGGGAAGTGTACTCCATCAGCACAGCTGAATTCATTATCAGAGAGTTGGGCTTGGAGTCAGGAAGAGCAGAATTCAAACCCTGCCTCGGACACTCTCTGGCTGTGCAATGATGGACAAAGCACTTAACCTTTTAGCCTCGATTTCATCATCTACAAAATGAGGATAATAGGACTTGCCTCCTAGGATTCTTGAGAGGATCAAATGAGACGGCATGTTTAAAGCAAACTTTCAAGTGCTATAAATGTTAATTAGTATTAATCTGAGCTATTATTATTAGCCCAATTTCACCAGGCAGACTTCTCTCCAGGGGTCCTAACATACACACACTCACTTCCTCCGTAAGTCTCATTCCTGATACTCTATGTGGAATTGTAACTTTGCCTTCTGTTCAATCTCCACTGAATGTCTTTAACAGACTCAGCTCTCAGATGTACTCAGGCTGGTTTTCTCCGAACACTTTCTACCTTCTTTATCTTTCACAGTCTTTGTCTGAGGGTCAGCGTTGTGACCACACATCTCCATCAGGATTCTCTAATCTACTCTTTAGGAATAAGACCTTCTTCCACCTCATTTCCAATGTTTCATTTTGGTCCTGGAGGACTTAACTTCAATGTACGTGATTTGTGACATTATTAATATCAATAGCTTCTATGTATAAGCTATTAACTTCTTACTTTGTTCTCTAATTTCACTTTACTACTCTGACCTTTTCTGCAGAAGCTACTCCACTTCTGAGCTTCTGTGGAATAGATCTTCTTTCCTTATGTTCTTTAATGTGATGTTTATTCCAATTTAGATTCTTAAATGCCATATGGCAGTAATCTTTCCACTAAGTGTATTCTGAAAGTTTTCATTTTGCCTCCTAAATTTAATTAAGGCTTTCAAAAGCATTATTGTAAAATTAATTCAACTTTCAGTATGGTACCTAGCACATCACATGACTGGTGTGGAACTGAATAATTAAAAAACAACAACATTTTAACTGGGTGGTACAGTAGCTAGAACTCTGGGTTTATTAGAGTCAGGAAGCCCTGAGTTCAAATCCTGCCTCAGACTCTTACTTAGCTGTATAATGCTGGGCAAGTCACTTAAATTTCTGTTACTCTCAGTTTCCTCATCTGTAAAGTGAGGGTCATAATAACTGCTACCTTACTTGTTGTTAGACTCAAATGAGATAATATATGTAGAGCACTTTGCAAACACTCAATACCAAACATATAAATACTAGCTATTGGTAGATATTATTTTTAATACTTTTATATTAAGTAGCTTCATTTAATATTTCAGGAAGCTGTGAAATGATTCCTAGATGCTAGGACCTATGATTTTTGAGGAAGTATGCTGGTGTGAAAGTAATCACTGAAATAAGACTCTATCTATATGTTTTCCCAAGAGAATCCACCAATATCCTTTTCCCCCAAAAATTAGAATTTGAGAAACACAGATTTGGAAACATACCAATTCCCAGCCATTTGTAAACTACAGGAAGTCCCCTGACTTACACACCCTTCCTTTAAAAAGCAACCTATTCCTATAAAGGGCTGTGAACACTTCTGTATCCCTGGGCTCTCCTAGGAGCTGTGAAAAAAAACCCCAACAACTAGAACTTTTGGAGAACTTTGATTTAGAAGCAGAAGAACTGTGTTATTGAGAGGATTCTTGTATAGGAAAGAGAAGGCCTTTCAGATTTTGTAACTGTAATCAGCTGACAGAAGCTGACTCACCAGGGAGAGAGTGAGGGACAGCTGCCTTGACTATTCAGGGTGCCCAGCCCAAACCACCTGACCTACCCCATAAGCCATTTTCTGGCCTTTGTTCAAAGGACTGCTGGCCTAGGGGACTCTACCATCTCCTCAGGCAGCCCCATTTCACTCTTGAACAGCTCTGTTAGGAAGTTTTTTCTTATACCAAACTCAACCACGGCCACCCCACCATCTTACATCCTCCAATTTCCATTCCATTCTAGGTCAGGCCTGCACAACATATGGCCCGCCAAAGGATTTCAGGCAGCCCATGAAAAGTGTAGATGACGTAAAACAGGCCTATACAACATACTGCCCGTGGACCACTTTGGCAGGCCACAAGCGTCCCATGGGCCGCATGTTATGCAGGCCTGCTCTAGGTTCTGGCCCAATGGGCCAGGGAGGACAAGTCTAATCTTTCTTCTACTTGAAAGCTTTTCAAATCTATGAGGATGGTTATTACATCCCTCTTAGGCATTTTCCTCCCCAAGCTAAATACCCTCAATTATCTCAAAGCCCTTCATTAAGACATGTGGTGCAGTGGAAAATGTGCTGGATTTGAAGGCAAAGGACCTGGGATCAAAGCCCAGTTTTTCCACTTACTACCTGTGTGAGCACGAGGAAGCATAGGTCACTTCACTTTCATTTCTGCATTTTAGTTTCCTCAACTGTAAAATAAGGAGGGACAGGAGGCTGGACTAGATGATCCCTAGGGTCACTAGCAGTTCTAACAAGACACTGTGGTGCTTCAGCAAAGGGAGGAAGGCAGTACGGATGAACAGGAAGTGCTCTGGACAGATGTGGAGCCAGAAAGCTACACTAAGAAGCTCACTTTATCATGTCTCACCTGAGTGACCTTAGGAGAATCCATGTGGCCTCTTTGGGCCTTAACATCCCTAACTACAGAACAGGAGGGGACAGGCTATGGGATCTTCAGAGGTCCCTTCCTGCAGCACTGTCTTGGCACTCTCTGGCTTATCAACAAGCTTTCTGAAATGTGGCACCACATCTCAGATGGATACTCAAATAACTTTCAAATACATTCCTAAGTTACAAACAACCTTTTCTTTAAACAAACAATTTACACAGAAAAGCCTCTAAAATTCTAAGTAAAAACTAGGATATAAAATAATTTATTTTATGTAGTGGCCAAGCAAATGTCACAAAAGAACTATATAATTTCTCTAAGTTTTTGATAAACTACTAATGCAAAAAAACCCCAAAAACACCCCAAGGTTTAACATATATATTACTGATATATTTTAATTGCTATTGAAATTTATACTCACCAAAGCAAATTCATCTACATGAATTCTTGTTTTTTCTACTTCACCACCAATACAGTTAGGAAGAATTGAAGACTCTGCTCCTTTAGAAAACAAAAGTTTCTCACCTAGGAGGGGAGAGGAAATCAATATTTCCTTTGGATTGCTGCTGAGAATGTTACAAATCAAGCATTCAAAGGTCTAAAGGTCATAATAAACAGAGGCTGGTGAGGAAGATGGAGGACAACATGAACAATTTTTAAAGCTCTATTATGGAAAAAAAGGAAAATCATAGAAGCGACATAACTCCTGAATCACAGTGGGTGGGATAACCCTCTACTCCTTTTGTTTGTTGGTTTTGTTGTGGTCAAGAAAAATCATCCAAGGAACCTGGATTTAGAGTTGGAAGGGAACTTCAAAGAGCACCCACTCCGACATCCAGGGAAGTAAAAAAACACCCCAAAGTCCCAGAGGAAACACCCTTACAGCAGGATCTGAATCCAGCTCTCCAGGGTCCCACAGTGTCCATTTGAACAGGAAAAGAGCAGAACAAATAAGCTGCTAAAATCCAAGATAAGGAAGGCTATAGACACTAAGAAAACAAGCTACTACCATGACAAAGGCAAGTCAACAGGTCCAGGTAAGTCATATGCAAAGAAACACAGAGAAACACTAGTGCATGTGACTGCTAAACCCCTGGCAGAGACCTCTGAAACATGCCACGCTTAAAAGGTCGAGTGAGCTTACATTTTATTCCTAGGAAAAATGAGACCATTAGCAAACAGCTCAAAAATGAGGCAATTATCATAAGAAGTTACCTTGTTTCCTTTTTTCCCCTTTTCTCACTGTTACTAACTGGGAGATCAGGAAAATGCTATAGATAATATTTATTTAGATTGTAGCAAAGTATCAACCAAGAAGCACTTATTGAGCATCTGCTATGTGTCAGGCACTGTGCCAGGGGCTAAGGATAAAAATACAGAGATAAAAGTCTGGCAGTTGTTAAGAGTGAACTCCATGCCAGGCACCAGGGCCAAGTACTGAGCACAGAAAGAAAGGCAAGCCCACTCCCTGCCCTCAAGGAGCTTGTAATCTAACTGGGGTAAACAATGATGTGCATACAAGATACAGGCAACAGTATGTGGAAGGTCATCTAAGACCACACTCTGGGAAAGGCCTTCTGCAGAAGGCAAGGGTCTGAGCCTGAAGCCCTCCAGGAGGGAGGGGCTTCTTGTGGCAACTGAGTGGATGGACTCGAGGCAGAGAGACCAAACAGACTACTGAAATAGTCCAGGAGAACATGCTTGGCATACAGAAGGTGCTTCATAAATGCTTGATGACTTGAGAGGAGGTGAGAACCTATACACCAAGGTGGCAGTTGTGTGAAGGGAGAGGAAGGAGACAGAAGAGATGTCATGAAGTTTAAACTGACAACAAACTGGGTAGGCGGGGTGAATCAGAGAGAGGAATTTAGGATAACGCTGACGTTTCAAACCTGGGTGACTTCGGAGGATGGTGGTAGCCTAGACAGAAATAAATACGTTTGGAACAAGGCTAGGTTATGAGAGGAAAGATAATGGCTTCTGTAATGGACATGTTAATTGTGAAATGCCTACTGGACACACAGTTGGGAATGTCCAATAGGTAGCTGGCAACATAAGAGTGGGGACTGCCATCTTGGTGGATAAGATGGAGAGACTTAAGACCAGACTGTAACACAGTTGGATGGATTCAGAACTCCTTTAAGGAGTAGCCCCAGAGACTTGTCATTCTTGGTTCAACACCACCTTAGAAAAGGGTCTCTGGTAATACCCCAGGAGTCTAGCACAAGTAGGCCTGGTGCCACTAAGCATTTTTATCAGTTGCTTGGGTAAGACAAAGATGACATCCTTATCAAATTTACAGATAAAAACAAACTTGAGAAGGATATCTAGGATGCTGGATTACAGCCAAGACACAAAAAGATTTTGTTGCATTAAATCTATCTAATAAGACCAAATTTAATACATATGAATACAGGATCATACACTTGGGTTAAAAAAAATACATACTTTGCTAGTATAAGATATGGACGTACTTAAAAACAGTGTTCATCTGAAAAATGTTTTAGAAGATCTTAGTGGGGTGCAAGTTCGAGAAGCTAACAGTGTGTGATGACAGCCAAAAAAGCTAATTTAACATGGAGCTATATTAAGGGAGGTACAGTATCCAGAACTAGGGAGGTGGAAATGCCATCAGTGCTCTCTGCCATTCAGAGCAGATCTAAAGTACATCGTCCTGAGTGCCACCTAACTGGCAGGTTGGACAGCCCCTAGAAAAGAACAAACAGCTGGTAAAAGGCCTAGAGATCATGTCCTAAGGATCAGTTGAAAGAACTGGAGATGTTTATTCAATCTGAAGAGAATATCTGGGGAGAAGAGAGGTAGAGAGAAGGCTCATGATAAAAATCTTTACGTTATCTGAAGGGCTTTCCTGCAGAACAAGGAATGATAGGTAGAAGCTGTAAAGAAAGAGATTTAAATTTGGCGAAAGCAAATACTTCCCAACAATCAGGCTATCCAAATGCAGAGTAAGTTGCTTGACAAGGCAGTGGGTTCTGAAGTTAAAGTTGGATGACATGTTTGTTTGCATGCTTGTAAAGGGTTTCTTTTTCAGGAATGGGACAAATTCTGAGATTTCTTCCAATTCTCAGACTCTGTCTTCCATAATCCTGAGATTCTACTATTCTAAATATTTCACAAGTAAAAAAATGAAGGTTCTTTGATTTCATACCTGAAGGAGACTGTACAATCACACTCATTCGCCTACGATCGGAATCAAATTCCAGAACATGAAGCAATTTGTACCTGGAAAAACAGAAAGAAAACAGGCTATAATTAAGAATGATTCTTTTAAAATACAGAAAGCCTGACTGTAGCAAGAATAATGGGATATTAAATCTCAAACCGTATTAGGACGATGGGCTCCGAAGTGTCAGTTATGATCCCAAAAAGTGATCTGGAAGTTACTGCAGAATTCTATGAAGCCACCGAGCCTAGAGAACACTAGCAAGATCAACAACGTGCTGAGCATGATCAAGAGCACCAGGGACAAAACCCCCCAGAACATCACCCTTATCTCATTTCAAAGTAAGGTGCACGTTTGGAAGACTTCAAAGATTTCACAACTGGAGAAAGTCTAAGGAAGAAAAACTAAAATGATCAAAGGCACCAGAGTCTTTTACAAGAATAATTTTTTTAAAATGAGGATTTTCTAGTAAAAAGCAAACAATCCTGTGTTATGATACCTTGCTGTATCAGTGAGAGTGCTGCCCCCACAAATGAAAACCAAAGTTCCTCAGTGACTCAGTAAAAGGCACTGAAACAGTTTTCATGGCTGAAAAAGGTGCCCCTGTCGCACTGTCTCATGGATTGCCAACAGACAAACAGACCATCACTGGGGGCCTGGTGACACCTGCCACAGTTTCCACTCAGCTTTCCTAGCTGAGCAGAATTCAGAGACACCTTACACAATGAGACATCCATCACAGGAAGGATAATTATAGTTTATGAAATGTTATTCTACAACTAAAATTAACACTGATGGTCACCAGATGCTAGAAACCAAAACTCAGAAACTTCTTCAAAAGTGAATAAGTTAATTTTACAATAACAAAAACAAGATGATGGGAAAGGGAAGGGAATAAGCATTTACATAGAGCCTACTTTGTGCCAGGAACTACACTAAGCACTTTTTACAAATACTGTTTCATTTGATCCTCACACCTGAGAGATGGGTGCTACGATCTCCAGTTTACAACTGAAGAATCTAAAGCAGACAGATGGGAACTGACTTGCCCAGAGTCACATAACTAGCTGCTGTATGAAGCCGAATTTGAACACTGGTCTTCCTAACTCCAAGCCCCTCACTCTACCCCCTGTAATGCCCCTCAGCTGCCTAGAGAACTCTTTCACCTCTTCAGTGAAACTCCAACACCTAATCATGGTGGTTGTGTCAGGGGACCCAAAGAGCAAAGCAGCTAAGGGTTGTTGTCAAAAGCCTAGCCAACAGCAATCTATTAAACCATCAGTGGCGTGATCTGTGTCTGTAGGATGTATCCACACAAACAGAGTCACGGATCCCTCAAGTCCCAAAGCACCTTTACAATGAGATTTCATTATCTCAGCAAGTGGTGAGATAAAAATAGAAATTGGTTCAATATGCACTTCAGTTGAATGCCCATCAGATTCATGGGAGACTACTTCAGTGGTTCCACATAAGCAGCCTTCACCTCAAGCAGACTTTAACCCCTCCAGACCTTCTCATTCTAGCCAGCTTGCAACAAGCCTTTCTCAAGGTCTTTTAACACTGCATTACAGCTGTCACCACTCACTCATGGAGAGCTTTCATGCATCTCTCCATTGTCCCTTGGTCACCCTTAATTTTGATTCTTTGGGAACTGTGGATGTGTCAGATGTTTAGAAGGCACTTAGGACAATAGAATAATACTGATGTTAAGAAAAGGGGTCTCCATGTGAGGAAGCAGAGCAGGCTTATCAAAAGCACAGTACAACTGACCCAATGAAATGCAATCCCTCAGGGCAGCTACATGGTGTAGTGGATAGAGCACCGGCCCTGGATCCAGGAGGACCTGAGTTCAAGTCTAGCCTTAGACACCTAACACTTACTAGCTGTATGATTCTGGGCAAGTCACTTAACCCCACTGCCTAGTCAAAACAAAAAACAAAGAAATGCAATCCCTCTTCTTCCTCCTGTTCATATCAGGGCTCTGCTCGTGGGACATGACCTTTAGATCAGAAACAAAACTGAAGGCCTGACTGACTGCATGCTGGTCATCATCTGAATGACACACATTCTTCATCCAGCTGTTTTGTTTCCAGGCAGATCACTGGGTCAATATTTTCTGAATGACTTTCTTTAACATGTCTTGATGTCTCATGGAGTCAACAGCCTCAATTCGTCAACTCTAATTTCCAGGGAGTTCTTTTCTTGGGTAAGGCTTGTTTCTCATAACAGCTGTCTGTTACTTTCTTTCCCTGGGCACTGGAAAGCTTCCTGCTGCACGTGCTCCTGGCCAGACCCCTTAATCTGTCTCCCTAAACTGACTTGGGCTGGAAAGATGACATGATATGACTTTTTTTCCCCTTAGATTTCCTGATCAGGATTTGGTTTGGTGCATTTTCTAGGTCTTTGTGGATGAGGTATGGTGGAGGAGCTAGCCTGTACTTCTTCCTGGTACTTCCCATCTTGACTTTGCCTCTTCTAAGTAACTTTGGATATCAGGAAGAGGGCCCTCCCTGTACATAGTATTCTAGGCCTGTTTAAATCAGAACAATGTTAATAATCTGCTCAAAGTAGTATTTGGAGGATCACACCATTTTTGAAGTATCTTCCTTGTATCTGGATTCTATGCAGGACAGAATTTCACAATAGTTGGGCACACATTTGGCAAGCATGTTTCACTGTTTATAACTCACTTGAAATTAATAATCAGAGACTTGAAAAAAACTATCTCCGTGGTTACAGCCACAGAGCAAGATATATACAGCCCCTCACTTCATTTTACATGATGAATAACATGCAATTAACAATCAGAAAATTGGAATGGTTAGACAGTATTACCTTTCAAGTTTTCCAAGGGTTTTAATTTCCATAGTTTCTTCAGTACTGCCCATAAACACGACACCAATTCTTAAATTTAAAGAGTGGGAAAATTACATGTAATTTTATGGAGTAATGTTTAATGTTTCATAATGACACATCATTGTAGCTTTAGTTGAATAAAATATTTGAAATACATATCTAAAGTACATTTAAGTCTCTTTTTTGTGTATCTGATTGCTAATACCTGGTTATTTTCAGACTTGAAAAATTAAATTTTGGAAAGAATTTTGCACCAAAATGATTAGCTAAAAACTGCCACAACATTGTATTTGTTTCTTGAGCTATGGTTTCAAAAAAAGGCGTCATAAGTCTTTACCCAAAATGAATTTACTCAGATTTTGCTCCAATTGGATTAAAAAACAAACATCTTCACAATACAATAAATTTTAAGCCTGTCGATTCATCAGTAACAGCTGCAGACTTAGTGAAGCTCCCTTAAATTCTAAATCCACTACTACCTAGAAAAACTAGGACTTTTACATGTTTATGCACATATATGAAGTACCAATAATTTTGTCAGCATGGAAGAATTCCCCATACAAGACCCCTTGGAAGCCACACACATTATAGCCTGTGACTATATACATCCTAGACGTCCAAATCTGGAAAGTAAACAGTTGAGCTAATTTTCCCAGTCAGTGTAAAAGGTGAGATTTGAACCCAGCTCTTCTTGCCCCTCTGCCCAGTACTCAATCACTACCCCACTGTCTCATTACGCATGCCATACTATAACTTTAAATATATTTAATATTTTTAATGGGCACATATCGGGGCAAAAAATCTGACTCAGTCATACTAAAAAAGACTAATGAAGATATGTAGTAAAATGTGCCTTTTTTTTTTTTGCAGGGACCTGAAAAAGCATGTAGTCAAGAGCCCTGGGTACTCATTTCACCCCTATGGCTAGCCCTCTGGACCTCAGTTATCTCATACACAGAAAGAGAAGGGACTGGCAAGAGAAGACAGTGGAAGGTCTATAATTCTATGCTAACATTTTATTAGATGCATCTAAATACCTGCCACCTCTGGCTGAAGACTCTCTATATAATTAGGTGCACTCTCTCCCTACTTACCTTGCAGCAGCCTCAACTAAGGCCTTTTCATCTGGGGAAGCAGCATAGTACTCCAACTGTGAGGATGCGGCACTGGGGTGCCAAGGGCCATCCCCAAGTCCCTCGGATTGGCCACTACTGATCTGCACTGTATGACAGAGACCAACTGCTTTAAAGAAGAGATCTTGTTCTTTGATCTGGAGAAACATAATTCACATTTCTGAGACAAACAGCATTCTCAGACTATAGCCCAAAAAGTAAAGATTTAAAGAGATGCTATTTAACAAAGTTGTCAAACTGGATTCAGAACTCAAGACTTCAGGAAATCTCGAATTGATTGTAATATCTGGCTGTCAAACAATCTGCTAGATTCTGATTAGACTAGTAAATAAAATATCAACCCTTGCTTAAAGACCTTTCCAACCGAGACTCAAGATGCTTAACAATTTTTTACTGTTCTTACTCTGGTGACTGCTCTTTGGTACTCCATTCCCCAGCTTCTGTGGCATATTCTACAGCTAATGAAAACACATACCACACTGCAGGGTAGGCATAGGGCCAGTTCTGGCAATAGAGACAAGGCTCCAACATCAAGAGCAGCATTAGGTCCTCTTTCGCAGAACAAGGACTCTAAGGCAGGCTAGCGAGCCCCTGCCTCACACAGAGCAAATACTGTGCTGAAAACTAACAAGTTAAACTGACGCCCACCTCCAGCTAAGGCCTGCTCTGATCCCTAAGCATGGCTTACAGGTGACCTTGGGCTGTCAAAGACAATGACAGAGGGTATAGGTTCTAGCAGATCCCACAAAGCTGGAAAAAATGATCCCAGCCTAAGACCAGCTCCATGAGGCCTGGCCTGGCCTTGCCAGCCTAGAAAAAATAATCCATGCCTGGAGGGCTGGCCACCCAGCTGGCACTTTTTCAGAAACAGCAATTTAGTGAAATCCAAAGTATTACTAATTCAAGGGGGGTGTGTGTGTGTGTGTGTGTGTGTGTGTGTGTGTGTGTGTGTGTCTGTCTGTCTGTCTGTCTGTCTTTAAGAGACAAGGGCAGGCAAGGGAGGACCTAGACCAAATAATTCACAGGCCCTTGAATTAAAGAATTGAGTACATATTAGCACTGCATGAAAGGGTAGGAGTTTAAAAAGTACCATCCCTTCTCATCAGTCCCCAAACAAAAATTATTTCCATTTCAAGATGCAAATAAGAATTAACCTGTATGCAACAAGGAAAAATATTGCTTACCAGTTCAGTTTCATTTTCAGAACTGATTGCAAGATGGGTTGAGGTGCTGAGATGGGCTAAGCTTCTAAGGTATGCTAAACCTTCTGAAGATTCTGGTGTTGGTCCCTCTGGTACCAGTCTGCCACTGATTTCTTGGTATTTTATGCCATTAATGGAACATTCTCGAAACTGCATCTCATTTTCAGTCAGAGTTCCAGTTTTATCTGTAAACACATATTCCACCTAGAAAAATGTGAAATGTAGCAACAAAAAATATTCATTGAACAACCTTGTTTTCATAGTGGTAAGCTCAATCTTGTAAAAACCAAATAAACTGAGCTTCAAGAGCTCCTTACTAAGTTGCTACTGATGCTGGTATTTATATAATAAAAAAATTAAATGATGAATATAGTAAAAAGGAGAAGACAGCAAAACAAACAAAAGAAATTCTGTCATGAATACTTCAAAACATGTAGCTTCCTAAAGTATTCACTTCTGGAGCTGGTTGGGATGTGGCATTTATACCTCATTTCCAACCAGGGTAGACTTCTGCTATACTATAGGACTTCTGGAAATCTCTGAAGTAAAAGGAAGATGACTGGGGACCTCTGAGAGCATCTAGTAGGCGAAAAACTGGGAAGTACCAGAAGCATGAAAGCGAAGGGAGGAAGCACCCAGTAAAAGAGAAATTAAAATGTGAGATAGTGAGACAGAGTTCATTTTTATTGCAAAAAACACATATATATTTTTATTGCAAAGGTCAAGAAGGGGTCACTGCAAAATCTTAAAGAGAAGGGTTAAAAAAGTGGATAAGAAAGATTATTTTGATACCCAGCTTTAAGACTGATTTTAAGAACGGAATGCAGGAAGAAAATTCTTGAGAATTTTGTGATAGCTCAGCTGAGGCATAAAAACAGAGTATGGACTGGTGATTTGGTTATAAAGATAGCGTTATAAGAAATAAAAGAGATGTCAGGATTTGCAAAATGCTCAAGAAAGAAGCAGAGATCAGTAGGAAATTGAAGGTAACTCTCAAGTTCCTTTCTTGGAAAATATCAGAGATATGTGCAAAGCCCCATGGCAGTGGAAAGATGGGTCAGATCAAAAGAAGCAGTTTTGTTAGGATGTGTGAAACTGAAGGTTCTGAGTCCAACTGAAAAGGGGGGTGTGTGCGTGTGCGCGCACGCACATGCGTGTACGTGCACACTCCCAGAGGACATCCTAAATCAGAGAACTGAAAGATGGGAGCATAGGGAAGGCTATCACCCAGCACACAGAGTAACTACAGCTCTGGAAGCAGATTAGACCACAAGACATGAGGTCCAAAAGGAAAGACATGAACCAAGGGTCATGAACCATGGTCAGTGGCAGAAATGACACTAAATGGAGGGTTAATACTAAAGAAAGTATATTGAATATGGTAAGACAAATGCAAAATCATGTTAAGAAGGTTGTGAAACACCTACCCTAAAGATAAACTGATAAAAAACAAATGAGGACTAAAGTAACAGATGTTGTGTGTAACTAGAGAAAGACCAAGATGTTGGATGTCATGACATGGAGGCTTGGCCAGGGTGCGGATCCAAATGAAGGAATGGCTGGAGAACACCACCACTTAGGCACTATATAGAGACAAGAGACAGCAGTAAGCTTGTACAGAATGAGGAGGAAAAAAACCCAGAGAACAGTAATGATCTCAAGAAGGATGAGATTAGACAGGGGTAAAGAGACACAGGCAGAGAGAAAAAAAATAATCCTGAGGTTTTTTTTTTTGTTCTTGATTACATGATGCATTACATGATGCATTTTCTATCACTCAAAACAGTTAACAGCAATTGCATAAGTCATGAACTATGGAATAAAAATGCTACTGGAAATAAAAGGATCATCTTCACCTGTCCCAGCTCTTCATTCAGATCTGAAGTATTGACTTGTGCTTTCTGATCCGTTTCTTCATGATACAGATCAAGATCCCAGCCAATAAAAAAATGAGCCAAGGAATTTCTGCATCTCGACTGTCACATAAAGTGAAATTGGAATGATAAAATTGTAGAGCACCAAAAAAGCAAGGAAATCAGAAATAAACCTCAGAATCTGTGGGGGAAAAAAGGTTTGTATAAGACAAAAAGCACAAGAATAAACATCCTTAGAGAAAACTCAGAGAAATGTATGCCAACATCAACTTCTGCCCATTTGGACCATCAGCCTCATGTCTATAGCTCATTTTTTCACATTTCTGTCTCTGGGCCATCTGATTAATCCTATGAGGACTGGGGCATGGGATCTCTTGCTGACAGTTCCTAAAATGGCTGAGACTGTAACTACTTTCAAAACAAGGCCCTGTAACATCTGTGAATTTCAAAGGTTTGCTCCTATCCTCTAGAATTTTTTTCTTTTTTTTGGGCTAGGCAATGGGATTAAGTGACTTGCCCAGGGTCACACAGCTAGTAAGTGTTATGTGTCTGAGGCCACATTTGAACTCAGGTCCTCCTGAATCCAGGGCCGGTGCTCTATCCACTGCGCCACCTAGTTGCCCCTAGAATTTTTTTCAAAAAACTCATTGTTACCTTTGATAATGACATTCAGGATTTAAATAGTATAGCAGTACTCCATTTTAACTGCATGAAAGACTAATCCAATATCTATTTGTGGGGAATGGAAAATCCACATTGATGAAATACAACTTGAAAAACACATGTACCTTATTATCTGACTAGGTTGTACTTTTTTTTTCCTGATCACTGAGTTCAATTACTTAAAATTGCTTTATAATATTAGTGTTTTGATCTGAGAAGAAGTCTACAATAGATTTCAGAGTTAAAGAGTATGCCTTTATGGTAAAAAAGAAAACAAAATATAAAATTAAAGAAAAACCTATATAGTGGTTTGTTTTTTTAAAAGGAAAATCCCTTCCCTTCTCTGGCCTGTCACTTCATCTGTAAAATGAAGTGAATATACTAAAGAAACTCCAAAACTCTCCTAATTCTCCTGTTCCTTCATAGGATGAATATTTTGAAGCAATGACTACTATGAGATGCTTAAGCATTAAAAAAGAGAATGGATATGTTTATGTTTTCATTTAATTTTTGAAAATAATACATTTAACAGCAAGAAAATCTATTTTGTGCTTTATCAAGTGTGTTGCACTCAAAGCTCTGTGGAGAACCAAGTCACTATTAGCACCTCAATGCTGAGATGAGGTATAGTACCAGACCAATGGCCCTCACTTTAGGCCTACCCAAATGGACACCTACATAACGCAGGTAGTTACCGTTCTTTTGCAGTAACTTTTCAGTGGCAGACTTTGGGGTGGTGTCACAGGGACCATCGTATTCCTAGATTCCTTCTACCAGAGAGAGAATATCTTCTCATTCTAGAAGGACAGAGACGACAGTACCTTACTGCTATTTCGCTGATGCTCTGTTTTTTGGTTATACCAAGGTTCATCCCATTTTTCTTCTGTTTGCCACGTATATTTCAAGATCGTACTGATGATGGCTTCAGAAATAAGGATTATGAGATATATTATCAAAAAGGTATTCATTGACCTAGAGTGGATGAAAAAGCATATGAAATATTAATTGATTTGATATTGATTGTTCAGAAAAAGTTATTGATCCATAAATACATTAAAAAATGTTTTTAAAAATTGAATTAAAATGTTTATCAACTCCTACAGATTTCTCCCTTCTCCAAAGGTCACAGCTAAGGTTTACATTTTACTCAACATTGATCATTATGAGCATAACACATTTTAAGTCTTCCTTGATGATCTAAATAACTTAAAATGTAGAGGTGACTTAAAGACCCTGTGACCAGGGTGACCCATCACCTTCCCATCCTGGAAGGTCCACGTGTCTCCTGTCATATACAATAATGGGCAGTTAGGTGGCACAGTGAATAGAGTGCCAGATGTGGAGTCAGGAAGACTCATTTTCCTGAGTTCAAATCTGGCCTCAAACACTTGCTGTGACCCTGGGCAAGTCACTTAACCCTGTTTGCCTCAGTTTCTTCATCTGTAAAATGAGCTGGAGAAGGAAATGCAAAATCACTGTAGCATCTCTGCCAAGAAAACCCCAAATAGGATCATGAAGAGTTGGACATGACTGAAACAACTGAACAGTAACAATACATACAATAACAAACCACTTACACAAGGTAAGAGACTCTGCCACTTACTGGCGCTGGCCTTGAGAAAATCATCTGCCTTCTTTGATTCTTAGTTCTTTCATCACAAAATGAGGAGCATAATACTTGCATTACCTCATTCACAGGGTTGTTAAGAGAAATAAATGGAATAATATATATAAAATGTTGTAAAGCACAAAAAGTGATACAAATAAATGCCATCTCTTGTTATTGCTAATAATTACCATTAAGAGTGGCAAGTATGGTTTAATAGAGAGGGAGCCAGTCTCAAAGCCTGGAAGAACTGGGTTCAAGTGTGCCCCTGACACATACTATTTGTGTATCCCTTTGCCAATCACGTAGCCTCGCTGTCTCTAGGCCTGTCTCTGAAGAATATGCTGACTTGCCTTGTTAGGAAGTTCCTCATTTGGGAGTTCTCTATATGAATGAAATCATAGGTGTGGGCCCTATTCCATCATCAAGAAATGGTGAAATTAAGTACATTCTGTTTAAACAGGCAAAGAATTATGTTTAATAACATTTTTTAAAAGTTTCAGTAAAAAAATTTGCATTTAAAACTGGTCTTAGTTATATAGAAAAGTCTTTTATGTAAAATATAGTAAGTCTTAAAGATAATGAATGAATAAGGTATTACTCTGGTTACTTAAAAATACACAATTCTTGTGTATAAGCTTGAAGATAATAAGTCTGAATCAAAAGAAGTAACCATTTTGTGAAGACTATTACACGTTACAATAAATTTTGATTAAAAATACAAATTCTTTGCTTGAAATTAACCTATCTGAAAAGGACCTCCATGAACAGATACTTCTTGGACCTTCTCCTAAAAAAGTTTGGGCTGACAGCATCTGTTTTATTTCCCGCTATGCCAATACTTGTTTGACAACTGTCCCCTACGTGGGTGAGGCCAACGCTCCACTCTAGCCTTCTGCTCATGCTATTACCCAACTTGGTTTATCCTTTCGTTTATCCTTCAAGGTCCTAATTGTCTCACTCCCTCCATGAAATCCATCCTCCTTCCTCTGGACTGTAGTTAAGTTTTCACCTCTCTGATTTTCCAGATTTATAACCAATACTAACAAACATAAGCAGTTATTTCATGCTGTGGCTTTGTATGTCAAACTACACTGTCAAGTCCTTAAGAACAGAGACTATGTTCTCTATATATCTCTATGAACACTCCCTAGCATTTAGCACAGTGATTGAATTATGACAGACAATTATCTCTAATTCTCTCAAGCAGAATTTAATCAGTGGCTTCTTTTGAAAAAAAAATTCTTTTTAAAAATGTATGAACTTAACAAAAATGAGGATTTAAAGTTTTGAAATATGTTGTCTGAAAATAGGTAACAGGGGGTGAAAGGGAAGGAGATAAGTGTTTATTAAGTGCCTACTACGTACCAGGTACCACGCTAAGTGCTTTACAAATATTATCTCGTTTGATCCTAACAACAACCCTGGGAGGTACGTGCTATTATTATCATCCCCATTTTACAACTGAGGAAACTAAGGCAGACAGAGGTTAAGTGACTTGCCCAGGGTCACAAAGCTAGTGTGGAAAGATATAAACTTAGATCTCTCTCACTCCTGGCCCCACACTCTCTCCACCTAGATGCTTCTTGGGTAACAATAACAACAAACTGGAAAAGTTGGGCAACAGGACAGTTATACTGCTCCTATCAATTAAACAAAGCAGCATTTTCCCCCCAGTGTCATGTACCAGTATGCAAATGTGTCAAAAGTTGCACACCTACCAGTTGCCTTGTATGCCTCATCTTGAGGCTAAAACCAAGGAGGAATGCATGCCCTAAGTTCACATATATTTTCCCTTCATCTGGTTTAAAAACAAAATTTCCGTTGATCTCCTCCAATCTGTTTCAGCGATGAGAAGATATAAATCAACAGTCAACTTAAGTTCACTGATATGACAACAGGTTGTATATGTGCAATCTAATTCAGGTTTACATTTTACATAACGTTGCATGATTATTATGAGCTACAAGTAACACATTTTAAGTCTTCCTTGATGATCTAGGTAACCTAAAATGAATTCAACTTTTTCAAAACTGTCCACTGATTTCCCCTCTTTTTTTCCCCTTTCACTAAAGGTACAGTAGAATGAGCAATGGAATTGGAATCAATGGATCTGGATTCAAATCCTGCCTCTGTGTGACCTTGGGTAAGACATTTAACTGCTATGGATGGATCTCAGTTTCACCATCTGTATAAAGAGAGATTGGAACTAGGTGAGCCAGGGCCCTAAGATCTCTGCTAGCTCTAAATCTCTGATTGTAAATGTTTTTAGAAAGAAAGCCCTGACGAGGCAAAGCCAAGACAGCAGAGATAAAGGCAGGGACTCGCCTGACCTCTCCTCCAAATACCTTTAAATAATGACTCTAAACAAATTCTAGAGTAGTAGAACCTACAAAAAGCAGAATGAAACAATTTTCCATCCCAAGACAACTTAGAAGGTTGGCAGAACAGATCTGTTGCACCAGGGTGAGAGAAGAGTGCAGTCTAGCACATTGTAGACTCGTCCCAGCAAACCAGGAGCAGGTTTGGGGTGACTGAATAAGTGGCAGCAGTGGAGCTTTCCAGACCTCTCCGCTCACAAACGGTAAGGGTGTTGGGCAACAAGTCAAAAGGAGATTTACAGAGGTCCCTCTGCTGGCACCACAGGCTGGACTGTGTCACATTGCCTATAGCTGGATCTGGGTCACAACTAGTCCCAGTATGAGGAGGAGAAGTGGTACAGCCAGGCTTGGGGCCACAGGGGAAACAGGGACCCTGATCACAGTTCCAGGGTTAAAAAGAGGGCTTATGGTCACTCACAAACCAGTCCACAGTACAGGAGAGTAGTAAACCTCTCCCTAGATCATACCACCTTAGAAGAGCCAAAAACTTAAAGCCCCCTAGAAGTATCTCTGAAAACAGCTGTACAAAAAAACCTGAAGCTTGGGACCATGTCCTCTCCACCCTGGAAGCAGAGCCCCACTTTAGCAGAGAGTTAAAAGTCAAGAAATAGGCTGGAAATGTGCAAACAGAAAATAATTCTGACCACAGAAAGTTACTATGGTGACAGGGAAGATTAAAACATACACTCAGATGAAGACCATAAAGTCAAAGCTCCTACATCCAAAGCCTACAAGAAAAATATGAATTGGTCTCAGGCCATGAAGAGCTCAAAAAGGATTTTTAAAAATCAAGTAAGAAAGGCAGAGGAAAAATTGGGAAGAGAAATGAGAGTGATGCAAGAAAATAATGAAAAGAGTCAACAGCTTGGAAAAGGAGGCACAAAATATACTGAAGAAAATAATACCTTAAAAAACAGAATAGACCAAATGGTAAAAGAGGCACAAAAATCCAACAAAGAGAAGAATGACTTGAAAAGCAGAACTGGCTAAATGGAAAAAGATATACAAAAATTCACCAAAGAGAAGAACTCCTTAAAAAGTAGAATTGGGCAAATGGAAAAGGAGGTACAAAAACTCACTGAAGAAAATAATTCCTCAAAAGTTAGAATTGGGCAAGTGGAAGCTAATGACTTTATGAGACATCAAGAAACAATCAAACAGAATCAAAAGGATGAAAAAACAGAAGAAAATATGAAATACCTCACTGGAAAAACAAATGACCTAGAAAACAGATCCAAGAGAGATAATTTTAGAATTACTGGACTACCTGATAGTCATGATCAAAAAAAAAAGAGCCTAGGTATCATCTTTCAAGAAATTATCAAGGAAAACTGCTCTGATATTCTAGAATCAGAGGATAAAATAAAAATTGAAAGAATCAACCAATCAATTCCTGAAAACGATCCCAAAATGAAAACTCCCAGGAATATCATAGCCAAATTCCAGACCTCCTAGAAAAGGAGAAAATACTGCAAGAAGCCAAAAAGAAACAATTCAAATATCATGGAGCCAACAGTCACGATAACACAAGATTTAGCAGCTTCTACATTAAAGGATTGGAGGGCTTGGAATATGATATTCTGGAGGGCAAAAGAGCTAGGATTACAACCAAGAATCACCTATCCAGAAAAACTGAGTATAATCCTTCAGGGGAAAAAATGGACATACAATGAAACAGAGAACTTTCAAGCATTCCTGACAAAAAGACCAGAGCTGAATAGAAAATGTGACTTTCAAATACAAGATGCAAAAGAAGCATAAAAAGGTAAACAGGAAAGAGAAATCATAAGGGATTTAATAAGCTTAAATTGTTTATATTCCTATATGGGAAAATGATATTTATAACTCCTAAAAACTTTCTCATTTTTAGGGCAGTTAGAAGGAGGACACATAGACAGAGGGCAGAGGTGTGAATTGAATGTAATGGAATGATTATCTTAAAAAATAAAATTAAGGGATGAGAAAGAAGAAGGCACTGAGAGAAGGTAGAATGGGATAAGTTATCTGACATAAAGGAGGCCTGAAAGAGATTTTATAGTGAAGTGGAAAACAGGAGAAGAAGGGAGGGGAGCACACAAACCTTACTCCCATTGGAATTGGCTCAAAGATGGAATAATATATATAGTCAGTTGGGTGTAGAAATCTATCCTACCATATAGGAAAGTAGGAAGGGAAGGGGATAAGAGAAAGGGTGTAGGGAAGCTGATAGAAGGGAGGGCAGTTTGGGGGAGGTAAAAGTCAGAAGCAAAACACTTTTGAGAATGAACAGGCTAAAAGGAGAGAGAGACAGTAAGATGTCCAGGGGAAAACAGAATGGAGAGAAATGGATAGTTGGTAATCGTTACTATGAAAAATTTTTCTACAGTGAGTTTCTTACTATGGCAAAGTCTCACATGCCACAGCAGTTCTTCTAAACCTCTTCATCATTCCTCAACTTACCATGGCTCCCGCTTCCCCTACTCTTTCAGCTGAGAGCCATGCTTCATATTCTACTGAAGAAACTGAATCCAGTTGCCTTTTTACCCTTTCTCATTATCTACACCACCCAGTTGCCTTTTGCTACTATCTATTCCTCCCTCTAATCTCACATAATGAAGCAGCCCTTCTCCTTGCCAAGGCCAACTCCTCTACATGCAGAAGTGATCCCATTCTACCCTGCTCCTTTTTTGTTTCTCTCTTTAAAATTCAATTTTAAGTTCTAAATTCTCTCCCTTCCTCCTCCTCCTCCCACTGAGAAGACAAAGGGAAAAAAAGCTCAGCACAGATACAGATAGCTATACAAAGCAAATTCCTATATTAGCAAAGAAAGAAAGAAGGGAAAAAAGAAGAAAAGAGAAAAGAAAAGGAAAGAAAAGAGAAAAGAAAAGGTGCTTCAGTTGGCACTATGAATCCATCACTTCTCTATCTGGAGGGAAAGGGTATGTTTCATCATGAGTCCTTTGGAATTGTGGTGGGTCACTGTGTTGATCAGTCTATTGAGGTCTTTCAAAGTCATTTGTCTTTGCAATATTGTTGTCATTGTATAAATTGCACTCCTGGTTTTGCTCACTTCACCTCTGCATCAATTCATAAAAGACTTCCCAAATTTGTCTGAAACCACATCCCTCGTCATTTCTTATAGCACAACAGTATTCCACCACATTCATATAGCACAGTTTGTTCAGCCATTCCCCAACTGATGGGCATCCTCTCAATTTCCAATTTGCCACCACAAAAAGAGGTGCGCCTAGTACTTTTTGCACATATGGGACCTTTTTCTTTTTATTTGATCTCTTTGAGATATAATAGACCTAGCAGCAGTATTGCTGGGTCAAAGGATATGCACAGCTTAACAGCTTTCTGGGCATAGTTCCACACTGCTCGGCAGAACGGCTACACCAGTTCATAGCTCTACCAACAGTGCATTAAAGTACTGGTTTTTCCACAGCCCCTCCAACATTTGGTATTTTCCTTTTTTTTTTGTCAACTTACCTAATTTGGTGAGTTTGTGAACTCCTATTTCTGAGTTGTTTTAATCTGCACTCTCTAATTATTAGTGACTTAGAGCATGTTTCCATATGGACATTGATAGTTTGGATTTCTTTTTCTAAAAACTACCAAGTCATAATCTTTGACCATTTATCGACTGGGGAATAGCTCTTATTCTTGTAAATCTGACTCAGTACCCTATATATCTTAGAAAGCAGACCTTCATCATAAAAATGTGCTACCAATATTTATTTCTCAATATCTTGCTTCTCTTCTAATTTTAGCTACAATGGTCTTATGTTTGAATCCATTTTACTGCCCGTTCCCCTCTATCTCTTGTTTGGTCATGAACTCTTCCCCGATCCACAGATTTGAGAATTTTCTTTCATGCTACTCTAGTATGCTTACGATGTCATCCATTAACTATAAATCATGTACCCATTTGGCTTACCTTAGTATATGATATGAGATATTGGTCTACACTTAGTTTCTACCACTTTTTTTTGTTGAATAGTGAGCTTTTTCCCCAAATAGCTGGAATCTTTGGGTTTATCAAACATTAGATTACTGTGTTCATTTGCTTCTACATATTGTATACCTAATCTTCTCCATTGATCGACCTATTTCTTACCTAGTACCAAATTATTTTTTTAAACAATTATATCTTTGTTGCATATTTTAAGATTGGGTACTGCTAGTCCACCCACCTTCCTTCCCATTTTTTTTCCATTGATCCCCTTGATATCCTTGACTCTTTGTTCCTTCCAATGAATTTTGTCATTATTTTTTCAAGTTCTATAAAGTAATCTTTGGGAGTTTAATTTACTTATTCAGTGCCATACCAATCAATGTAAGCGGCATTGTCATTTTTACTATATTGACCTGACCTATTCGTGAGCAATTAATTTCTCCAATTATTTAAGTTTACATTTGCCTTTCCTAATCTGTCATCTTCTTATACTTTACTCTCCTCCATGCAGGGTAAAATCCTTAAAAACCGACCTTGCTATTTCTAATATAGACAACTTCATCTCCCAACTCTGACTGTTCACTGGCTATTCCCTTATTTTTTGAATCTTCTCTCTCCTCACCTTCACTTCTTGGCTTCTCTGGCTTACTTCAAAACTCAACTTGAATCCAACCTTCTACAAGAGGACTTTCTAGTTTTCTGAACTACTAGCTAGTATCTGCCCTCAGAGACTAATTTCCATCTACTCTGTATAATCTTGCAGTACATAATTTGTATGTTGTCTCCCCTGTAAGAATGTAAGTTCTTTGATGGGGTGGACCATGTTTTTGCCCTTTTCTGGATCCCTAGGGTTACAGCAAGGATACAGTAAGCGCTTGGATACAGAAGCAGTCAACAAAACCTTATCAACTGAATGACAGGAATATACTTTTAGTTTTCTCATCTGACTTTCTCTTATTAGGTTTTAACCAAAACCTCAGGCCCTATGTAGGAAATTAAGATGTATTATTACAGTCCCTATCCTCAAAGGGTTTATAATCTAATCGAAATGATAAGCTACAGACATGAATAACCAACTATAATACAATGTGAAACAAGATAGGCACTACAGGAGAGACAGCATATACAAGCTCTGAAGAAGTAGTACTGGATCTGAGCCTTGAAGAATAGCTGAGACTCCAAAAGACCAAAAAGAAGGGAAATAACTCCAGGCAGAAGGAAGAATCTCAACTAAAATTCAAAAGTGAATGAGTAGAGCATTTTCAGGGAATGGTTAGGAATTCTGGTTGGCTAAAGCACAGAATTAATGAAAAGCAGTGAAAGAAAAGTAAGCCTGGAAAGGACGGCTAAGTGTAGAAGGCCTTAGATGACAACCTTTTTCTTAAAATTAACTTTAATTCAATTAATAAAATGCAGCTAGTGAAGAATTCTGAATAAGGATGTGAAATTTTAGAGATATGTGGAAGATGACTACGTCCAGAGGGGAAAGAACAGGGAGAAGAGGCTATTTCAACAGTCCAAGTCAAAATACACTGACAGAGTGATCCTCAAGTAGTGGTAGTGAAAACTGAAGGGACCAATCAATCAATCAATCAATCAACAAACATTTAGTAAGCACCTATTCTTCTGGGACAGAGACAAGAGATTTTACAAGTAGAAATGGTAAAATCTGGTGGCTGATTACGGAAAGGAGGCAAGGAAGGAGGAATAAAAACAATGCTAAGGTTTTAACCCTTGGAGACCAGGAAGATGGTGGCACTCTTTAAATGAAATACAGAAGTCAAGAGGAGGAAAATAATACACACTTATGCCACTTTAAAAATAAACAGTTTACCTTCAAACACTTACTTCTCTACTGCTGATCGCTTCTGTGACTTGCTCTTATAATTTAAAGCCATCTTAGTTTCCATTCCTGTATATATTGCAACACCTACAAAACAAAATCAAACTTGGCATTTTTTATAAGAAAAAACCCTATATTTTTGCCAATAGAATATGATTCATTTAAGGTTACATTCTGTCAATCTAACACCGGAAAATAATGCATGTTTAAGGCTGGTGTAAAGAGGCAATGAATAAAATGGGATAACCAATTTATTTATTATAGGATCACTGAATTTAAAGCTAGAAGAAACCTTAAAAATTGGTTAGTCGAAACTAAGTTAAAGTATAATTATGTCTACTTATTATCTAACATCTGATGTAATGAGGTCAAGAAAACAAGAAAAGGGACCTTGGCAAAAGTTAAGGCCCTCTCTTAATCAGTCACTGATTAAGCAAAGGAGTCAAGGAGTAGAGAGTGGGGGATGATGTCTAGAGATTTTGAGATCCTGAATAAGGGAGAAGAGGAAACATGCAAAAATTAGTGTCTATTTTCTCAGTAAAGTAGGAGGTGAAATTCTTTCTTAAAGGGAGTTGGGAGGGATGGTTTAGAAGGCTTAGAAGAGATGTTATGAGGAGTATGAGAGTGTCAGTCAGGGAAGAGAAAAAAAGACTACTGCGGACCAATGAGGACCAAGTAGAGATCAGATAATGAATTTGTAGTGGCCCTAGTCAATAGTCACAAGACTTCTTCCACTGATATTTAGCAGTATGAGTAAGTAAGAGGTAATAAATCAGATGATGAGATGGAGCAAAGCAAAAGAATGGGAGGACAAAAGGGCAAGGTATTCAAAGGTAGAAGATAGGGTGCAGTTGAATTTATTTACTACAGGGTTAAGATTAAGACTTCAAAGCAGCATCCTTGTGTGTAGCTAAGCTAGAAAAAGGGGGCTAATCATGGCAATCAAGGATGATGATGAACCAGGAAGTCAGAGATCAGGGAAGAAAAGAAGTCTGCAATGGAAAAGGAGTAGAAAGAGTACTTTATTTGCAGCAAAAAGGACCTGGGTTCAAATCTTAGTTCTGTCACATATCCTGTGTTAGGTTGGGCAAATCACTTCCATCATCCATGGCCTCAGTTTCTCCATCTATAAAATGAGTGGATTAGACTACCTAGATGGCTTCTAAGGTCCCTTCTAACTCTAGACTTGTGATCCAAAACCAGAATCTGAATAGTATAAAGAAGTAAACTGACTCACTCAGTTATTTTTGGTGATATTAGAAACATATATTTCAAAACACGTTATTTCTTAGCTACATAAATAGCTACTTGGAGGGAAAAAACCCTCTACCAGCCAAGTTTGATACATGAAGTATGGGGTCTAAATACCTTATAGAAGGGCTTCTAGAAAACTGTAAGTAATGACTTCAGATTACAAGGCTTTCATTAAAGTAAAAAAGGACTATTTATCTAACAGAAAGAGAAATAAGTCAAAGATACAGCTGTGATGTTAGATCACAAATTAGTAATATATAATATTGAGGATTACTGAGAAAGAAGTATTATGGAATTACAAAGACTCAAAACAAATTTATGAAAAACACGCAGCAAATAGTAAAAAAAAGTTAATTCTACCACCTTGTGGCATATACTGGAATTGACATGAAAGTCACTGGTCTTGATCAAAAACAAGTAGCTTAAAGCTAAATGTCTAATCAGTTCAGCTAAGCATTAAGGCCTTTCTTAATTTACTTCTAAATTTGAGACTTTAATGTTCTGCTTCTACGGGTGATCTAGATGGATGGAATGAACCTCCAATGCCTAGTGATGTCAACACAGGGTATACAGAAGTGACAGTGAGTAACAAGGAGCATGTTGGACTTTTCCCAGTGTAACTAAGAAATGAGAGAAGGTACACACTTAGTATAGGAGAAGGATGTCAGGGATATGGTGCCTTCTAGAAGGTAACTAGGTTTTTGTGAGTATATGAAAATCAAAGAAGTATGAAAGGAAGAAGCTCATGATGAAGGGAACCTTGTTAATGACAGAACAGAGGTTCCAGAGAGCACAATCAAAGAGCTAGGCAGAGGGGCAGCTAGGTGGTGCAGTGGATACAGCACCAGCCCTTAAGTCAGGAGGACCTGAATTCAAATCAGGCCTCAAACCAAACACTTGACACTTACTAGCTGTATGACCCTGGGCAAGTCACTTAACCCCAATTGCCTAATAAAAAAGAAAAAGAGCTAGGCAGAGCAAATTAGGGATTTGGGAGGCATAAAGCTAAGATGGATGGGAATGAGACTTCAAGGAGAACTCAATTCACTTACAATGTAGCTCTGTCGCACAGACATCAAAACAATGTCAGAAAAAGTTTCTAAATGATTAAATATAAAAGGAAGGTAATTCATATAAAATGCAAACATAAAACAGAAGCCAAAAATATAAAAATATAACAGTAACTCCACCTATTTATTTCAAAGTTGCGCACACTTGGAAGAAAACAGGCACCAACCCAAGGATTTTCAGTAAAACATTCAATGCATCTAAATACTGTGGTTCCTAACACATTGTGTGAAGACTCAGCAAGCTTTTAGAACAGGAGCTGTTTACCTTTTTTGGGTCACAGATCCCTTTGGCAGTGTAACAAAGCCTGCAGACCCCTTCTTAGAATAACGTTTTTAAAATGTATAAAGTAGATTACACAGGACTACAAAGAAAACCAATTCTCCTGAAACATAGTTATCAAACTATTTTTAAAAGCAAGTTTACAGATCCCAGCTTAAGAATCCCTGCTCCAGACCAAGACTTTTAAAATGTCTACAAACCAAAAATTTCTTTTGTGTTCTTTAATCTGGCTCCACGAAGCAAGAGACTTTCTGGCCCAAGAGGTCTAAAAAAGTAAATACACACACAAAAAATTTAATTAAAAATTATTGGATTCCAAAATACTACCAACTTTAGGGTTACACATTTAATTCTCATTCACTGTGGACACATGTGAAATGTCTATACACTAATCATTCCAATATTTACAAAAATAATTTCAGCATAGTAAAAACACAACAAAAGATTTCAGCAACTAATGAAATAAAAGATTTTCCAGGTGGTATAGTGGATAATTTTAGACTTGGAGTCAGTAAGACAGGAGTTCAATCCTGATTCTGGTACCTAAGAGTGGTGTGAACCTGAGATAGGATCTAAAGCCAGATCTTCCCAACTCCAATCTCTAAGCCCTATCCACTATGCTGTGCTATCCCAAAAAATAAAGGGTCAAAGGATATGAACAAACAATTTTCAAAAAAAAACTTCACATAATCAACAGCCAAATGAACGATTGCTACAAATCATTAATAAGAGAAATACAAATTAAGACAGTTCTGAGGCACAGATTCACCTGACACCTAGAAATTGTAAACGATAACAAAAGATGGAAATAACCACTACTGCAGGAACAGGAGGAAAATAAGAGTACCAATACACTACTGGTGGACTTCTAAAGTGATTCATCCTTTCTGGAAAACAATTTGGAATTTTGAGAAAAGGAACTGAAAGGGTCATGCATCTTGTTGATCTAATCTAGCCCCTTCATTTTACTGATGAGAAAACTGAGGCCCTACGAAGCTGTGATTTGATCCATAGCTCCAGATGCTCTGACTCCAAAGACAGCTCCAATTCCACTGTGCCATACTGCCCTGCCGTGCCTAAGGAGCAGAAGAGGAGGGCTGGCTATACAGAGCTGAACGGCATTTTCAAGAAAATAATAACAGAGCAGAGCCTATTATTAGGAAAAGAATAGTGCCCAAGAAATAGTATAAAATATGGTTTCTTAAAAAACAACCAGGGAGGGGCAGCTAGGTGGCACAGTGGATAGAGCACCGGCCCAGGATTCAGGAGGACGTGAGTTCAAATCTGGCCTCAGAGCAAACACATGACACTTACTAGCTGTGTGACCCTGGACAAGTCACTTAACCCCAACTGCCTCACCAACAAGCATAAAAAACCCCAAAAACCCAAAAACTGAGGTGGGCTGGTTATGGAAGAAGAATGAGGACACAACGATCAACAGGTCCCAGGTTGGATTTGCCCTGATATGAGGAAGGCCTCAGTAACTTGGTTGGACCACTTCTGGAGGTTTTCACGAGAAAAACACAGACAAGGATCACACAAGTTGAGAAGGTGTGGTAATCACGGAAAAGGCACTGGATTGGAGACAGAAGTCCTAGGGTTGGGTCCTGGCTCTGCCACCAGTTACTGTGAGTATGACCTTTTGAGCAAATAGTTTAATCCAGAGATTCCACTGCTGGACATGTATGTGAAGAAAGTCAATGAGAAAAAAGAAAGGTAGCACACATACCAAAATATTCACAGCAAACTGAATATTTTCAATTGACTGTAGCAAAAAAACTGGAAGCAAACAGTAATTCTATCCCTTGGGGAATGATTTTAAAATTGGGGCACATAAATATGTCATTAGACTATACAGAACTCCAATACATAGATGAGAAGAATGGTAAAATGAAGGTGAGCACTGAGTCACTGTAATGAACAGTCTCAGTACTGTTCAACAGCTCCCAAAGGGAGCTAAGGGCTCAGTGACTTGGAGTGTCACACACCCTTGTCAGGTACAGTTACAATGCTGGGTAGAGTTGATAAATTGTTTTGGTTATAAGGGAGGGTTCATTTTGGGAATACATTTAAAGATGATGCAGGTAAAGTTAAAAAAACATCAAAAATCCTTTTAAAAAAAGGAATCTGATAAAATAAACCTTTGTATCTTACCTTACAATTTCTTCCATTTGTTGATTCAGTATCATTCTTCCAATGAATCTATAAAAGAGGTCAAGATATTATAAAAATACAAAACATAATTTAAAATTTATTCATAACATAAGTAAAAGACATTTTAGATTCAGTTATCTACAACAGTCTTTCACATATAAACTGAAAAGTTCAACTAGAATCCCTAGCTTTCTTCAAAACACAGGTGCCCCTCTACAAGACCTTTGCTGATCCCACTAACTTTTAGGGCTTTCTTCCTCTTAAAATTACTCAGAATACTTTATATTTACATAGCTATGTACATATTGTAATTTCCCATCCCATGCCCAGTAAGACTACCAACTGTTAAGGGCAGAGACTAATTAGTTTTTATTTTTGTCTCCCAGAGTCAAGTACAGACATTGTATATGGTAGACACTTAAGATGTGCTGAATTAAATTTGATGAACTAACATATACATGATAACAATAGTTACAAAAAGCAATGATTAAGTCATAAATCTTAATGAAATAACAGATCCTAAAATAAATTTCACAGATCTGATTTTTAAAAATTACTTTTGTTGGCTATTCATGGAAATGAATAGATGATGCAGACATACGTATCTATATGAATGTATAGATATCTCTATATTCCTCCAGCCTCCTAATATATTATAGATATTCTTGTGGAAAGGATGGAAAGATGTGGACTCGAAGATAATGCAATAAAACGGATCTGAGAAGTCATTAATGATTCAATGGGAGCTCAGAAGGAGGCTTTTGGTAGAGGGCTCCAGCCATCTTTGCTTAGCCCTGTACTTTGAAACAATTTTATCAGTGACCTAGATAAAAACATGGAGGATATCCTTATCAAGATCTGACAATGACACAACGTCAAGAAAGACAGCTAACACACTAGATGACAGTCAGGATTCAAAAACCACAGCAAAGGGCTGGGTGGAGCACTGGGCTCAACTTAATTCAATAAGGACAGCCCATGCTGTACAGAGATAACTGGATTGCAACTACACTTGAGAAACATGTTCACAAACACAAAAGAAAGCTATGGTTATTAGACAGCAGATTATTATTATTATTAGTACTGCTTTTAAAGATCAGGGGGCTTGAATGGACCTCAGGTTTAATATGGGTCAGCAGGGTGGTATGGCAGCAAAAAAGCAAATGCAATCGACGGCTACATCTAGGAATGGAGGGGTAATAATCCCACAGCACTGCGCCCCAGCAGGCTACTTCTGTAGTGCAGTGTTTCATCCTGGGGATCCATCCATGCACCATCCATGGCATCTCAGGACTGACTGAAGGATCTGGGCGTTCATGCTAGAAAAGAGAAGTTGGCAGAAGGAAGGGGACGTGAAAGGCTACGGAAGAGGTACTGGACTTGTTCTGCTTGGCCCCAGAGGGCAGAATGAAGGGCAGTGAGTGGACACACAAAGAGGTAAAGTGAGGCTTGAAAGAAAGTTCTAACAATGAGAGTACTTTAAAAATGAATATGGCTGCTCTCAGAAGGAGTTAATTCCTCTTCTCTGGAAGTCTTAACAAGACTAGAGGAATGCTCACAGTGTATATTTGGTATTCTAAACCTTCTCTTCTCTCTTACGTTGTGCCCTCTGGAATTTCCTTGCATAGCTCTTCTTCATGTTAGATCTCTCCGTTAAGCTCTCCTTCCATCTTCTGGCACTCAGAGACTAGGATTCCCCTAGATGACACACCATTCCTGGCCATCCTCTCCAGTATGGGCTATCCTTTCTCTCACGCTCTCTCCCTGCTCCATACAGATGTGCGTGCATGCGTGTACACACACACACACACACACACACACACACACACACACACTCTCTCTCACTCTGACACAGCAACACTAGCTCCTCCACTGTTCCCTGCACAAGCCAGTCTGTCTTGTGAACTCCACACATGTCTCTGACTGTCCTTTATGCCTGAAATGCTCTCCCTCTCTATCTCCTGGCTTCTCTGGCTTCCTTCAAATCCCAGCTAAAATCCCACCTGCTTCAGAAAGCCTCTCCCAATCCCCTTTTAATTCTAGAGCCTTCCCTCTGTTGCTCATCTCCAATTTATCCGGCGTATGTATATAAATATAAATATATAAATATCAATACACACACACACACCCCTTATTTTTGGACAGTTATTTGTGCACTGTCTTCCCCATTACACTGTGAGTTCCTTGAGAGCACAGACTTATTTTTTGCTTGGAACGTAGAAGGTGTTTAATAAAGGTTTATTGGCTGGCTGAGTGCTAATATGGCTACTAAGTTCAATATACGGGCTACCGGGATAAGCCATGTGAAGAATAACCAAAACACAAGAAAGAAGCCCTATTTCAAACAGATCAATTTTATCAGGAAATTTTGCATATTTGAAAATACTGTAGATTTTCCAAATTAATGTAGTATACCATATAAACTTTTCATTTTATTTACAGTATTTAAAATTTTTAACTAAAAATAAGTTAAATAAAATGTGAAGGTATTCTTTGAAATATTATCTATCCAACAAAAGAAACTGGACTTTCAAGGGAAATAGCAAATTACATTATAAAGTAGTAATCATCAAAACTATTTGGCACTTGTTAAAAAACAGACAAGTAAATCAATGGAACATAGTAGATAACAGACAAATGAATGCAATAATCCAATGATCAATAATCTAAGAACATAAATTACTTGGTGAGAACTCCCTATTTGATAATGATTGCTGGGAAAACTGTCAACAGTTTGGCTAAAATTAGGTTAGACCAACATCTGACACCAAAAGTATGCCAAAAGGATATCAAAATGGACACATGAAATGAATGTCAGAAGCAACACCATAAAAATTTTATGAGACACTCTTTCATACCTATGGTTAAAAAAGAGAATTATCAATGAAACAATTAGCAAAAGTAATCAAAGAATTTTTAAAAAGTTAATTCTGAAAAGAAATGGGAAAGCTTTTGTATGAACAAAAATGCAACTAGAATAAGAAAGGAAGTGGGTGATTAGGGGGGAAACTGCATGAAATGTCTCTCATAAGCATCTGACATCCAAGATATGTATGGGATTAATCATAGTGTATAAGGCTGAAAGTCAGTCCTCAATGGATAAATGGTTGAGGACATGAACAAACAGTTCTCAAAAGAAATACAAACCCTTAATCAAATGAAAGACTGCTCCAAATCACTATTAAACAAAACACAAATTACAACAATTTTGACATTTCATTTTAAATCCATAAGATTACCAAGGATGACAAAAGGTACATGAAAGTTGAAGGGGCTGTGGAAAGATAAGCATACCATCATATTGTTGTTGCATCTGTGAATTAATATTAATCTGGAAAGCAATCTGGATTTATGCTAAAAAAAATGACTAAACTTTGGCACAGAAATGCCATGGTTAGGCATATGACACAAGTAGGTAAACGATAAAAAACCAAACAAACAATTTTTTTGTAGTAGCGAAGAACTGGAAACAAAGTAGGTACCCTTTGGCTGGGGAATAAATAAATTGTGGTATGTGAAAATAATAACATCACTGAGCTGTAAGCAATATAAAGAATATATAAACCATGCGAAATGATGAATATGAAGAATACCAACAATACTGATGCAAAGTACAGTTAAGCACAGCAAGTAAGAAACACAAAAAAATGACAAAAATGAAAATTTCAACAACAAAAAAACCTGAAATGGAATGCTTTTAAAGTATAATGACCTAACTTGGGCCCCCAAAAGAGATGAAAATGTACCCTCCCTCCCTTATCTGCAGAAGCTAGGAGCTAATGATGTGGGACACTGCATACAATGTTAGGCTTGATATGTTGGCTTTTCTTTTTTTTTTCCTTTTAGGCAATCGGGGTTAAGTGACTTGCCCAGGGTCACACAGCTAGGAAGTATCAAGTGTTTGGTCTGAGGCCGGATTTGAACTCAGGTCCTCCTGACTTCAGGGCTGGTGCTCTATCCACTGCACCACTTAGCTGACCCAATATGATGGTTTTTCTAGACTGCTTTTTCCTCTTTTTAATTCTCCGCCCAAGGGATGTTACATCATGATCTACATGAATGCAGGATTGTTTCAATCTTCATATCTGTATCTGCAGTGCCTAGGAAATAGTAAGTGCTATAAAGATATTTATTGACTGATTTTGCTGGATTATTTTTTTCCTGGTTTCCTTCAATGCAATGTTACCTTCTACATGAAGCCCTTCTTCATCTCCCAGTTCCTATTGTCTCCCCTCTCAGAATATGGTGTATTTATTTTATAAAGGTACATGATAGCTCCCTTGTTAGAATGTGAGCTCCTTTAGGGTATAAACTGGTTTCTGTCTTTGTATCCTCAGCAATTAGCATGGTGCCTGAGGACACAGTAGGAGCTTGATAAACGTTTTTTGATTGACTGATTTATCTTTTTGATTTTTTGTTATATGGGTGATTTTATGAAGCATGGAGAAGACAGGAATATATTGAAAAATAATGGTAATATCAAATAAAAACTATCAATAAAAACTTTTTTAAAAAATCACCTGTATAAGTCTGCTTCTGGTTGCTGACATTCTATCACAGCTATGAGTGTGTCCAACTTGGCAACAGTTTGCAACACTGCTGTTTCTGGAACTGCCACATGTGTCTGAAAACAAAACAAAATAATTTTATAATAAAAAAAACCCCATGATTCTTGGAGAAACTCAGAGACAGAAGCTAAAATCAGGGACCTTACATGTCACCTAGTGTAACCCCTTCATTTTACAGGCCAAAAAACAGACCCAAGGAGATTAAGTGACTTGCCTGAGGCACCCAGATAGTGCAGTATAGCTGAGACAGGAAGATCTCTGGTCTCTTAACTTCCAGTGTGATGCTTTTCACACTATACCATATTTAAAAGTATCTGTTTGTTGCTGAGCTATTTTAGTTGTGTCTGACTCTTTGTGAGCCCATTGGGGGTTTTCTTGGCAGAGATATTGAAGTGGTTTCTAATTTCCTTCTCCAGCCCATTTTTACAGATGAGGAAACTGAGGCAAACAAGGTCAAGTGACTTGCCTAGGGTCACACAACTAGTAAGTGTCTGAGGCCAAATTTGAACTCAGGAAGATAAGTCTTCCTGACTTCAGGTCTGGCACGCTATCCATTGCACCACCTAGTCTCCAAAAGTTTCTTTTACTCTATATTAACAGTATAATATATGAAATTATTCTAAGCTTACAAGAAAAAACCCAAATTCATCACCAATTGATAATGCTTCTCAGGAGGTCAAATAAGACTTGATTCTACTTTTAATGAATAGCAATCATTTCAATGAAGTAAGAAAAAAATAAGACATAAAAGCCATTGTTAATACAACACAAAAGTTAAGAACTCAAGGAATTTAAAACTAGCAAATTGTTCACTTAAATAGATATATTCAACTTATATTTTGGCTTGGTATTGCCCCTTACTTATGAGCCACCACCTCAAGACGGTGGCTTTAGGGATCCCCTTCTGTGCTGCTGCTTTTGGAATCTCCCTTTACTTTGTTGTTATAGACTCTCTGCCTCTAACCTTTTGCTAAATATAATTCAGCAGGATGTTATGACCTGAAATGGAATGTCCATTTGAGTGAACAATTTAAGCTTAGAATAATGTCAGACATTATACTGTAAGTAAGCACACCAAATAAAGTTCCCATCACTGGAGACGTTAAAAAAATAAGAAGAGTGATCACTTGACAGAAATTTTGGAGACAAAATTCATGATCTGGTGATGCAACTGGACTAGGTGACAGCAAAGTCCAATCTAACTCTAGGACTCCTTAACTCTATAAAATGAAAAGCTAAAAATAATTTAACTTTGTACTTCCATAAGACCTTTATAAAACAAAAGAAAAAAAGTCTGTCAGACTATGTATCTTGATTTGGGGTTTGGAAGTATGTTCACCATCCCTAAATCTCATTACGTCTTACTCAATGGAACCCACACAGATATTTAAAGCTACACACCTTGAGGTTAGTTTCTCCATCCAGGCTAGCAGTAGTAACATGGCATGAACCATCCCCTCTGTCTGAAGACAGAAGCACCAAATCAGCAGGAAAAATCTCATCTTTGGCAATTCTGACAATATCCCCTACCTAGGGGGAAAAAAAGGTTTGAAAAACTAAATTAAAACATTTAAAACTGCCTAGGATACATTTTTTAAAAATTTCATTATATCCTAAACGCAGAGTACCATAGAATTTTAATGAGTAAAACAGGTCTTTAACTTAAATCATAAGCAGATTACAATTCTGAGTCAAGCCATCCCAAACCTACCGCTTTCTGTCATGTAACAGATGCCTACCCGGATGTTTTTTGATCTCGTTTTCACAAGGCCACCACTTCGAACGACATAAACAGGTGCTCCATTTACTTCATTATCTGATTTGTGTCGTAACCAGTCTTCATATCCCTACAAATACATGAAGATTAGAAAAATAAAGCCATTGTTGATGTAACTTTTGAACACTCTTATCACTTCATACTTCATTCCATTTCTCATACCTGCCCCCTTCCATCCTCCTGACACTGCCACTGCCCTGCTGCAAGCCCTCATCACCCGGGCTACTGAAACGACTGCTCACCGCTCTCCCTGCCTCAGTTTCTTCCCACTGACTCCATCCTCCACTTACCTGTCAGACTGATCTTCCTAAAGTACACCTGACCATGTCACTCTTTCTTTTCAATAAACTCCAGTGGAGCCATATTGTCTCCAGAATAAACTAGGAAATATTGTCTCTTAGAGCCCTCACTACCTGGCCCCTTCCTCTCTTTCTAGTCTTCTTACACACCTTACTTTGTGATTCAGTGACACTTGCCTCCTGTCACTGGCTGCACCCATGCTGGGAATTCTCTTCCTCTCCTAGCTTTCTTCTCAGATAAAATCCCACCTTCTGCCAGAAGCCTTTCCTGGTTCTTCTTAATGCCAGTGCCTCCTCCTCAGATCACCTCTATGTTATCCGTATAGATGCTACCTGTGCACAGTACTTTACATGTTTTCTCCCCCACTTAGATTGTGAACTCCTTGAAGGCAGAGACCACACTGACCTTTCTTTATATCCCAAAAGCTTTGCCCAGTGACTGGTACACAAAAAATTCTTGCAATCATAAACAACAGTAGAATGCTGATATTAAAAAGAAGGGCCTTTGCTTTTCTGGAAGAGGCCTGCAGTTATTAAAAGAGTGATGCAATTTCCTGAAGGCAATTCAACCTGCTATCTATCACAGGAATTAAGGAAGCCTGTACAACATGAACCTCCATGTTGGAGAAGAGCCTTTAAAAATCCATATTTTGCCCTACCAAGTCAAAGCCTTTTTTTAAAAAAAATTATTTTGGTAATTAAAAACAAAAGGCACAGTGGAATCTTTTTGTTTTGCTCCTTTCAATCAACAGGTTGACTGTGAAGATGAGGTGCACAATAGAGAACAGTTTGTGAATGCCTACCTGTTCCCTCCTCTTACTTCCATTTAGGATATTCTCAATATTGCAGAATAGATCATTCTCCCAAAGACTTTAGAAGAGACAAGAAAGTAGACAATGAGATTGGTAGTTATGGATTTTCTATCAACTGCCTACTGGTGAGTATAACTACAACACATGATTTTTTCCCCATTCTTTTGGTATCTTTCCCCTTTTTGAAATATCTTCTGAAGTAATTCCTCAGTGCTTTCAAGACTGTGTTGCCTTGAGTACAGAAATCCTGTGGAAATCCCCAGTGGGAACCTTAGCTGGGCCCGCCAGTCTTCCCATCCCCATTTTCCTAAGAGCCATTCTATTTTCTTTACTGGGCACCCTTTGCCTTGAGATGTTAGGGTCCAAAACAGGACAGCACCTCTGTCGGATGCTGAAGAAAAAAATACCATTACAGAAGTGATGACAAACATATTTCATTTTACTTCTCTTTGTTGTCCTGTCAGCCTCATTTATGAATGCTTTGGCAATGAGGTGACTCATTCAATCTTATATCAAACTTTCTACAGACATATTTTCACTTTCACTATTTCATATAGTGATAAAGCTCTTAGTCTTCTGCCATATCCTTACCTACAGTGTTTTACAAATGAGTTTATAATCTAAACTTGTATTATTTTTAGTGAGCACAATACCAGCCCTCTTTCTGCTCGGCAGAGACTAAGTGTGTCCTGGACAAGGCAGTTTCTGGGCTCTTTTGGCCTCTCGTTACTGTGACTATCTATCAGCTAAACTTTTACATGAAATAATGATTACAAGGTTCAACAGATTTTCCTTTTTCAAAACCCTTCCAGCTCAGAATCTTAAAACTTGGCCAAAAGCGCAGATTCACTAGGAATCCCGCTCACCTCCATGCATGTTCTAATAAGCTTTGTCTTTGGCTGAAAGATTTGGGTCGAATTCATTCGGGCAGGAACTGTTTCTCTTGCTCTTGCTATTTTGGGTTCCCAGCACCCCTAAACTTCAACATTACCACTATTACTTGACCTCTCTGTTCCTCAGTTTCCTCACTGGTAAAACATGGTAACATTAAATGATCTCTAATATCACTTCTAGCTTTAAATCCTATTTTCTGGGCAAGTTATATTCCCAACCTAGTAAGAATTTAAAATTTTTCAAAAATAAATACCTGAAGAACCCAATGAATCCTCCCCTCCAACAACCTTATTCCCCTTTTATTGGAGAGGGAGAAGGGTCATAATCTGTCAAAAATCCTTCATTCTACTCATTTCAGGTAGGTATAAGCAAGAAGTGAGAGGGAGAAAAAAATAGCAACAAGTATAAACAAATTTTAACATAATTGTTTTATAACTTCCACAAAAATTTGATTGTTCGCAGTTAAGAGCAGATTGGAGCATACCTACAGTTGCCATATTTTCCAAATCAAAATCAGGATATATGCTTACAAATCATATTCTTTTTGCAAAGTACTTTGGGGGGGAAAAAACCCCAACAATTTTCTTTTTGTAAAGTCAAGACTATCTCTAAAAAAAGAAGAAATACAAGATGTGTAGTAACTATCAATGCACCCCACAAAGTATTCTGCAGTTTGAAGACTCCTTACAAACACATGCGCTTTAAGCAAAGGGGGAGGGAAAGGAAGGAGAGAAGAATATAACAAACAAAAAACAGAAAAAAAAGAAGAAAAACTAACTAGGTAACTAAAAACCCTTCTACCTTTTCAGCACTGACAATTCACTTGAACAGACAAGGATAACACCACTGCAGTTGTTCCCAAGGTCTTCTCATCTTTTTTTACTATTTTAACTTGGATTTTGACCTTTGCTCTCATTAGTCAATGACTGGTTTGTACACAGACTGCTAATTCTGCTATTACTCCTATATCAGGAACCAATCATTTCTTCTTTGTTTGGACTTATTCAATTTCTTTTTTTTTTGGTGATATTGCTCAGGGATCAATATGCCTAGCATTCTTTTCTATAAGACAGTATTCAGGATATACAGACAAGAGGATCCTCAGTATTTTACAGGCATTTAGGCCACTTTCATTTCTCAAAATGAGCCATGTTTTCCAATATAGAGTGTGATACAGTAGAAAAAGGCAAGATCTGGAGTTAGGGATCCAGATTTAAATTCTACCTCCACAGGGTTTTCATCACCTTAATTTGGGTCTCAACCTAAGGGTGGAAATGTATGGCCAATAGTAGTACCACGTTGTTCCTCTTTCCTCTCTTCTTCCCTATTTCTTTGGAAACTGAAAAATTAATCAAACATCTAAATGTAAAACAAATTTGTGAGACCCTAACTTACTGTGTCATAAGTGGGGTACACTGAGAGTACAAACTTCCTCTGCAACGTTATATAATACTGAGAAGAAATTAAGGCTATCTTTAGTCATATGAAAAAATGCTCTAAATCACTATTGATTTGAGAAATGCAAATCAAAAAACTCTGAGGTACCACATCACACCTATCAGATTAGCCAACATGACAAAACAGGACAATGATAAATGCTGGAGAAGATGTGGGAAAACTGGAACCCTAGTGCATTGTTGGTGGAGTCATGAACTGATCCAACCATTCTGAAAAGCAATTTGAACTATGCCCAAAAGGCTATAAAAATGTACATACCCTTTGAACCAGCAATACCACTTCTAGGTCTGTATCCCAAAGGGATCACAAAAATGGGAAAAGGACCCACATGTACAAAAATATTCATAGCAGCCCTTTCTGTGGTGGCCAAGAATTGGAAATTGAGGGGATGTCCATCAATTGAGGAATGGCTGAACAAGGTGCGGTACATGAATGTAATGGAATACTATTGTTCTACAAGAAATGATGAGCAAGCAGACTTCAGAAAAACCTGGAAGGACTTGTATGGTCTGATGCTGACTGAAGTGGTCAGAACCAGGAGAACGTTGTACATAGTAACAGTCATGTTGTATGATGACTGTGATAGACTTAGCCATTGTCAGCAATGCAAGGATCTAAGACAAAATGCTATCTACATCCAGAGAAAGAATTATGGAGTTTGAATGCAGATTGAAGCATACTATTTGCTATTTTTTCCCTTCTGTTTTGTTTCTTCTTTCTTGTGGTTCCTCCTATTGGTTCTAATTATTCTTTACAACATGACTAATGTGAAAATATGTTTAATAGGAAAAATATGTAGAGCCTATATCAGATTGCATGCTGTCTGGGGAAGGGAAGCAGAGAAAATTTAAAATTCAAAAGCTTATGGAAGTGATTGCTGAAAACTAAAAATAAATTAACTAAAAAAAAGTGCTAATACTGAGCAGGGAAAAACAAAGGGTTTTGAACATGGCAGGCTAATAAAAATAGTTTGTATTTATACAGCATTTTAAGGCCTATAAATTACTTTCTTTATAATAAATTCTGTGAGGTAACTGTAATGTACAAACTAAGTATTTAATGAGCACTGGATGAATTCAACTGAGGTTGATAAAAGTGTTACCCTCATTTTACAGTTTAGAAAATCAAGACCCATATTAACTGGCTCATCCAGGGACACAGCTGGCAGGTATCAAAACTGGAAATCAAACCTTAGGAGTTGGTGAACAGCCCTCTCTCTCCACTACACCTTACTACCTATTGTGATACAGATAAGTTCTAATCTGCAGCAGCCTACTGACAAAAATGGGAAGTCACTCAAATGGTGCACAGTAAAACCACAGTTATATTATTAAAGCCTATCAATGCAATGGCTTTTTTTTTTGTCAACTACACGCCCTTCTTAATTTTCTCTGAGCTGCTAACAGGTACTATTCCAGAATTCTGGACTCTCCACTTTATTGCTAGCTCAACCTAAAACTTGGTCCTGAGCCTCCTCGCCCGTGGTGCAAGTGACAGAAAGCCATGCTGGTATCAGCAGACCTGGGTTAGGAGCTGCTCCCATGGCTAGTTCTGTAAGGGTGAGCAAGGTACCTCATCTCTGAGAGCCTCATCTGCAGAGAAGGAATAATAAGGACTAATTATGATCTTGCTATCCGTTTTGATTTTCACAAAGGAACTGAGAAATAAGTAAAGCATACAAGGTGTTCTGCAAACCACATCATTCGTAACAAGACACAAACAGAAGTTCCCTTAAAACTAAGAAGAAAATGATGACGGAAGAGAAACACTTTTCTAACTAGAAATACCACCCAAGAGAGCTACAAAAGCATAACAATCCCTGAGAGTCTTTATTTTTCACTCAGCATGTTTACTAGATTCCCTTGTCTCTCTGTTGATTTCAAATGTCATTGAGAGAAAGGAGAAATCACAACATTATGATAAAAGGACACAGATATAGCTAAAAATTGTCTTGATATTTTCTGGTAAAGATAGTCTCTCTAAGTTCTAATCTACATAAAACCTATATTATATTTAAAAAAAAAGCCCTATATAAAAACCAACCTTAGCAGAAAATCCATAAAATGATACACAAACACAACAATTTGTTCATGTGCAAAAATTCACTGCCAATTTTTATAGGTCACATACCCTGAAACATATGTTTTCAGGCTTACATTTTCCTTTAAATTTGTCAGATAACACACTGAGGGTTTAATGAGCAATACCAAGTTACAATTCTTCTACAGAAATATTAGGTGTGCCAAGGGAATAACATATTAGAAAACAGGTTGGCAACCTTTTAAGGGAGACAGTCTCGGAATAATATTCTTAGACTAACTTTTTGAAGAACCACACACATTTTTTTAAGTAAAAAGATTACAAATTAAAAGTTGGAAGGTGCCTCAGAGGATACCTAGGCCTACAGATGAACAAAGTGAGACCCAGGGAGGTTAAGCTATTTGCCCAAAGTCATACAGAGACTAAAGGGCAGAAACGAGACTGGACTCTAGGTTCCCTGGCTCTAACCTGGCACCACACACACACACACACACACACACACACATTCTCTCTCTCTCTTTCTCTCTCTCTCTCTCTCTCTCTCTCTCTCTCTCTCTTCAATTAGTCAGTCAATAAGCATTTATGCACTTCCTATTGTGTTGTGCCAGGTACTGTGCTCAGTACTGAATATACAAAGAATAAAATAATCACTATTCACAGGGCCCTTATATTCTAATAGGAGAGAAAACAAGGATACGAGTATATACAGAAAAAAATATAAAGAGAATAAACACAAATAAACACCGAGAGAGAGATTCTATGGGGCAGAGGGAAGAAGGGAGGGCATTCCCCAGAATGTGGGATGACTAGTGCAAAGGCATGAAGCTGGGAGATCATACCTTTGTATGAGAACAGAGACCAGTCTGGCTGGATTGTAGAGTCTGGGAAAGTGAATAACATACAATAAGGCTGAAAAGATAGCTGGGGGCCACTGGGCAAATATCCACAGTGGATATGGATGGTGAGTCCCAGCAAAGGAGGCTGAGGAGTGTCAGACTAGGAAGAGGAAAACTGGGACACAGCAAGGTCATGAAAACCCAGAGCAATCCAGTTGCCAGAATAAGAAGGCAGTCAACAGTGTCAAATGCAAGAGAAAAGTCAAGAAGGATGAGGACTGAGAAAAGGCCAAAAGATTTGCCAATTAGAAGTTATTGGTAACTTTGGAGAGAGCAATTTCAATTGAATGATGAGGTCAAAAGCCAGACTGTAAAGGGTGAAAGGTGAATACAAGGAGAAGAGAGGAAGACAACGTTATATAGTTTTTTCTCTAGGAGTTTTCTAGGAGAAAGGAAGAAGAGATGTAGGATAATAGCTTCAAGACACAGTATGGTCTAGGAAAAATTTTTTATGGATGAGGGAGACCCAGACATGTTTGAAGGCAATAGGGAAAGAAACAATAGATAAGGAGAGGGTGAATATTAGAAGAAAGGGGTGATGAATGAGGTTGCAATCTGCTCAAGAAGACAGAAGGGAGAAGGAATCAAGAGCACACATAGAGAGGGTTGTTCTTGGCAAAGAAAACAACTGCTTCTTTGTCAGAAACTGGGGAAAAGGAGGAAAAGACAGGGGATGATGTCAAAGTGTGTTGAGATAAAGAGAATGGGAGAAGACAAAGCTCATGAATGGTCTGTTTTCTCAGTTAAGGAGTAGGTGCGTTCCTCAGCTGATCAAGACAGGGTAAGGAATGGTATAAGAAGCTTGAGGAGGGAACAGCTTCCATGGAGGGTAAGACAGGGAATCAATTAGGGAAGAATAAAAGAACCACCTTCCCTTAACAGAAGATAATGTTAGCACAGCTCTATTTATCAGCACATGAGTAGAAAGGAGGAAGCACATGGCAGAAGCAACCCAAGGCTGACCTCTGATTAGGAGAAGACTGGGTAAAGGACGAAGGGTAGAAGGATTCAAGAGCAGAGGACAGTTTTAGGTTGAAAAGGCTAACTATACAGCCAAGACTGGAATTGATATTAGTGCCAGAGATACTATACTACCTTCCCCTTTACTGGTTTAAATAAGGTATCTAAATTGAAGTAAAAAAGCGACACTGCACACAGAAAGATCAGATAGAGTCTGAGGATTTTCCATGCGCTTTCCCATCAGCACATCAGTACAATGAGGTTGTCAATGCAGCTGACTATCAAGTCTGAAAGCAGGCTGCCCTGTGGGTGTGAGTTGGTTATGATGGGATGATGTTTCAAAAATAGAATTAAGGAATGAGAAAGAGGAATGCCCCGGGAGAAAGGGCAAGGGCAAGGCAGAATGGGGTACATTATCTCACGTAAGAGGTGCAAAAGACTTTTCACGATGGAAGAGAAGATAGCGGGGAACACCTGAACCTTACCTCAATGGCACTGGCTCAAAGAGGGAATAACATATACATGCAGTTGGGTACAGAAATCTACCTTACCCTACAGGGAAGTAGGAGGGGAAGGAGAAAAAAAGGGAGGGGGCTAACATAAGGGACGGCACTGGGGGAGGTAGTAGTCAGAAGCAAAACCCTTTTGAGGAGGGACAGGGTGAAAAGAGAGACAGAGAGAGAAGAATTAACATGGGGAAAATAGGATAGAATCATAACTGTGAAAAACATTTTGCAGCAAGTTTCTCTGATAAAGGCTTCATTTCTCAAATACACAGAGAATTGAGTCAAATTTTTAAAAATAAGAGCCATTCCTCAGCTGATAAACAGTCAAAAGATATGAAGAAGTTTACAGATGAAGTAATGAAAGCTATCTCTAGCCATATGGAAAAAAAAAAGCTCTAAATCACTGATTGGAGAAATGCAAATTAAAACAATTCTGAGGTACCACCTCACACCAATCAGATTGGCTAACACATAGAAAAGGAAAATGACGAATGTTGGAGGGGATGTGGGAAAATTGTGACGTTAATGCACTGTTGGTGGAGCTGTGCACTGATTCAACCATTCTATACAGCAATTTGGAACTATGCCCAAAGGCTACAAAACCATGCATATCCTTTGACTCAGCAATACCATTACTAGGTCTGTATCCTAAATAGAAAAAAGAAAGGAAAAGATCCTATATGAACAAAAATATATATAAGCAGCTCTTTTCTGGTGGCAAAGAATTGGAAATTGAGGGGATGCCCATCAATAGGGGAATGGCTGAAAAAGTTGTGGCATATGATTATGATCGAATACCTTTGTGTTATAAGAAATAATGAGCAGGATACTCTGAGAAGAACCTGGAAAGACTTATATGAACTGATGCAAACTGAAACAAGCAGAATCAGGAGAACACTGTACACAATAACAGCAATACTGTACAATGATCAAGTGTAAATGACTTAACTACTCAATTAACTATTAACCATACAACGATCTAAGACAGCTCTGAATGACTTGTAAAGAAAAATGCCATACATCCCCAGAAAAAGAACTAATGGAGTCTGAACACAGATCAAACATACGTTTTTTTAAACTTTATTTTTCTTGAGTCTTTCACAACACGACTAACATGGAAATGTTTTGCATGACTCTACATGTATAACCTATATCAAATTGCTTGCCTTCTCAATGACTGGAGAAGAAAGGAAGAGTGAGAATTTGAAACTCTAAATTAAAAAAAAAAAGAATGCTAAAAATTGTTTTTACATGTAATTGGGGAAAAATAAAATATTAAATTTAAAAAACCACCACCACCAACAAAAGCAGGCTGCTCTTAGGGAATGAGATAGAAAGGAATGGAGGTAGAAGAGGGAAGATGAGTAGAAATAAATTTGGGCCTAGATAAAGGAAGAAGAATACAGTGAGAGGTCTATGCTAGAAAGGGGCCAAGAGAGCCTTCTGCCTGGTTTGTACCAGCACAGCACTTTTTTATAACCTAATGAAATGTCATATAGTTAAAGCTAATTTAAAAATTACAAAAGTACAAATGAAACTCTTCACTGACAATAAGTGTGTAACACTAGATGTCTGAATTCTATATCCACTGCCTGAATTTAATAGGGTTTCAATATAGGGAAAGGGAATGGACCTGTTATTTCATAAGTATAGTGAACTCTTAGGTTAAGTAAACACTCCCTACCAGCAGATTCTCAGCAACTTATAGTTCACAAGAATTTCCCAAAGCAGGGGTGCGGAACCTGTGCCCCTACCTGTAGCAATTAACTTTAAGGTTAAGTGACTTGCCCAGGATCACAGCCAGAATGCTTCAAGGGGACACCTGAAACTAGGTCTTCTCAGCTTAGAGGTCTACTCTCTAGCAACTATGCCAAACTACCTCTCTTTTCTTTTTTTTTTCTACCACTCTTTTAAAAAGCAATAAAAAATATTGCTTTTCCCTTACTCAAACTATTTTCACAATCCCACACAACAATTAACTGTATAACAGAAAAAAATCAGGAACTTACAAATAACTTTTAGAGAAAGTGATAATGATAGGAACCAAATTCATACCTGCTTTATGGCAGTTACAGTTATCACAAAGAATAACGGAAGTCCACTGGTAACAGGACTCGTAGGAGTATCAATCATAAGCTGTATTTAAAAAAAAAATTTAGAATGTTATATTTTTAGATGGCATGTTTTATTTTTAAAAAGGTTTATTACTATATTTTGTTTTTATATCACTTCACAATATATCCCTTGCCCCTTCTCCATTCAGAGAACTATAACTAATTTTTTAAAAAGAGTATGAAAAGAAACAAAAAATTCAGCATAGCAATAGCATCTGACAGTATATGTAGTGTTAGGTATATTCTCATCTCTTATTTTGAAAGAATACATGTTTAAAAAACAAACAAACATGTCTGAATTCTCACTGTAACCAATGCCACGCACAAGATACAAAATGCCAAATAAGAATCTTGGTGAAAAATAATATAGGATTATCATGCAATGTGTCTAAACCTACTATCCTATATGTTTCTATCTTTACTTTGACTTAGTTGCATTATTTAATCTTTTCCCCAATTACATGCGAAAACAATTTTAACATTTTTTTCCCTTCAATTTTTGAGTTCCAAATTCTCTCCCTTCTTCCCCTCCCCCCTCACTGAGAAGGCAAGCAATTTTTTTTCCTTTTGCTAGGCAATGGAGTTAAGCGACTTCCCCAAGGTCACACAGCTAGTAAGTGTCAAGTGTCTGAGGCCATATTTGAACTCAGGACTTCCTGACTCCAGGGCCAGTGTTCTATCAACTGAGCTACCTAGCTGCCCCATAAGGCAAGCAATTTTTGACTTTAAGTTACACAGAATACTCAAAGCATTTTGAAGAATAGAAAAGCTTTCTAAACAGTAAAAAGTTTCCAGAATCCATGAGGTACAATGGAGCTCTAGATATGTGCCTGAGAGAAGAATTATAGTCTTTCAAACTACACCGTGATATTTCTTTGTAGCTCTCCAAAAGAAACACAAATACTTTGTAAGGCTGCTAGAAACAGATCACCAATTTTCACACTTGAATTGAGCATAATTTTCAGTTTAGTGAAAAAATTAGCATTAGAGTTAGAGGGAGGCTTTCTATCAGGGTGACTTTTTAGAATGCAGAACTAAAAGATATAAATCAAACTGCAATTATGATTTGTAAGTGACATAGTCTGGGTATTATTACAATTCTCAATAACAATAGCTCTCTCATTTAAGTAAAGTATTTTAAAATTTATAAAATGCTTGGCATGTATTATTAATCTCAACTTCACCCCATCCATGTGAGGCATGAAGGCTCTATTACCATTTTGTAGATGGGGAAAGTGAAGGATGGAGCAGTTGTCACATGCCCACAATCCCCTGGGTAGCGAGCATCGGACTGGGATTTCAGCTCAGGTTTTCCCCAAGACTAAGGCCAGCACGTGTCAGCCTCTTGGGGTCTGAACCACTCAAGCTGTTGGGACTGGCTCAAGAGACAAAAAGGTCATTGTGGCAACTGTGGTTTGCTAGTTAGAACTGTCACTAATGAAAGGATGTGAGCTTCATAACCTTAGGAGGGGCGGTCTGACTCCTAAGGCAACTGGTGACCAAAGAAAATGGGTGAGAATATGAATGGATCAGTGTAAACTGATCATAGCTGCTAAAAAATCACTTTATGTGCAGTAGCTTTGTTCACTGAAGGTCAGCAGTGTAATCTTTATTTAGGAAGAAAATCACTCAACACATAATACTTCTAAAAGCTTTAAAATAACCTGTAAGGTTTTTTTTCATGTTTTAAAATGCCAAAAGGGAAATGGTTTCAGAGTTCTACTGCTAATGTAAATTATCATACCATACACAACACTAAAACTCTGAACAAGGGGCAGTGAGGTGGCGCAGTGGATAGAGCACCAGCCCTGGATTCAGGGGGACCTGAGTTCAAATCCGACCTCTGACACTCAACACTTATTAGCTGTGTGACCCTGGGCAAATCACTTAACCCCAACTGCCTTGCCAAAAAACAACAACAACACTCTGAACAGTCTGGCAAGTTCTAATTTCTGAAGCATTAATAGGTTAGACAGTACTCACAGAAAACAAAATGACTACTATTTAAAAATTTGAATGTTAATCACTGTTAATATCAATTTTAAGTGCATATATTTCAATATGAAAGTTTCAGAACAAGTTCTAAGTTTGAGAAAAGATATTGAGCTAATTTGACAAATATAAATTTTATCTGTTATACTACAAAGACATCCTAAGAAGTAAAATGTGGGGGGAGGGACAGTAGAAAATGGATCAACCAACATAATGCAGCTCATAAAGAACAGGGATTCTAATTATGGGAAGAGTGTGACTAGGTGGAAAAGCCACACTCCTAGGAAAGTGAACAATGTCAACTGTGCAGATGTAAGTGGCATGTGCATGTGAATATGTATGCCTTAAAAACTAGCAATCTGATTATCTAAATGCCAAAAGTAAGCTTGTTTTGCATTTCTTAATATAAGATAAAGAAGCATTCCTTCCTGTGAAATACGAAGATATAAGCTCAAATATTTACGCATTTTGTGTGCCAAGGGGCTTTTCTCAAATACAATTTCACATTCACAAAAGACAGAAAAACAGGCAGATGACTTGCCAGAAAGTAGCATGTGTTGCATATTAAATTTTATAGTACTGATGTTCTAACATATAAATTTTGAAAGATGCTAGTCTAAATTTCAGCCTTATTAAGTTAGCAGTACTTGGAAAATAACTTGTTTTTGTTCTTCATTTCTCCAGGTCTTTGTACTATTTGTGTCAGAAAATTCACTGTTAATTTTGCTATTGCTTTTTATCAAATAAAAAAATTTAATTAATCCCAACTTTGATAAGTTGGCTCCTAAAACCAAATAATCTAGATACAGTTCACAGTTTAACATACCTAAAAATAACCGCTATTTTTTCAATTCTCTCTCCCCACTCTGTCTTTTAGCATATATTTTCAAAATTTTCCCTTTAAAAATTATTTTTTAATTTAAAAAATAAACATTGAATAGTATAGTCAAGCAAAATATAATTAATGGCATAAGAACTTACCTGGACCAAAAAGATAATAAGAAAGTAAAAGTTTGCTACTCTTCTGAATTGTTCAAATAAATTTTTTGGAACAAAATTCCACACTGTATACTGAAAGAGAAAGAAATACAATTTGAGTCATGCAGGATGCACTGAAAGCAGTCAGCTGAGCCGAGTCCGATGAAGTCCACAGGCTTAGTTTCAAATCTTTCAACTAGCCTTACTGCTTATTAAGTATCTACATGTACAGAAATGCTTATGTGCTACATGTGCAGAAAAACAGATTGGGCTCTGAGAATGAGAAAAAACTTGGCTAAAACAAGTACCTGCTCTATGCAGTTTAAAGTCTATACAGACATAAACATCGGAAAATCTTAACACAAAACAACACATGACAAGTGTGAGTACAAGTGTGTATACATGGAGACAAAGGGAGCCAGGGAAATGGATTGAGGGAAAAAAAACTCAGAGGTTTCCTCAAGGTGGCAGCAGTGTTTAAGTTGGGTTTTAGACAAGCAAGAAATTCAACTGGCAGAAAGGGTGAGGAGGCATTTAAATTTTTTGCTTTTTATTCTGGACTTAAAAGTACCAATATATTAAAATTTTCTTATATAAAAAATAGAAAAAGATAGGATTGTATGTGATACTGGTTATCGTATAGTTTTTTAAGTCTATGTTAGATCTAAATTCCAACATTGTCCTGCCTATTTATGTACCCTTCTGACTGACCTTCCTTCTGCTCTTTTATCTATTTTCAAATGTTTCATTGATGCTTTTTTCTTTTCTTTTTCTTGGTATCACTGTCACTACGTCCCTACTTTCCTAACCCCTACCCAGTACTCCCTTGTAACAAGTAAGCATTATCAAGGAAAACAAATACATTCATTCATTGGCCATATGTGAAAATGAATTATTAATTTTTGCACTTCTCATCCATCTATTTGCCAGAAGTTTGTTTCATCATCAGTCCTTGAGATCAATGCCAACCACACTGACCAAAGTTTTAAGTCTTTCAAAATTGTTTTATTTTACATGTCATAGTCAATGGACAAATTTGCTTTGATTCTGCCCACTTCACTTTATATTAGTTTATACAAGTTCTCCAAGATTTCTGAATCCATCCCTTTCCTCATTTCTTGTGGCACAATTATATTGCTTTTCATCATGCAATTTATTTGCACATTCCCTGGCCGCAAGGCACCCACTTTGTTTTCAGCTCTTTGCTATGACAAAGCGACTGCTATAGCCATTTTAGTGCATATGGGTTTTCCCTTCTTTGATTCTTTGGAGCATATGCCCACAAGGGGAGTCACTCACTGGTCAAAGAGTATGTCTATTTGGTAAAGTTCCAAATTGTTTTTGCATAATGGTTGGAACAATTCACATCTCCACCAATGATACATTAGTGTTCCAATTTTCCTTTTGCCCAGACCTGCGCAACTTGGCAGTATGCAGGGGCCAAAATTAAAATGGGCTAAACTTCTTCAGGCCACAGATGGGTTTTTAGTGGCTCACTTTCCAAGTAATGATTAAATTATTTTGCAAATAAACCATATTTTAAAAGGGATGTTTCAATTAATATCAATTAATTACACTTGTTACTTAAGATTTTTATTTATCATGAAATTGCTCCTCTCAGACTAGAGGATGGTTGTCATGGGTCATGTGACAAACAGGAGAGAGTGTGCAGTTACATGACAGGCACAATAGTGACTAGTGGAAAGCGGGTTATGTGGGGCATGGACAAAGCACTTGGTACATCTTTACTGTCATTTACATGATCTACATTTTTCATGGACCACCCGCGGGCCATGTATGGTGCAGGCCTGCTGTAGCCCATTCAATTGCCATTTTCTTTTTGGTCACTGCTGCCAATCTGATGGGTGTGAGGTCGAACTTCAAGTGCTTTAATTTGCATTTTTCATATTAAGTGATTTGTAGTGTTTTTTCATGTAACTATGTATAGCTTCTACTCAATCCCTTGAAAACTGCCTATTCATACATCCTCTGATCATTTCTCTACTGGAGAATGACTAGGCAGGACAATAGATATTGCTCTAGGCCTGGAGTCAAGAAGACCTGAGTTCAAATCCAATCTCAGATACTTCTGTGTGCCCTTAACCTATCTCTGCCTCAGTTTCCTCAACTGTAAAATGGAGATCATAACAGCACCTACCTCATGATAATGTTGTGAGCATCAAATGACATAATAATTACAAAGTGCTGAGCAGGGGGTACTGCTGACCACGGGAGGTACTAAGTAAATGCTTGTTCCTTCCCCCCCTCTTATTCATACAGATTTGTATCAATTTACTACATATATTGGATACTAGACTTTTATCAGAGAGGTGTAGCAAGGATTTTTTTCCCTTTCTAGTTCCATTTCTTTGTGAGCAGCTAGGGTGAATGGTGGCTAGAGCACTGGGTCTAGCATCAGGAAGACTTGAGTCCAAATATGACCTCAGACACTTACTAGTTGTGTGACCGTGGGCAAGTCACTTAACCCTGTCTGCCTTAGTTTCCTCATCTGTAAGTGAGCTAAAGAAGGAAATGGTAAACCATCCAATATCTCTGCCAAGAAAACCCCAAATAGGGTCATGAAGAGTTGGACACAACTGAAACAAATGAATGACAACATTTCTTGTTTGTGTAAGAACTTTTCAACTTTTTGTTATCAAAAAGGGAAAGGATGTGAAGAGATACAGTGGCAGAAACTATAAACTTAGTAAGAAGTTGGATGTTACAGGTGACAGAGAATAAGTAGCAGCAGCATTTCAAACATAGCTAAACAGTCATACCACTGGCAGAAGGCGTGAAGTCAGAAATAAGAGCAGATGACATAAGCTTAATTTTAGACACATGAAGTCTGAAGTACAGAGGGGCACCAAGGGAGAGAGAGATATGTCTTACAGACAGTTGGTGGTATCATCTATCTAGGGTAATGGTTGAAGTCATGGGAATAAATAAGATTGCTAAGGGATAAGAGGAAAAAAGGCTAAGAAAAGAACCTTGGGGGACACCCCTTTGTGGAAGCCAAGAAGAATAGGAAGATATGGAGAAGGAGTTGTCTGGGAGAGACAGAATTGGCAGTGTGAGCTGTCTCAGAAACCAAAAGAGCGAAGAGTATTTAGGAGGCAGTGGTGAACATTAAAGATATTAAACACTGAAAAATGGTCACTAGCTTTGGTGACTGGGTCCCTGGTTACTGTGAAGAATTATTTCCATAGACTGAAGGGGCTGAGAAGGGATTTTTGGAAATCCATTTTTTCACCTTCTGTCTACTTTTCATGAGTTTTAGCAATTTTACCATAGGGTAAAAAAAATGAGAAAAAAGTGCAAAAATGGAAAAAGTTTGCTGGGAAAGTAAGATGATGGATGCTATTCGGGCAGTGTGGTAAAATGGATAGAGCACTCCCTTTGGCATCAGGAAGACTTGGGTTCAAATTCTACCTCTGACCTATGCTAGTTTTTTGACTCTAGACACATTACTTAACCTCTATGCTGATGAAAGAAACAAGAAAAAATATGACAAACTCTGCTCTCAAAGAACTTTAAATCTTAGAAGGACTTATGTACATAGGATACGTGTGAACAAAATACTACAACAATTCTCTTCAACATTTCCAAGTGGAGGGATCAGAAGAGGCTCCATTAAGTTATGAATCACATTTATTCATTCATTTATTTTTAAATTCTGACTTTAAATCCCCAAAACAAAAGAGTATTTCCATGTTTAAAAAAAAGGCAGAACAAAAAGAGGGCTGTATATGAAACCATGAATCTCTATTTCATCTGCTAACTGTCTAAAAAAAATTAAATAAGCTCAACAGAGCACTTCCAGAGCTGTCCTACCTATCTGTGCTTCCTTCTGTTCTCCTCTCCCTTTTCAAATATTTCAATCCACATCCCAGGTTCTCGAATTTTCATCTTTAACTCTCTCAATACTTTGAAGACATGAAGGTTGTGAAGGGACACTTTTTTCTTCTACATCAGAACGTTAGGCCATCACTGTATCACCCCCTCCAATTCAAAAAATTTGTTATACTCAATCTAGAACTCTTGTGTTTGCATTTTGAAGTTCCTACTCAGATCTCCCCTTCTTCATTAGGATTGTTTGATATTTCTCTATTCCACTAAAGGTCCAATTTTTGCTCCCTTTGGTATTATACTTAGCTTTGCACGGTAAGATATTCTTGGTTCTGAGCCTGTATTTTTTGCTTTTGGCAATGCTGGATTTCAAAACCTCCTCTAATTTATAGGAAAAAAAAAACTTCTTGGTCTTGTGTCCTTGAACTTTCTGGCTAGTTGCAACATTTTTTCTTTGACATAGAGCCTCTGGATTTGGCCTATGACATTCCTTGGACTTCTCCTATGTACATTTCTTTCAGGAAATGATTAGTGGATTAGATGTTGATTTTACTCATTGATTTAAAGAGATCTGGGCAGTATTCATTTATGATTTCTTGAAATATAACGTCCAGGGGGCAGCTAGGTGGTGCAGTGGATAGAGCACTGGCCCTGAAGTCAGGAGGTCCTGAGTTCAAATCCGGCCTCAGAACAATCACTTGACACTTACTAACTGTGTGACCCTGGGCAAGTCACTTAACCCCAATTGCCTAAAAAAAAAAAAAGAAATTAAAAAAAGAAATATAATGTTCAGGTTTTGGGGGAGAGAAAAGAATCACAGTTTTCAGTGAGTCTACATAACATCCAGTTTGAGATGTTCATTAGGGAGTGGGAAGTATGACATGGAGGTCAGGAGAGAGATTCAGGCTCAATCAATAGATCTGGGAATCATCGGCATAGAGATAATGGTTGTAATTTATGTGAATTGACAACATTACCAGGTGAAATTAGTACTGAAGGAAAAGATCAGAGGACCCAGGACTGTGCTTTGTGGGACCCCCACAGTTAGCAGAGATGACCTGCACCAAGATCCAGAAACTGAGACTGAGAAGACTGAGAAGGAACAGTCAGATAGGCAAGAGAACCAGGAAAGAGTAGCGTCATAAAAAACTAGAGAAAAGAGAATAACAAGGATAAGAGGGTGATCAACGGTGTCAAGAAGAATGAGGACTAAGAAAGGCCATTGGATTGGGCAATTAAAAAAT